GGACCAAGGGAGAAACTGCGAGCTGCTGGGCTGCTCCCCCCCCACCCCTCCGCATTTAGGGGGGAAAATTCCTCTTTTTCAGATTGGAAAGCCTCCCTTCGCTGGAATCCAATCGTTTCTGCAAAAAGCCTGATGGCTCTCCTAATTCAAAGAGCCTCAAGCAGGGAGAGGGGCGCAGCGATGGGAGCCGGGGGAGGCAGAGCCTGGAGCCAGCCCCGAGCCCAAATTCCTCGGCACAAGCACCCACAGGGGCCAACCCCACCACACCTGAGCCCCCCCCAGCCCCGCTGCCTGCGGGGCAGCCGAAATGCAATGCATTTTTGAGGGAAGGTGTGGGTCGGGGCTGTTCCCCGCTCCCGGCGCTTCTGCTGAGCGCTGCTCACGTTCGCGCCCCGCAGACCTTGCTGAGCGCGTTTGCGCTCCCTCGGAGGCAGTGGCTATCTTGCACCTACTTTAAAAATAAGATAACAGCCCTTGCTCAAGGTCACTTGAGGCAGAGCTGGACAGGGGCTGTCAGGAGAGCACAGCTTCCAGCGCCGTGCTGCCCACTGGCCATCTCCAGACCCTTCCATGGGGTGAGTCCTGTTCAGGAGGTCTCTGATCTTCTCCCAGAGGAGAGCAGAGCCCACCGGTTTCACCCTGACCAGCAGGACATGCTCTGCTCCTCAAGCCAGCAAGTCTTTTGCTGCCAACCTTTGGAGATGTACTCGTGCGGATTGCACCATGCCCGCCCTGCTGCTCCAGCCTTGGGTTTTCCCGTGAGAAGGCCAACCTGGAAGACAGGTGTCAGCACCATCCGTGTGTGATAGGGCTCGTGCGATAGGGCTCGATTCGATAGAGGGGACATGGTCTCATCAGGAGGCCACTCCTTCCCTTGCCTTTGGAGATGTTCCTGCAGGGTTGAGGCAGGCTGTAAAGGCCACGAGCACACGGGACACGCCAGATAACCAGATAACCAGAAAGCTGTTCTGCCTCTCCCCAGCTCACAGTTCACACCACGAAATAAACTGCACGAACCATCCTACGTGGGGCTGAGCCACGGGGGCAGCGCCGAGCCGCCCAGCACCACGCTGCATTCCCTTCTTTATTTTGGTGCCGTAAATGTTGCAAATAATCCCGCTCTCCCCCTCTAGGACATTGTGTTCCTCATTCCTCCCCAGATAAAGCCTTTGACCCCTGTGCCAGTCACTGGCCCTGCAGGGAAAGGGAGCCCTGGGACAGGCTGGAAACTGGCGGCTGCCTTTCAAGCGAGACCCACGTCTCCATCCCCTGGCACCGCGGAGCCAGCGGCTGCCGCCGGGTGGCTCAGCCAAGTCTGTGTACGAGGAAACTCCACCAGAGAGTGTGGCCAGGCCCCGGAGCTGCATTCCTGGCCCTGCAGGGAACGGTGACAACCAGCCCTGGGATGCCACTGCTCCAGCCAGCTCCCTGCGGTGACACCCAGCCCTATGGGTGACACTGCTCGCCACGCCGGCACTGCGGGCCGCCGGCACCATGGGGCAAACCAGGGATCCGTGCCTCTGCCCTCAAGTGCCACGCAAACAACCACAGCAATGGAAAAGATAAGCCTGAAAAATCCCAGTTACAGCCATCCGTCTTCCTAACGGCCCGGAACGCTGCCCCGCAGGGCGCCGCAGGGCGCTCCAACACCGCCGAGGACACGGTGTGCCCGCGGCACCCAGCCGGCCCCACGCACCGCCCCGCTCCGGGACCAGCCGGGCTGGCCCGCTCCTCGCTGAGCTCTGCAGGCATTCCCACAGCCCTCTCCCAGCCCTCTCTTTCACCTGGAGATCTCTGTTTTATACCCGTCCTATCGATTTCTGAGCAGTGGGAACCAAAACACATGGTGGTGGGTCTCCAGCTTGCCCAGCTTTTCCTTTTCTACTCGGCCACCTCGTTGTTGACCCTTGTAGGAATTTGGCAGCCTGGATCTCTGTTTTTTTTGTTTTGTTTGTTTTGTTTTGTTTTTCTTTTTCCCTGGCTGAGGTACCTCAGTGAATTCAAAAGCTCCTAAAGGCTCAGACAGCTGGGGAGGATTGCCCCGCCAGATTCAGGTGTCCCCATTGCAGCGTTGAGGCCAGGTTTCAGCCCTTCTGTACCTCCCGGCCCAGGAGAACCCCCACCTCCTCCCCACTGACCGCAGCGGCTGCCCCGCTCCACCTGCAGCATCTCCATCCCCTGCACAAGCCCCGTTCCCTTAGCTAAGCCATCTGAAAGCAAAAATAAACCCCAGGAGCAGGTCAGAGGGGCTGGGGGTGGGATGGAGGGAGGGAAGGAGGGATGGCTGGGGGGCTGCCTGTGGGTCCCACCACCTGTGGGTGCCAGCAGCAGCCCCAGGAACGAGCCCCCGCTGCGCCGGGGCCGCGGCGCCTTTCTCCCACTGACTCAGGGCTCCAGGGGAGCTTTCCCGTCATTCCCAGCAGTAAATTATCACTGAATTATTACCCTCATTAAATGCAATATATCTGCTAATATTAATCATCTGCAAATAAATCCACACATCCTGGTGCTTGGTATGCTCTTATCAGGCCCGGAGATAAGCAGCTCAGCAGCTTGTGCACCCAGGGCTCCGTGCTGGGTTCGGGGAAGACCCCGCGGTGCCTTCACATCCCCCAATGCTTCCCCGCTTTGTGGCAACCCCACTGATCCCAAATTCTCGCCCGCACCCCGCTCGTGGCCCTGGCCGGGCTGCTGGGAGCCACATCCCAGCAGAGCAGCCGAGGCGGCACGTGGCGAGTGTGGCTGGAGCGGAGAGTGGCCGAATCGGAGATTTATTTATAGTTACACGAAACTGGAGTTTGCCCAGGACTCCGGGACTGCACCTCCCGTTGCCAGAAATGCCAAAGGACCATCGGTGGCTGTACGGGGCTGGTCTCCTGGCAGTGCAAGGCCTCGCGGCTCCCTGATCACACCCACCGGGACTTTGGAATGGCTCTGGTGAAGGGGAGCCGCCAGCCCTCCCTTCGAGCTCACTGCCATGCAGCAAGCATGGAGCTTTGGAGGGGGACAGAGCAAGCCTGAAGGCCTCACTCAACTCTTCACCTCGCCCAGGACTGCTCAGTGCTGGGTGAGCAAGAACCATGGCTGGGGGGGCTTCACAGCGCCAGTCCCAAAGCACTGTGCCACTGGGGCCCTCTGCCTGCTTGGTTTCTGCATCCCAGTGTAGGTGCATTTCACTCTCTGCCTGCTGGGGATCCCCAGACATTCCCTTGGACCTGGCATCCCCACTGCTGACCATGCTGGGTCCTGCACAGTGTGTGTCCAGGTGCCCAGAGCAGCCCAGGAGCACCAGCAGCCTCCTGGCCCAGAACTGGTCCTGTTCCTCTCCTGCAGTGATCCCCTGCATGGGCTTTGGGGTTTCACTTTCCATGCCAGCTGGATTTAAATGCAGCTGACGTTGTTCTTAAAGCTGAGCTGGGCTGGTCCCTGAGATGAGATCTGTCCCTCTGCCACCCGCCTTGATAAGGACACCAACACGCCAGCCTTGCTGGAGCTCTGGATGCCCAGGCTGGCTGCACGGCCTCTGCTCGGCCGCTTGTTCTTTCCAATGGCAGGTGGCTGTGATCAGTGGACACTTAAATTCAGGGCTCTGGGGTCCAATTCCAAGCTCAGATTGGGATCTCAGACAAGCCATTTACCCCTGTGTCCCCAGCCACTTCAGCCCCACACGGGGATGTTGATTTAGGAACACGAGGAAAAAAATCTTTCAGGTACCTGCCAGGAAAAGTGCCCACCTCGATGACATGAGAAACATCCCCTGCAGCACTGGTTGCTCCTGCAGGCAGTGTTGTGATGCCAGCAATGCCTCTGCAGCAGGAACTCTGTTTCCTCTCCCTGTATGTGCCGTGCCTGCAGGACCCTCGGCTGGGACCCTTGGGTGCTGTGCCCTGGGCTGGCCCGGCGTCGGGGACCACCGAGTGCAGCGGTGGCCTGGCCGTGCTCCTGCCATGTCACGCGGTTCCGTTTCAAAGGGCTCCTGGCATATCAGGCTGCCCTTTTAAAAAGCAGTTGATATGAGTTATTAATGATATTTACAGGAGAAGTGCTTGGCAATTATTACCCCTGTCTGCTAGGCGGCAATGAATCAACCCCCGTTTGCGGCACCCTGCGGCAGGGTGTTGCTTTGGCATGCTGGGGACACGGCGATTGATTCCCATTAGATGAGGTTTCGTGGCAGGAAACGCGGATGCCTGGCTCATGTGCAAGGTACCAAGCAGAGCTGTTTGCTCCGACGGCCTCCGGGAGCGAGCAGCAGCCACCCTGCTGCCCTCGCCCTTCTCGCCTTGCCTGGGGGACAACGGGAGCGCAGGAGATGAGTTCCTCCCGCAGCAAATATTTCCTTGCTGTTCCCCTGGTGATGCCCCTCTGCCCGGCCATCTCCTCACCGTCGTGTCCTGGCTGGCTCCTGTGCTCATGAGCACGTTGAGAGGAGAAGGGACCACGGGGCTGGGCACGGCTCCGCACGGCGACGAGCCCTTTGCCCTCGCCCATCGCATCCCACCCCGGCCCACTCCTCTCATCCCTTTGAACCTGGAAAGGAGAAAGAAGCTGCTGTCCCCTGCCAATCCCGCCTTCAAAGCTCCAGCTCCGGGGTCCGGGCCCTGGCACAATGCAGGCCATTGTCCTTTTCGGAGCACAAAGGCCGGGGGACGCCACCCAGCAAAAAGCATCTTCTGCCGCGCCGCGTGCGGACGGGGCGAGGGAGGGGGCCCGGGGTGCCGGTGAATATGAGCTATTGTCACGGGGAGCCCAGAGCACCGGGGACCTGCGGAGGTGATCAAACGGCCCAGGCCCGAGCGGGAAGGGGTGGGGTGAGGGGGGACATCCAAAAAAAGCCCTCGTCCCTCTTCAGATCTCTCCTTATCTCCCCGGCTATCTCCTGGGCTTAGCCCGGGTGTACTTGCTGGCAATTACACTCGGAGAGGCCAATCAGGCGCCGAGCACAGCCCTCGGTCCCCTTGACTGAGGTGATTTATAAATGACTCACGGGCTTATTTGAGCTCAGACCTCTGCTCGGCCGGCGGCAGCTCTGCTCTGCAGCCTCCGCTGCCACCTCCGTGGCTCCCTCGCAGGATCGGCCCTTTCTTCGCCCGGTGAGGTGCAGGTAACCCAGCGCCAACAATCGTGCTCTTTGTCTGGGTGGGCGTGGGGGATTTACACTCTGGTTGCACAGCCACTGGGTGTGAGTTTCAGTATTTGGAGAACTGGTACTTTTTTTTTTCCCCTTTCTCTTTTTTTTTTTTTTCTCCCTTCTTTTGCAAAGGGGATTTACGGCAGCAGATTTACTCAGGAATTAGCAACACCAACGATCCAGGAGCTTGATTTATGAAGAGAGGCTGGAAGAGCCAAATATGTGAATTAATTATTGCTAGAATAAATCCTGACATCTTATCCTGGCTGCCTCTGCTGAGGTCTGGGGGGAATTTGCCTGCTATAGGGGCATCAGTGCTGATGAGCCCCTTGTTTTCACGAGCCTGGTTATCAGCAGGACTTTCTGTGCAGGGGACTGCGTAATGTGGTCCCTGCCCCGAGGATGTCACAGCACGGGTTAGACTTTGCACATAGAGGTGTAGCAAGATGAGGAGCTCTGTGCACACAGCAGTGGGAGAGGAGCACTCGCTGTGCACAGGAACCTCACCTGGGTGAGAGGGCTGAGCTGCCCGGGGCGCCTGGCACGTGGATGCATGGCTGTGGGCACGCAGGCAGATCCAGGGGGATTTTAAAGCTGGGGATGAGGAGCACTCCCAGGCTGAGACCTGCCAGGCAAGGTGTAGGGTCCCCAGATCCTCCCGGCACCATTGCACGGGGTGTTGAGGTCCAGTTTGGGCAGGGTCCCTCAAATACAGATGAGAAAATACCCTCATAAGCCTGCCTCTTGGCTGCAAACTGCTGCTCACGAAGCTAGGATGCTTTCATTCTGCTCTGATAAAACATGTCCACACCTTATTTGCGAGCGAGCTGAAAACTGAAGCTGGGACCTGTCTTCTCCCTTGGAGAGACGTCCTTGGAGTGACATCTGGTGCTGGCTGTGCCCAGCATTTCTGCCCTGGATCAGAGATTTCTGGCAGAGAAGCTCTCTCCCACCCTGCGCCCCTGGGGGAGGACGGACCGGGTGACCCACGAGGTGTTTTTCCTCTCCGAGAGCGAAGCCGCAGGGGCGGGGAGCGTGTGCACGCGAGAGCTCTCAGCAGGCATCCCGGATAAGTGTTCGCAGGCAGTGCAAGAATGCTGCATTCTGCAGACTTTTTAATTCCTCGGGATTTGCATTGCCCACCTGCTCTTCAAAGGCCGAGGGCAAGGTCTGTGTCAGAAGCATGTGGTGCGCAGAGACTCGCGGCACGGAGGAACGCCGAAGTTCCCCTTCTGCTTCTTCTAATTCCACGCATAAACCTTTCCTCCTCCCCATCCCAAGGGCTCTGTAAGCAGATGGAGCAGCACGGGGATAGGGAGGAAGCACAAGCCACTTCCCAGGGGACGGACACAGATGCCGTTAAGGCCAAGCACCACGCTCCACCTGCCAAGGAGCTGCCACCCAGCACCATGGTGCTGCCCTCAGCAAGGTGACACCTTCAGGACCACAGACCGGGGCAGTGCAGGGAAGCTGGCAGCTTCTGGAGGACTCTGATGAAGCCCGAAATGATGAAGATGCATCCCGAAAGTCCGTCTTTATCCTGGCACCCTTGCTTGCTTCCTGGAAGAGAGGTGGAGGACAGAAGATGTCCCTGCTGTGGGGCTGGGCAGAGCGGGGGCAGGCAAAGAGCTGGGGCTGTAGACAGGAGATGCTCTGAGCCTCTGGAGCCATCGCCCAGCACCTTTCCTTTGCACCAAATCACCTCGCTGCTGTTGTTCTTGCAGCAGAGGCTGTGCCCAAGGACAGTCTGCCTGTGGGGGCTTTTTGTGCCCCCGGCTGCTGCCTGCCCCCAGCCTCCCCCAGCCGGGCATGGTGCTGGGCACAACTGCAGAAGCCATGGAGGGCTAAGGAAGCGTTGAGAGCAAATGGGCTGATCAAACAAATCACAGCAAGAGAGGGCCGAAGCTGGGCTCGTTTAGCCTGGTGCCAGCACAGAGCAGATCTTGGTGCCCACGGCATTTTTCTGCGCTCACAGTGGTGTTAAAAAGAGCAGAAGCCTGCTGGATCTCGGCGTTTTCCTTAACAAACTCCCTTTGAGCCAAACACTTTGGCTTCACCTTCAGTAGCTGGCAGATGTCTGCAGATCTTATTATTCTGGTTACCAAGTGCAGAGCTAGTTTGGTTAGAAACCCATGTGAAGTGGTACATCAAACATTGGCACCGGCCCAGCGCCGGCAGAACAAGAGCACAGAGCTCCCCTGCCCGCTGCCTGCGCTGGGCTGGGTCGCTCGAAACAAGAAGAGGGCCATCTGCCTTATGGAAATCACCTCCCGAGCACTCCAAATATTTAAGCTAAACAAAAAGAAAACATTGGTTGAATGCCTGGCAAAAGTGGAGGCGTGGAGGGGGACGTGAGAGCCGGGGCTGCAGTGTGGGGCGAATGCGGGACGGGGAGGTGGGAGCTGGGGGAGCGGAGCTGCCTCCTTCCTTCCCAGCATGTTTGGCTCCATCCCTGCCCCAGCACAGTCAGGCAGGGCCGGCCCCTTCTCTCTCTTCCCCTGAGTTTTATTCCCCCAGCCATCACGGCAGCACCCGCACGCTCTGCATGGAAAGCTGTTCACGAAGTCTTCTCTGAACTTTGCAGACTCTGGCACTTTGCCATTGCCAAGGCTACAAGCCCTCTTTGGGGTAGGATCTCTCTCACTGCTGAACTCCACGCTCCCCTAGGATCAGCCTCTTCTGTTTCTAAAGCGGGGAGGTTAAGAAAAGGCTGCAAACCCATACCCACCGCGTGTCCCTGCATGCTGCTGGCAGCTCAGCTCCTGCGACACCGCCGCTGGCTCCCTGCATCTGCCTGCTCCCCTCCCAAATGAGCTGTGTCACCAGGCGAGACATTCCTACCGCTATAGTTACACCAAGACCAGGCTGTAGCTCTGGTTTTACCGCTGCGAGGTGCTTTCTTCCCACATCACTTCAGTTGCAGATGAGCCTGGGGGAAATTCAGGGCTAAAGCCAAGTCGGATCAAAGTGATTTTAACTGCAAAAGCTCTGCCCAGCCAGACAGCTCCACTGGAGGCACTGCCCTGCTGACAAGCTCCCAACGAGGTCCATCGGCCGGACTCGGTCCTGGCCTGTCCCTGATGCCAGGAGGCTGAAGGGAGTGCAGGATGTGGGAGCAGAGCTGCGGGGCTGATCGGCACTGAGAGCGGGGTGAATTGCACCACGTCCTTCTGCAATGCCCGAGCTGCCTGATGGCAGAAACCTCCTGCTCCTCTGCCTGTGTGCTTGGCGAGCCCAGCTCCACATCAGAGGGGTGGAAGGTGTGAGAAGGAAGCGGGTGGGAAAGGGAGGGTGAGGCAGAGCTCAGCCTGGAGAGCACCGCAGCACCCAGCACCGCAGCCACCCTGTCCTTCCCCTCGCCCTGCTGCAGCCAGCAAGCACCCCAGGGATGGAGGGGAGGAGGTGACATCCTCTCTGTCCCTGATTGATGCACGCCCTTTCACCATGTAGCCCCAGGGCTCCCGTGGCACCTGCATCCCGAGCTGCGAGCAGGAGGCCGGGGGCCGTGGCGTGCGCCGTGCTGGGAGCATGATCCAGAGCAGCCGGAGTCAAGACCTTGTCCTGGTGTTGCAACCAAAGCCTTGCACCTGTGCTTGCCTTCTGCAGGCAGGCCTTGCCTCCTGGGGTAGGGGAGAGCAGCTTTTTGTAACCTGTTCTTGGGCAACGGAGCTGGGAGAGAGGTGTTTGCAGTGAAGGTTCACCCAGGATTCGGAAGGGGCAGAGCTCTGAACTCCAGTCAGCGAGGAGATCTGGGGGTGTGTGTGCAAGGAGAAGGGGGACCGACAGGGGATAGGCAAAGGAGGAAATGTTTTTTCCAGAATACTGAATTTTTCTCCCTAAAATACTGGGAGACATTCCCTGAATGTCCATCTCTTACACTGGGATGCATTCGGGCCCTTATATTGTGCATAAACCAGCAAATCCAGCCCCAGATCAGATTGCTTTCCCACCAAATTTCAATTCCCACTCCCCGGCCTGAAGTCCCTTTGCTGGGCCCGTGCCAGCCCAGGAAAGCAGCGTTACGCCAATGGGTCCTATCAGTGCTCACCAGAAACCTCAATGTGACTTTCCCCAAACACAGCTATCACCAGCACAGGCAGAGAAGATAAGAGCCCAGTAAGCTTGCAAGACGAACACTAGGGGAAAAAAAAAATCCATGCTAGGCAGTCCCGGGGCGGTTTGGGACTGGCAGGGCAGGAACCGGACAGCCGCGACCTGATGGGACTTCAGCTGTGACCTGGGACATCTCTCACCCACATCGTATGCTTGGAGCGGAGTGGTTCTGCCTTCGTCTGCTGCTCACACCAAGTATCACACCACAGTCACGCTCTCGGTGTTTCTCCAAGACTCCAGCAGGTTTACCAGTGAGGAGATTTCACACCTCAGCATCACCCACCCTGCTGACACAGGGCTTCATTTCCTGAAATCACAGCTTGGAACAGGGGCTCAGCTCTTGGAGCTCTGCCCTGGGACCCATCCCACCCCTAATTTCCTTGTCCGTTCTGGAACAGAGCTCTTGGGAGGGCTGCTCCCTGCCAGGAGCCACGCACTGCCTCTCTGCTTTCCTTCCCACTCACTGCATCTCTTGCAGGATTTAACCCAGACTCACAGCTGGCCGTGGTCTTACCCCATCAACACCAGGACAGCTGGTTCTGCCTTTTGTTCAGGGAGCAGTCACATGGCTCATTCTCCTGAATTCCAAAATCTCAAAGGTTTAACCTGCTGTTTGATCTAGGGCAAGGCCAATGATAAGCCAAGTCGAGAACTTGACTCTGTCCGAGACGCTGACATCATCAGCCTGTTTGTTTAAGATGGAATTTAATCATGGGGGTATTTTCCCCTCTATTCTTGCCTTGTTTGTTATTTTTCCTGATTGCCAGCACTTTCGCTCAGCAGGAGAAATTCATTAAAGAGCCGTGATATAATTGGCTGGTTCAGTCTGATGGCAGGCAGGCTGCTCGGCGAGTGATGGAGCCCAGAAATAAAGCCGAGGGACCTCATGCAGCAGAAACTCTGCTGGATTTTGTCACCCTTAGAAGCCTGCTGCAGGGCCTGGACCAGGGCTAGAAAATATTCACGAGGGAAAAATGGAAACCTGGAAGAAAGCAGAGGGGCTGGGACAGGACTGGTGCAGCCTGCGATGGGAAATGCAGACGGGCTTCTGGCATCAGTGTAGGGAGTGGAAAATTGCCCTGGACATCGTTATTCTCAGCCTGCTCCAATCCTCCAAAGGCTAAAAGCTGCGATCTCTCTGGGAAGGGCTTCCCTGGTTGGGAAGCAGGTGCAGGGATGCCAGCGGGTGCGTGCCTGCAGAGGGCACTGGACCGAGCGGCTGCTGATGCAGGAGGAGGGGAGCACGGCCTCGCCTGGCACCTCGCGGGGCCTTCGAAGCCAGCCCCATGCTGGATGCCCTGGGGACCCTCCCGAATCAGCGCAGCGTGGATCGGAGCCTGCGTTCACATCCATCCATCGCCGGAGCTGTTTCACAGCACAGTGCACTCGGTGCCCCTGTGACCACGCAGGCACCTGCGGCAGCGGTGGGGGTGATGACCTCCCTTCCCTAACATCAGCTCCCATTACCATAATGATCCTGCTGACCTAAATTCCCCCCGAAAGAAGTTTCGGCTGCATGCATCATGCTTCCCCGCCAGGCCCTGCACTGCAGAGCTGCTCAGCTCCGTGCTGCTCACTCATCCATCCCCTCGGAGGGAGCTGAGCTGGGTGCTGGTGCTGCCCACAAAGGTTCACCCCTCCTGGATGTGCCCTGACCTCGGTGGCACTCGCTGTGTCAAAAGGAGAGGGAAGGATCCGGCCCGTTCACGCTCTCAGAAACCTGGATGTCGTTTCTTGATACACTCTCCTGCCTGAATCACCAGCTTTTTCCACCCCCTCTTCTGCTCCTCTGTTGGGCAATGACCCACTTAGGCGCATGCCATGCCACAAATAATTACCAATACCCCTCTGCTGTGCCTGACCACTTCCTCCCTCCACCCCCAGACTCTCCGGTTTGCAATGATTCTCCCTCTTCCCAGGAGTTGCCGGTCACAGTAAAATGAGGGCTCTCTGAAGTTCCTCAACTTCTTTGGCAAGACCCAGATACTGCACAGGACCAGTCCATCAGGATGCTTTGGCATCATCATCACTGAAATGGATTAGCAACGGTTATCTTCCTCCGCACCACTTCCTAGAATAGATCCAGGACTAGTCCACAGCCTTTCATGGCAAGCAAGAATCTGGGAAGGCTGCTGGATGCAAATGAACGCAGTGGGCAGTGAAACAGGAACACCTCGGGAGGAAACTGCCTTTAATCTCAGTGCCAGTATCTGCCGGCGCACACTCGCGTGGCACAGCCTTGGCAGCCCTGCCGGTGGATGGGGAAACTGAGGCACGGGAAAGGTCAAGTGCCTTGCCCGAGGCAAAAAGGCAGGCACCGGCAGGGCTGGGATTAACACCCATGCTCATCTGCCAGACAATCCAGGGCACTGCAGTCCCCTCCACGCGGCATCGCTCATTGGCATCACCCCGAAACAGCCGGTGAGGGCTCGCGGGGCCGGGGAGCAGCAGCCCCCAGTGCTGGGAAGCCACTCCCAGGGCCTGCCTCTGCGCCACGGGGAAACTATTTAGGGTGGAGATGTTCGGGGAGGGCTCCCAGACGCTGGAGGTGTCCGGTCTGTTATACTGCAGGTGGGGCCAGCTCCACTCACATTCTTGGCTTTGCTTTTTTCTTTTTTTTTTTTTTTTCTGGGAAAAAAATTTAAATGATCCAGAGATGAGCCACGCCAGACCCCGCTATGTCATCGAACGTCCTGCATATTCCGTCAGCCTCTTTGATGAAGAGTTCGAGAAGAAAAGCAGAAGTTACCCCATTGGGGAGAAGTTGAGAAACCTTTTCAGGTAACGCAGAATCCTGTAGCTGCTCCTGGGGCAAAGCTAAACCAGATTGGGTCTGGAAATGGGATATAATTTGGACCTGGGGACATGGTTCCCATTTTTATCCTGGGAAACCTTCTCCATGGTCTGCAGGGCTTTGATGTATGAAAGACACCAGGGAAATGCAAATCGTGACGCAGCAAGTGAAACTGGTTGCTCTTTTCACTGCCCCAGCTGTTACGCTATAAAGCAAACAAGCGGAACGCTTTGCACTGCGTGCATTTGGGATCTGTGCTTCTGTCCTCCAAATTTTATTTATAACAACAACAACAAAAAGTATAAATTGCGATGTAGATATGGGCGTGTGGACTATTGCTTGAATCTTTTCAGCTGGGATTTCCTTTTATCAGCTTTCTGATTAAAAATAGTACCGGCTTTCCTTAAAGAAAGATGAATAATCCTGCTGATAGCTGTCCTGGAAACCTAGCTCCACTCCCTGGAAAATGAAGGCAGCGGAATAGGGAAGGGGAGAGCTGCAGGTCGGCAGGCAGGGATGTGAGAAGCTGCATGCTCAGAAACAATCTTCTTCCTCAGACACACTGGTTTTTTTTGACCAAGCACCTGCAAAATTTCACCTTTGGCTCTGTGCACCCACCCCGGGAATCTCTGAGCTGCGGTTCAGCTCACAGCTCCCCTACTCCTTTGTGCTGGAAACAAAGCCTCCAGAAACTGGGCAGCCAAATCCTTCAGAGCTGTGGCAGCACCGGGGACTTCCCAGTGAGTCAGGAGTGGCCCCACAGTAATCCTGCATGGCACGGGCAGCAATTAGCTGGAGGAGCCTTGCAGTTGCAGGGAAAGGCTGTGCCCCAAACACGGGGCTCGGGCTTTGGTGTGGGAGAAATGTTGAGACATTCCCAGGAAGATCTTTCCTTGCCTCCTTCCTTCCTTGCTCATTTCCCTGATTGCTCGCTTTTCTTGACTTTGCATATTTTTGTTTGTCTCCTCTAGGTGTTCAGCTTCCAGATTGAAGCTCTTCCTCTTCAGCCTTTTCCCAATACTCGCGTGGCTTCCCAAGTATAAAATTAAGGAGTACGTTTTGCCTGATGTCCTCGGTGGGCTCAGTGCGGGGACGATTCAAGTGCCACAAGGTGAGGAGCAACAACTTTCTGGGTCTCCAGGAGAGGACAGCACATTGCAGACAGGAATGGACACCCAGTTTGTGGGGGTTACCTACTTTATGGCTGGCACGTACAAACCCAAGCTCAGCCTCCTGCTGGTCCCTACATATCCCTGTGGAGGCCTCCCTTGCCCTCTCTGTCCAATGCTCTGCCTGGAAAGCAGTGCCTGTGCTGGCCACAGCACCTTCCTGGAGCTGATGCACAGCTCTGGGGCTGTGAGCATCCCCAGTCTACTCAGACCTGGCTCACCCGCCCCTTCCCCTTCTCCTCCCCAGGGATGGCTTTTGCGCTGCTGGCCAACCTGCCTCCCGTCAATGGGCTCTACTCCTCCTTCTTCCCCCTGCTAACATACCTCTTCCTTGGCGGTATCCATCAGATGGTCCCAGGTAAGAGGCTGTGGGGTAATTACTTGCACGGGGCAGCAGATGGGATGGGAACACTCGCCGTGTGCCGGGATAGAGATGTTTGGGCAGGGTCGGTCCTCGGGGCTCACGGTGTCCCCGGTTCCTGTGCTGCGGTGATGGGCTGGGCAACTCTGGACAGCCTGACACGTCGGAGTGCTTTCCAGGGCAGGACGCTCCAGAGCAAAGCCCTGACCTCGCTGTGTTGTGCTGAAGGTACTTTTGCAGTCATCAGCATTATCGTCGGCAACGTCTGCAACGAGCTGGCTCCGGAGTCGGACTTCCAGTACTCCACCCACAACGAGACCGGCATCAACACCACAGCCCTGGAAGCGGCCAGGCTGGAGATCTCTGCCACGCTGGCCTGCCTGACAGCCATCATACAAGTAAGGGCTCTGCACCACCCCTGCTCTGCCCCCTGGCCAAAGCTGACCCGCAGGGACTCATCCGGAGCAGAGGCGAGGGGTGGGCGCAGGAGCTGGAGGTGGCCCCACTGCACCAGGGGTGATGCCTGGGGGGGTCCTGCCCCAGCTGCGGTCTCGGTGTGAGCTCTCCCAGCAGAACAGCCAAAGGCTGGCCAGCCCTGGGACAGGACCGCAGCCAGGGACAACATCCCTACAACATCCCTCCTGTCCTGCAGCAATTCTCCCTCCCCTCCGCCCCGCGCAGCCCGTCCCTGCAGGCTCTGCACCTCGCGTTTTCGGGCTGGCGCGTTTCTAACAACTCCTTGTCTGTCCTACCCTAGCTGTGCCTGGGATTCGTGCAGTTTGGCTTTGTTGCTATCTACCTCTCAGAGTCTTTCATCAGGGGCTTCATGACAGCAGCAGGGCTGCAGATCCTCATCTCCGTGCTCAAGTACGTCTTCGGCTTGACGGTCCCATCTTACACCGGGCCCTTAGCTATCGTCTATGTAAGTGGGTGCTCTGGGCAGGGGCCTTCCCTGCACCTCCTCCCCCCGTGACCACCACACCGCAGGCACCACAGCCACCTCTGCTGGGGAAACTGGGCTGGGGAGAGGAAGAGAGGGTGGAGGGAGGGGGAACCCGGCTGCACTGCACTGCTGCCCCCGCGGCTCACCTGCAGTCGTAGCTGAGCTCCTGCCTGGTGGGGTGTAAGCAGAGATAACGAAGTGGGGCTGGGATTTGGGCAGAATACGAACCATGCTGCTTTACAACAGGAGGTTTGCACAACTGATAGCAACAGAAACTTCTTCTGTGGGTAGGTTTTCCCATTCCTGGGCTTTTCTGCATCTTCCCTAGATGCATCCTCCATGCACGCAGCTAGAGCTGCATTTAACCAAACCGCACAGAGCCAGGGCTGGCTGCTGATCTCCCAGCAGCAGGATTTCTAGCACTTCCCTCACCCCCAGACATCTCAAGGTGTTTGCAGGCAATTACAGTAACGAGCATTCTCCACTGTGCTGATCACACTGCCCAGGGTCTCAGGTTCCCTGTGATTCCTTCTTCTCTTCTCTCCTCTTTAGACATTCATTGACATTTGTAAAGGCCTGCCCCAAACCAACGTGGCCTCCCTGATCTATGCCTTGGTCAGTGCTGTGCTCCTGATCGTTGTCAAGGAGCTCAACCTCAAGTACATGAAGAAGATCCGGATGCCCATCCCCATGGAGATCATCATCGTAAGTGAGGCGTGAGCTGTCCCTCGGACCTCCAGGGGGTTCCCAGACCCTCCCAGCCCCAGGACACCAAAGCCACCCCTGGGACACCAAAGCCACCCCTGCACAGCATCTGCACGCTCAATACGCTGTGACCCCACATGGATCACAAGTTGGGGCACCTTTGTGGAGGATGCCTCCGACACCCAGCTCATCCCTCTTAGACCGTACCAGCATCCTGGTGGTGTCAGGGATCAGGAACATAACCCTTTCTGGGGACGGTCCCTCCTGTCCCAGCCTGAATTTGGTGCTGATTTTCTACCGTCAGCCCCAGGAGAAGAGTAGGTGTAGTGCTTCCAAAAGAGTTCATGCTCTTTCTGCTTACCGCTTGTTTATTCTCTGTATGTCCAGGTAATAGTTGCGACTGCAATCTCTGGCAGCTTTCAGATGCCTGAGAAGTACAACATGCCAGTAGTTGGGAAGATCAGCATGGGGTAAGTGCATGTGCACCTCTGACTCACCATCCAAATAATTTCATTTCCTCCTCCTCATTCTGCAGCCTGGAAAACCCCTCCCTGCTGCGTGACAGTCCCCTTCCAGGACTGCCAGGCAGCGCTGCTGGGCCCCGTTACACAATGCCCCCATTCTCTGATCCCAGCCACGGTTCGGACGTGTTTAGACACCGATCCTGAACCCGTGTGCTTCTCACCCCCCGCCTCCAACACTGGTGCCCCAACCGCCTCTCGCCTCTGCTCTGCGTGCAGGTTCCCAGCCCCAACCCTGCCCATGGTGAGCAAGTGGAAGGACATGATCGGCACGGCCTTCTCGCTGGCCATCGTGGGCTACGTGATCAACTTGGCCATGGGGAGGACCCTGGCAGCCAAGCACGGCTATGACGTGGACCCCAACCAGGTAATGCTTGCTCTGGAGGGACGCGGGCGAGGAATGTTCCCCTGGCTCTCAGGCGTGAAGGGAAGACCTCCCTGCACGAGGGGGAAGCTTGCAGATGCACCCTGCGTAAAAACCTACGTGCTGCTCCCGTGCACGTGGCGGCTTGCCAGGCAGGGGCCGAAAGGACGTGGCGGATCCATTTCCTAACAGGTGGGAGAGAGGCTGACAAAGGGTAGGAAGGTGTAGGTTCAGCTCTCTGATCTGCCTTCCCTCCAGAGCTGAGGCTTCAGCCCCAAGTGCTGGCCCCGATGGCATTTTTGCAGGATGCTGGGGCACAGCGAGGCACATGCACTGCTTTCTGAGCAGAGAAAGACCTGGATTCCTGGTGTGTCACCCAGACACTGCGACAGGCAGGACATTAAATAATCCTCTCCTGTCATCGCTGGCACAGCGGTAGCTTTCAGGAACAGCCACGAAGCCCTGCCCTTAGCGTGTCAACAGATGACAAGTGTTCATGCGGCACGGTGCTTCCAGGTTTCCCTGCCATGGCAGCACCATCCCAGCTCTTCCTGGAAGGAGCGGGTCTGGGACACTCCGCAGAGAGCCTGTCCTCTCCCCGGGGGCAGAGTGCTGCCAGCAGGGCTGCTGGAGGCCCTGGGGAGTTTCTGCCATGCAGAGCCCAGCCCAGGTTCATCCTCTCCTGCCTGGCAGCTCAGCTGCCTTCACCGTGTTCCCCCATCTCCGCAGGAAATGCTGGCCCTGGGCTGCAGTAACTTCTTCGGATCCTTCTTCAAAATCCACGTCATCTGCTGTGCGCTCTCTGTCACCCTCGCTGTGGATGGGGCAGGAGGGAAATCACAGGTTGGTTCTTCCCCTCCTCTCTCCCCTGCGTGACCCACTTTGAACACAAACCCTGGCAGAGGTGCACCCTGCCAGCCTGACGTCGCTGCTGCAGGTCTGGAGAAGCTCCCTATGAGCGCTTCACGTTGTTATCAAATGCAAACCATGCTCCCCAAAAGCCCCACGTTTTGTCTGGGTTGTTTGTTGGATTGGTCACAGATGGGTTTTCTCAGATTTTTCTATTTTTTTTCTCAGAGCTGTGAAATCTCAGCCTGTTTCTCAGAGGCAAACCACTGCTCACGACCAGTGCTGCAGTGCCCAGCTCCGGTGCTGGCTGAAGCAAGGACCAGGAGGGGGTTTTGGAAGACCCAGGATTTAACGGTGTGGTTTCTCTCTTTTTTTTTTTTTGCAGGTGGCAAGTTTCTTTGTGGCAATGGTGGTAATGGTGACTATGCTGGCCCTGGGGATCTACCTTGAACCCCTTCCAAAGGTAACACGAACAAACGTGCAAACAGCGCGGCCACGGCATCACATCCCCAACCTGCCGAGCGAACTAGAAAACCACAACACAAACCTGTGAACAGCGGGGTTTGCTGTGGGCTGGGGTCCTGTCTGCAGCAAACAGAGGTCTTCTAAACCGTTATGCTCCAAATATGATCTCTGTGAGCTTTCCTATTCCCTTGTGGCCACTGGGCTGAGGGCGGGAGGTGCTGCCGGGCTGGGAAAGCTGCTCCGAAACGCGCTGCAGCGCTGACACCGTGCCCTCTCCTCCCAGTCCGTCCTGGGAGCCCTCATCGCCGTGAACCTGAAGAACTCCCTCAAGCAGCTGGCCGACCCCTTCTACCTGTGGAAGAAGAGCAAGCTGGACTGCGTGAGTGCCTGGGGCTGGGTGGAGAACCCCTGGTGGCAGCAGGGGGAGGTGGGCTTCGCGCCGGTGCCCCCAGCTCTGCCTCGCCTGGCCGAGCTGCTCGGCGCACATATCACGGAGGCCTGAACTATTACCTGCTCTGTTTAAATGCCAATCAAGTGCAGGAGCCTGTTTGCCCAGAACTAGCCAAACCGGCCCTGCTCAATATCTGGGAGTCATGACTTAAAAACTCACACAATAGCCCTCCAGGGCGAGGAGAGCCCTTCGCTGCGATAAGGACTCCAGGCACTGGTTGATGTATAAACCCAGGCGGGGGGTGTGGGGGAGTGAGAACGGAATTTGGAAATGTCTGACATAAAAAGACAGTGTTTGAACAGGGCTCCCACGGCTGAGTGGTGTGTGTGGACACTGAGCCAATATCCTGCCGGGTCCCGACACCCCGCCTTATCGGAGGAATCAGGAGTCCAAAGGGGCTGACCTGACTCATCAAGAGCTTTCCCGAAACACTGCTCAAACAGCTGCCGGGGGACAGATGGGCTAGCGGTGCTGGCCGAGCCGTGTGGCTGTGGTGTGAAGGCTCTAGCTCTAGCTCGGGACACGAGCTGCAGAAATTCGGTCGGTGCTGAGGTGGTGCCGCAGCCGGGCTGGAGCAGGGATGTGCGAGGGCCCCGCTGGCACCGTTACTGCAGAGCAGGCTCAGCAGAGAGAAAGTCACTGATGGGAAGATGCTTTGGGGCAGGATTGTGTGTCCAGCCCTCCGCCAGGAACTGTGCTCAGCAAGTTAAACACCACAGGTTTTAATGATGCCTGGCAGAGAGGCTGGATGTGTGCCAGCTGGGCAAAGCCCTGGGGAGGCTTCTCCAGAGAAGGCCTCGCCCCCCATGTGTGGGCAGGGGAAGTCGCTGCCCTTCACCAGCACTTGCAATAAGGCTGCACAGCGACGCGTGGTGTGCCCAGGACCCGCTAGCAGCGACCATGAGCTGCCTGCAGGTGCAGAGAGCGCAGGGACCGGGCAGATGCCATTGGAGTGAACTGCATTCCCCTGACCTTAATCTGCCTGGTATTTGAACTAGATTCGGTGTCCTTCCCGTCCCAAACTGAGGCCACCTCTTCTGGGTGATGTCAGCAGATTGGTGTCCATTACCTCAAGTTGTGTTTCAGCACGAACAGTGGGGACTGCTCCGCAGGCACAGTCCAGTGCCAAGTGTGGATGGAAAGAAGCCCTTACTCACATTTATATGCATCATCCTTAATCTGATATTAAGATGCTGAAGTCATCAAAATTACCCTGATTTGACCGAGGTCAAAGTTAGCTATTAATAATCTTGAGGATGGGTTTATAATCCCCTGATAATAATTCTCAGAAGGCATATTTATACACTCAGGCAGGACTAATTTCACGTGAAGGGAGATGCTCAAGTGCTAATAGATAAAAATGACAAATGACGGAGCTCTGAGCCGAGAGGTGGAGCAGGTTCTGGTATGCTCTGTCATACTTTGTCATCAAATCTGCTCTGTGTTCAGGTCATTTATAGCAGGCGCCCCGATGGTTTCACGTAGATGCTCATTCCTTCTGAAATGCTCTGACTGACAGCAGGAGCCTTCCTGGGGGTGGGAGCAGCTACTGAGCAGCAGATGGGCTGATCTGCAGGAGCCTTTTCTTGGTGCTTTTTGAACCGAGTGAGTGACGGGAGGTCACGCAGCTATGAAGAATTGCTCCGGCTGCTAGTACAGCTGAAAAACTGGGGCTTCTGGCAGGGTTCCCAGCAACGATGCTTCACAGCGAAGCATGCAGGAAGATGCACAATTAGAATAATTGCAGAATTTGGGCCCCGCTCTTCTGATCAGCTCAGCTGGGTAGTTCTTTGGGTCCTGAATGGCACGAGCCATTCTGCGTCCAGCGCTGTGCTGCAGCCCCTGGCCCAGCAGGACATGCCATGCCCTTCTCTTTCTGCAGCTGGTCTGGCTGGTGAGCTTCCTGTCCGCCTTCTTCCTGAGCCTGCCCTACGGAGTCGCTGTGGGCGTGGGATTTTCCGTGTTGGTTGTGGTTTTCCATACCCAGTTGTGAGTATTGCCCTCCAAAGACCTAAAGAGAAGGAACATCTCCTAGATACAGAACAAGCGACAGGTTATTTTTATAGGCGACCTCTGGCCCGGGTTTTGAAGGAACGTGCAGCAGGAGCCTGGGGGAGTGCAGGTGTCCTCCCTGCCCCTGGAATGTGCAAACAGGAATGGCAGGCGCTAATTTACTGCCTGCATTCCCACTCCTGCGCACGGGTAGCAATGTGCACATCCCAAGGCAGGGGGGTGTCGGGCGGCATTTACCTCAACAAGAAAAGCTGCCTGCATAGTTCCCAGCAGAAAATCCTGCCTGTAAGAAGAAAGAGCCCCGTATATGTGCAGAGCCACATCATTTTTAATAGATGGAACCCCTTTATTAACACCTCCCAGACTGGGATCTCAAGTGCAGCCAGCCGGCCCCGGAGTGGACCCAAAGCAAGGCTTGCAGCCAGCCCCGGCACCCATCTGAAAGCCCTGCAGCCCCGTGCCAGGAGCTTCACCTGGGGAATGAGGCTGTCCCAGGGGCTGGCTCTGTTCTGCCAGCATCCACTTGGCCTCCACAGGGCTGAAAGCTGAGTTCTTTCATAAAGCAAAGTTTCAGATCCTGGTGGGGTTTATGAACTGGGGGCAGTTTTCTTCCTCTGCGACTTCCACTCTAATTCTGGTCGGATTTTTCTCCCAGCCGGAACGGTTCTGCCCTGGGCCAAGTAACCTCCACGGACATCTACAAGAACCCAAAGGCCTACAACAAGGTAAGCAGAAACTAAAATACCCTCAGAGGAAATGTTTCTTTGCCTCTGGTACCAGCACAGTCAGGAAGCCCATGTCCAAGTTTTTGCCTTAGCAAGGCTGTTTGCTGCTGGTTTTGGGGCTGCAGGCGAGCTGCTCCCCAGCTCGCCCTCCCAGTTACCTGCTGCCCAGACCCCCAGGCACCCAGCACCCCATGGACCCCACCGGACCGGGTTTGAGTTCCCGTCTCTGTTGCAGGTGCATGAGCTTAACGGGATTAAGATCGTGACCTACTGCTCGCCACTGTATTTTGCCAACTCGGAGATATTCCGGGAGAAGATCATAGCCAAGGTGAGTAATGCCCTGAAAGATTTTTGCTTGCAGCCTATCCCAAACAGCCCTTGCTCTCTTCTGCCATGCCAGGCTGAGATAATTAAGCCGAGGATCATCATGAAAGATCATCACATCCATGCTCTGTTCTTCCGCTCTCTTCTCTCTGATTTTCTGATTTTGGATCTCATTTTAGAGGCTGTGCCTGAATCTTGGCAAGTCTCCTCCTCTGAGCACTGCCAAAGCAGAGTCTCCTTGCTGCACGTGTCCTCTCCCTGCACATGCTGGCACCCTGTGCCACGGGGGCTGTGGCTGTGTGGTTGCCACCACGATCACCTCGTGCCGGTGTAGAGCTGCTGCCAAACTGCACCACGTGCCGCAGGCTGGGACAGCACGGGGAAGACTCCCTGCCTCCGGGGCTGAGCAGGCTTTTTCAGAGAAAACCCTCTTTTTTTTTCCACAGACCGGGGTGGATCCGGGTAAAGTGTACTTAGCCAGGAAGAAATATGTGAAGCGGCAGGAGAAGGGGACAGCGCAACCACCAACGAAGCTGCCGAAATTCTTACTGAGGCAGAACAAGGTAACTCCGCCTGGGTCTCCATGTTGCTGAACAAGCTCTCCAGCTCCACATCAAATAGCTCCTCTCGACACAGGGTTTGCACTCTCTTCCTCGTCACATTTACTACTGCCTGCATCCTTCCCTTCCCACCCACAGCTCCATTCCTCCCAACACCCAAACCTGAAGGTGCAGGAGAATTGGAAATGGCTGGGAGTGGGAAGGCTGTAGAGATAGCTAGAATGGAAACAGGGTGAACAATTTACTGGAAACCGGGCTTGCCCTGTTTGTTGAAGGATGTACCTGTTTCTCTAAGGGTACACCTATGCCAGCTTCAGAACCCTTCCCTTGTGGAACACATTTCCCAGTCATCCCAGCTTCATTGGTTTGTGCTGCTGACCAATCTCGATGCTTGTGAACAGGAATCATTTCAAATTAACCTGCTGCACTCCAAGCCCAAGGGACACAGTTCAGCACCAGGCTGGAGTTAGCCCAGATTAAAACACTTCACACCGCTGAATGCTTAAGGTGAATTCAGCATCTGGATCTCAGCCTGTGCTGATAGCTGTGCTGATGGCTGTGCTCAGTGTCTGCGGAGGTCTCGCGTGTATTTGGGTGTAAGAAAAAGCATTTCTTGCAGCACTGGTTCACAAACAGCAGCGATTCTACCCTGCCCATGTTCCTCTGCCTTCCTCTAGACCTTGTCTTTGCAAGAGCTCCAGAAAGACTTTGAAAGCACCTCTCCAACAGATACCAACAACAACCAGACGACCGCTAATGGTGCCAGCATCTCTTACGTCACGTTCCGCCCGCCTGCCAACGGCGCCGGGCAGGGGCACAGCTCCGGGGAGCTGGGCAGCACCACCAGCCTGCAAGGAAGCACCTTCAGCATCATGCCCACAGCAGATGTTGACCCTATGGCCACGGCACCGCCCTATGTCAGCTTCCACACCATCATCCTGGACATGAGCGGGGTGTGCTTTGTTGACCTCATGGGCACAAAAGCCCTGGGCAAGGTTAGTCCTCTGCTGCGAACGCAGACAAGCTGCTTACCACCCAGGTACCTTCCACTCCCTTGTGCAGTGCAGATAAAGGTGTTTACCCTCCTCAATAGAAGGTTTGTGTGAGTTTCTCCTTCAGCATTCCCAGGACACGTGTAAAGCCTTGGATAAGACTTCATGTATAAATGCAGAGCTGGAGCAGCAGTGTTATTAATACTCTCTCTCCTCTCCCGTCTCTTCCAGCTGTGTTCCAGTTACCAGAAGATTGGGATTAAAGTGTTTTTGGCCAACGTGCATGGTAAGAATCCATGGAGAGAAATTTCCATGTGACCTTCCCCCATTTTGGTCTTTTTTATCCTTATGTAAACTGGACTAACTGTCATCCCCTTGTTGGACCAAACAAGAACAGGTGAAAGAACAGAAGAAAGCAAGGAGAAACACTGCTCTCTGTCTGTGAAATAGGTTCTTTCATTTGGGAAGTGATATGATAGCAAAATCTCCATATTTGGTATATAGAAGAAGACTAGAAATGGAATAATTTCTGCTGCAAACCTTTCTTCCCTATGCATCCTGGCATTGCTTTAGCTCAGAGGACCACCATCTGCCACATTCTTTTTCAAAGGCTTCCTTCTTTGGTTTCATCCTGGTTCATGTACCCTTCCTTCTTCAGCTCAGGTGTACAACGACATTAGCACAGGTGGAGTCTTTGAAGAAGGAGGCCTGGACCAAAACCACATCTTCTTAACAATCCATGACGCTGTTTTGTTTGCACTGGCAAATATCAAAGAAGTCGTCCACCCGCCCATCTTAGAAGAGGTAACATTTGCTCCTGGTTTGCTCCTTCTCTATCTCACAGTGCTGTACTATCAGATCCATACACCATGCCAGCACAAAGGAAGAACAACACGTTATTGCACATAGTAAAGTTTCTTGTTTATCTCGGGTGGCGAAGGTTTAAATCCAACAACATTTCATATCCTAATTCTCGCAAATGAGCCAAGACCCTGCTGACTGAGTTGCTTTCAATGGAAACTTGGAAGTGTACATGTTTTCTGCAAAGCCCAAGCTGGGAGATAAACATTGTCCCAGCCTGCAGAAGCCAAAAGAGCCGTGCCAGGTCTATGCCCTCTGTTTGGCATTGGCTGGAGCACGCAGCTCCACCAAGGGCAGAATGTGGCCTTCGGAAATGGAGGCAAAGCACATGCACCTTGAACAGCCCCAGCTTCCAGGAGTGCTTCCCGCGGAGGGAGGAGAAAAGGCCAAGGAATGTGGCACATGCTGACAACACAGGGTCAGATAGGTTGTTTCCCCAAACATGGATTAGTTTATTGCACCATAACTGGAGCTGCAACCAGGGCAGTGTGAGTCGGTTATCTCGTCAGAGTAAGTTAAGGTATCCCGTATCTCTGCGGAGTGATAGGTAAGCACCAGCTCAGTCAGAGGAGATAAGGAGCAGAAACGGGATTCTCCCTGTGCCCCTTCTGCCTGGGCATTTCCCTCTGGGCACATGTGGTGGCTCTAAGCCTGGCTTAGTCATTTCTTCTGTTTCTTTTGTCCCTGCACTCTGCTAATTTGAGAATTTGACTGTTCCCTGCACAGAGGCCGAACCAGACGGAGCTCTCCATCTATGACGAGTCTGTGGATGAAAGCAGCTCAGAGTTCAGGAACTTGGAGGAGGTTAGTCCCAGCGCCAGGGGTCCCTTCTTCTGCTGAGGGCATAAGGTGGAAGCCAGAAGTGGTGGCTGGGATAGATCAGATGGGAAATCCCATGTACCGCTGCCAGGCAAATTGCTGGCAACAGTAATTCTTTGAAAAACGAGCTTCAAAAATAATTGAAAATCCCTGAGGTCAGGGAAGGGCAGGAGCTCCTGCGGGCATTTCTCTGTGCGACTGAATCACTTGCTGGGTTCATGCCCTGCCGTGGCAGCAGCCCTAACACAGCATGCCTTGTGTGCCCTACAGGAGATGTTTGGAAGCATGTTCCGCTCAGAGACCCAGACAGCGCTGTGAGCCTGAGTGCTGCAAACCCTCCCGGACAGCCTCCTCGCTCCCACCCCTTCACGAAGAGCTGAGCTCCCACCCGGGGATACAATAAGCTTGCAAAGCGAGAGGCCATCACACCTCTTGAACTGGTAAATTCCTCCCTCCTGCTCTGCCGCTGGTGCTCAGAGAGGCGGAGCAGGCAACGGGACACTTCAGAAGCAGGAACTCAGGAAACGCCGTCCCCTGATCGCGGAAGAGAAGCGAGTTCACTTGATGGCAGGTGCCTTGATAATGGGATGATCAGTTGGTTTTGCCAAGTGCTCTCCTTTCTCACACAACCGCACTCTTTGGCCCAAAAGGCATTACATAATTTGGTGTCAACCACGACATTTGGGCATCCCCCCTCTTTCTTTGCCTTCCTCCTTGTTTTCCCTGATGAAGTGAAACTAAGCAATGATTACGAGCCTTTCACCGTTCTGAATCATGAGCAAAAGCAACTCTTGCAAGGTGCAGATTTGTCAGGTAATGTTGTTTTTAAATGTGCACTGGTCATCGGGGTGTCCTCACTGTGGGTGCAAACCTTTGTGTTCCCCTGAGCTTTGGTAGCACCCACTCTAAGCTTTTCTGTGCCCCTGCGATGCTCCTGCTCTGCTCCCTGTGCGACCCAGAGACCCAGAACCACTGCCCCAAATCACTGCTGTACCTCTCACACCCTGAAGACCTTAGTATAGTATCTCCATTGGGCTACTTTCTGGATTACATTTTTTCTTAATAATAGGAATAGTTTGTAATCGGATGTAAGAATTCCTTGCTCCTGTGTGCGATGTGTGCCTGCCTGGTAGGTTGGGTGCATGTTCAGAAAAAAAAAACAGGGCCCAGTTCAAACCCCCTCTGAAGTTTTTTAAGCATCTTTCTGCTGACTGAGCAGGGCTTCACATATGGTTCTTAGACTGTGAATGTCATGAAAGCATTAATTCCAGGGGTGTACAGCCTCTTTTTCTTTGTAGACTGAAGTAACTAAACGATTCAGTCCAGCACATGGGTGAGTGTTTCAGGAGATACGCTTTTTCCCAAATCACTTTGATCACAAGCAGGAAATCCAGGGACAGGGAGGATGCCCCTTCTGCACACTTCTCATGAAGTCCTAGATCCAGAGCAGTAAAACTGAAATGTCAGTGCTTTTCATGCCTGCATCTAGGAAACAGCCCAAGTGACACCCTGTGCTACAGAGGGCTTCTGATGACAAGCTCTTAAATGGTCACTCGGGCAGCAAGAGAAAACGCTTTTTCACATGTGATATGTCCACAACAATTCTCTACTGCATGTTTGACAATTTTCATTAAAATTCATCACAGACTGATGTTACCAGGACCATCTACCTCTCAGGCACACAAGCCTGACTCACTAACCCAGAGACAGACAGATGAGATCTTAATCATTTCTGGCATTCTTTTATATTTGAGTGATGCTAATAGCAAGTGCTATTTTAATTCCCCTTCCTGATGCCTTCCTTTCTTACCCAGTGCTAATGTTGTGACAGTAATGACAAGATAACAATATAAAGCCTGAAAAAAAATAGGCAGAAGCCAAGGGTTAAAGGAACCCTTCCTCAGTGCATTTCAACCTCAAATTCGGCTTTTATGAAAACAAGGTTATGAAAAAAAATTAAGACAAAGACACAGACTGCTATGTCTTCAATTGCAATGAAAGCAACTTCTTCTGTTTGAATTTCAAATCCTCCTACAAAGTATTTCCAGCACTGGGATAAAATACAAAAGTCAACAAGCAAAACTGAACAGTAATGGAAGTAAAACTGGTCAGTCTGTTATATTTCCATGAATGCAAAAAAATAAAGAGTGGCCTTAATAATGAAAGTATATTATATTTTTAAAGGTTATTTCTATTTTATTACTCAAAGATATTAAAAAATTTAACAAGCTTTAATGTACAATTTTGAAGTACATATACATTATTGAGCTGATTCGTTAACACATTGCTGGAAAGCTTTCTGGGGAGAGAAAGTGGAGCTTCCCTACAGCTCCCAAATGTCCCATTTTTAAGGAAAACAGAGCTTCATGAACCATCATAGCTAGACAACCGTTACAGGTAACAGCATCAGGACCCTGCCAGTTTGGTTTTATGTAACACCTCATTAACTAAGTCACCATTTCTCTACCTCAGTTTCTGATTATGTGGTGCAGGAGAGTAATAAAACCAAAGAAAGTTAGTTTCCCAAAAGAAAAACCCGCCTGCTAATAGTACTTATTTTGATCTGAGACAGCAGTGGTTCTTCCAGAACTGTGTTTTGTTGTACAAGTTAAAATTAAGGGCTGAATTATCTTAAACTATCTCTGAGGGTGACTACTTATGGTCTTTTTACTACTGCCTGAGCGCTTCTTTTATCTGCTCATTTAAAAAAGGCAACAAAGAAATTGATGCAATGGAAGAAGTTATTCTACAGTAAGTAATCAATATGTCTGTATCTCTGAGGTAGCATTGCTTTAAATGAGGAAAAATTCCAATTTCCCATTCCTCGTTCAGGGTTAGTAATAGGAAACCGATTTCTCAGGGCCTGCCAGACCTAACCCAGGAAGCCTCGGAGCAACAGACCACGTATAAAAACAGATTGTATTTTCTGAAGTTCCTGTAAGCTTAATGGGTGGAATGTCAAGAGAGATGGCTTGCAAGCAGCAGCACTGACTACACGCTTTGCGATCGCGATGGCCCAGGAGGAATGATGCCTCATTTCTGTAGCCATGGGCCAATTCTGGCAATAAATGTAACACCAGAGGACAGATGATATTCCTGGAGGCACAACCTAGCCAGCTCCAAGTCTTCATTTCCATGTGCCTGGACAAAAGAATTGGGGAAGCTCAAATTTATGCTGGGGTAGAAAATTTTAATTTCCAGTGTCCCTTTACTGCTCTTAAAATAACAGTTATGTTTCTGTGTAATGGCTCTGAAGCCTTACCTGATAAATGCATGATGTATAACCAGCTCAAAATGTTTGTAATTTATTTAATTTAATATTGGTTTTGTTCTTTTTTTGATAATAAAGAATGTGTGAACAATCACTTGCTTCTTCTGCTATTTGAGCACAGGCTTTCTGTGGCAGCTCCCAGCTGCATTTAAACCTTCAGGAATGCTTATGCCATGGAAAGATGGGATAGATCTTTATAATCAGTACAAGGCCACTGTACAGAAGGGTGGAACAACTTTCCTTGGTGAAACCAGGGGAGAAAACCAGGGGAGTACTTTGCTGCAACGAGATGGGTCTGTACACCAGGGAAAAGCTTCTGAAGACAACTGTTAAACCCAGGGCCATGTTGTGGGGGTTTTGAAACGAGGTGAATTGAAACTCCATCAGGAGTTCCAATACCCGCCGCCATGCCACACACCCCGCGCCGCAGAACTACAACTCCCAAGCCACCTCGCGGCAAGCTCGGGGCGGGACAACCCCTCCCATTGGCCACCCTCCGGGACCGCAGCGTGCCGATTGGCCCGCGGCCACGCCCGTCCTCCCCTCAGCGAGGCGGGCGGCGGTGGGGCCGGAGTCCGCCGGTGATGGCGGGCGGCGGTGGCGACGGGTGGAGGAGGCGGCGGCGGGCGGCGGCCTGGGCCGTGGGGCTGGGGCTGTGCGGGGCCGTGCTGGTGCTGGTGGCCGCCGTCCTGCTCCGCGCCCACCTCCGGCCCTCCCCGGCTCTCCCCCGCCTGTGGGCGCGGCGCAGAGGCGGCGGCCCCGCCGCCTTCAGCGCGGGCGAGCGGCTGGAGCTGAAGGAGGCGCTGCGAGGTGAGGGGGCCCCGGCGGCTCCCGGCTGCCCCCCGCGGCCCGGCCCCGGGCAGGGGGTGGCGGTGCCGCCGCCCCGCGGTGCGCCGAGCTCGCCCCGGGGCCGGGGGGGGAAGCGGTGCCCGTGCTTGGGCCCTTCCCCCACCGCCGTGGTTTCTGCGGGGTTTCTGTGAGAAGTGCCTCGCATTTTCTCGGACGGGTTTTGCTGTGGAGCTGGTTTATTCGCGATTGCAGTGGCGAATAAAAAGCAGAAGCAGGCCGTCAGCTTGTGTGCCCAATTGCCCGGCGCTTGATTCCTCCCCTGGTGCCCTGCTGGCTCAGAACTGCAGGTTCACAGCCTACTCACACTTACTCCTATTCTATATACGGACAATTCTATTTCACCAACCATTAACTTCTCCTTTTATTTCCTTCTTTCATGACTAGAGGGTCCCCAATCTTTGTTCTTACTGATTCTGCACTGCTCGTCCTGGTTCTCTTAGCTCTCCTTACTTTGGGACAGTGGGACCTGCCTCTGCTCTGTTTAACATCCTCCCCACTGCCCTGCCTGCACGATCATTTTGAACACACAAGGTTAGTGGAAATTGGCACTGAAAAAACACCTTTATTGCAAAAACACAACCTTGTTTCTCACTCTTCCCCCTCGTGCCTGCCTCAGGCACTTCCTGGTGGCAATTGCTGGACATCTCCTTGTCTGCTGGAAAAATCAGTCTCTCTTTTTAATTATGGCCTCATTTACTTATGGCTCAGATCTTGCACACCCCTTCCCAGCACACAGCCCGTCTGTAACGTCACGGTGTGTCAGTGCTCCCCACCTTGCTTCCTTCTGCAGAAGCGTTTGAGGATATTCAGCTGGCCATTTGCTGAAAGCCACGGTCTGGCGTGAAAGGGATGGTCTTTGGCTGCTCAAGTAGGGGTTGGGTCCTGTCAACCTGGTGTGTTATTGATTTGGAAGATCTATTGCCTAGCAAATTCTGTTTATGTTTGTTTGTTTTTAATCAGAAAACGCAAGAGTACAAGAGGGATATTTACTTATTTTCGTTCTGCTTCTTGAGTAACACTGCCTTGAAAAGAATCCGTAACCACCCTTGACAGATACTCTTACGAAAGGCAAAGTTACAGCTGTGTTTGTAGGACAGTGGCTTGGTGCTGGAGAGCAGCCTTGTCTGGCCCTGGTTAAATGAGAGAGCAGGCTAGTGGGAGCAGCAGAAGACTTTTCTGTTTATGTATCCCAAGGGGTTAGAGCAGCATGAAAGAAGGCACTTACTATGGAAAATGAACCTTCAGCTCCCAACTAACCTACTTCTTTAGCTGCCAGGGTAATTTCTGACTGAGGGAGCAGTTCACCTTACAAAATGCAGCTGCTTCTGGACAGTAGCATTCCTAATGACATCACTCAGCCCTCTAGGATGAGAAACTAAAGTGTTTTTCACTTTAGCGAATAAAGTATCTGTGCAAATACCTTAGCTGGAACTGAAGGGAAATACCTGTGTGCAGTGTGCCCACAGCTCAGCTGAAGTACATCAGTCTTTTTGATGGTGGTAACCCTTACTAACCTATGAACTAATCTTTAAAGCCTCAGAAATGTTCCGGAATGTAAATATTGCTTTTTCTTTTGAAATGCAATTCAAATATTGCTTGACTGATTTCGGTGTCAAATGATTTCTATTTTTTATTTCCTTGAAGGTGCTGTTAAAATCCCAACTGTTTCGGTGTCTCCAGACGACTTAAATGCAACGGCCATGGCAGAGTTTGGGAGGTACATTCGGGAAGGTACTAAACTTTCATTCTTAGCAATGAAATTCTTTGTTTTGGTGATGAAATCAAAGAGAATATGTGTGGTTCTTGAATATAGGGGAGTAGATTTTTATTTTGTTTTTCTCCTCAGGAAAGGACTGGCAAAATGGCACGTGTAGGTCACCTCTGCAGCACTGTAGTGGGGTGCATCAGTGACTAAAGCTAGAACAGAGAAGGTTCAGATGTCTTTCAGTGTTGTTTTTTGGTCCTTGAGATGATTAAATGGCTTTGACGTTAAAAATACATAAATAAGAGGAAGGCTACCCCTTTTTCAGCCTTTTTTTTTTTTCAGTGTCATCATTGCTGCAAAACAGCTGCAGCACTGGTGAACAACAGTTCCTGGTTTTGCTTAGGAAGGTCTTAAATATGAGCTTAGATAGTTCGAGGTGTGAGAACGAAGCTGTGTGCCTGCTTCCTGAAACAAGTTTGTTGCGGTCTTTGAGGCTAAATGGATAACTACTATATGGACTATATGGTGATAAAATTGGAAATTATTGCTAATTTTTCTTTTTCCTGTGTTTTTATTTATTTTTCTTAACAGTCTTCCCGGCTGTATTCTCTTCAAAGTTCATTCGACATGAAATTGTCGGGGAATACAGTCATCTCTTTACTGTGCAGGGTTCTAACCCTGAAATGCTGCCTTACATGCTGCTCGCACACATGGATGTTGTGCCTGCTCCCCCCGAGGGCTGGGATTTCCCTCCTTTCTCAGCCGCAGAGCATGAAGGTTTCATCTATGGACGAGGAACACTGGATAACAAAAACTCTGCCATAGTACGTCATCGTGGTAATGTCATTTCAAAGGGAGAAAAAGTCTGAAAAAAGGCAGTTTGGAGGAATCTGTTTACTTGAGATTTACCATACTGTCTCTCTTGCCCTTCTTTAAATGCAGGCTGTTAACTGCAAGTCTTAGGAATTTACCATTTTCTCCCACTTTTTTTTAGGGATGGAGTGCTCTTTTATTATTGAATAAAACAGGATTAAATCAGATGTTTAGCAAATGAGCATCACAGATGGTGTGGCTGCTTGTTATGATGTCATACTCCTAGAGAGTTCCTTCAGGTTGTTCAATTATCAATTTCAAGGCCATGCAACTTAAAAATTTGTTTTGATACTTACTTCCACTATGAACTGCACAAATAACCCTTCAAATTGACAATAAAAATCAACAATTTAAATGAACAAGGCAAAATGGTTGCTGGCAAGATAAAGGTATATGTATATATACCCTGCTAAAATGTAAAAAAACTAACTGTAGGTTGAGTTGAAAAAAACAGATGAAATAGAAAAAATTAGCAAATGGTAGATTTAATTTCTTATTTTTCAGGGTAAGTTTCTCATTCTTCTGTTTCTGCATTGGTACTTTTTGTACGAAACATGCTGCTCATTAAAATGAATGGAGTTGGTAGCTCAAGTCAGAGTGAGGCTGTGTAGGACAGACAGCTTAAAGGAACAGTGAGCTCCCTGGATAATTATAACTCTGTTGTGCTTCCTGTGCAGTTTGCCACTGACTTCGTGAGGAGCAAGAACAAGCCCGTACTGTATGTTGTGTATGCATGCTGACACTCTGTAGCACACTGTCTTAAGCGTTATTTGAGAAAATGAATATCACCAGTAGGAGTTGTGGAAATAAATGCTCAATTGTGAGCAGGACAAAGTCTCCTTAAGGGCTGGGAATGCATCATATTTCTTTTCTGTTACGTTACATTCTTTTACACTTATTCTCCTACTAACACCAGCGAATAGTAAAATTATCTGTGGTTGTTGTTTTTTTGTTTGTTTTTTTCTGCAGGGTATTCTGCAAGCTCTAGAATTTTTGCTGAGAAGAAATTACAGACCCCGCAGATCTTTCTATGTTGGCATTGGACATGATGAAGAGGTATTTTCTTTCCTTTCATCTAAATAACTGCTTGTTTGCACTGGTCATGTACATAACAAGGCTTATTTTTTAAACCTTGTTCACCTGTAAAGTTCTTCCTGGTTTTCTTTGTTATGCGGGTAGATACTGTCAGGCACATGCTTGTAGTTATATATTGATTGTTTGGCTTTAAGTGACATTGACAGAGGATTTGGTAATGAGCAAAGAACACAGTGGAGTGTTATTTCAAGTTCTTTTCTGTTGCAGACATGGAAGGTGAACAGGAGCTGCATCTTGGAATGCATATAAGTCATGGCAAGCTGGCCCAAGATTTACTTGGTTGTTCTAAATGATCAGGAAGAGCTAAGAAAAATACTCAGTTCTTGTTGTGGGTGTACCTGCTAGTAAATGGTACAAAGAGACAGATGAGGATGCTTCATTTATTCATTTTTATGATACGGAGACAAAAAATTGTCAATAGCTAAAACAAGTATCTCTAAAATTACAGGTATCTCTAAGTAATCTGTGGAGTTCATAGCTGTGGGATATCATTGTGTCCAAGAGCAAATAGGATTCAAAGCAACATTAAACGAACAGTGAATGAGAGAGTTCCTCAGTGTGGATATAAATCCATCTGCTACTAGGCCATTAGCAATTTCCAGTGAAGTTTCCTAGTAAGAATCTTAATTGCTCTAGAACTGCTCATTAGGAGTTTTCCTGCATTCTTTGCATTGTAGCAGTGGTCACTGTCAAGAGCAAGATGTTTTCCAGTATTCTTTCCAGTGGTGTGGCTTAACCTGGCTGTTTCCTCTGACTGGATTCTCACAGGTGTTTGGTCGGAAGGGAGCAATGAAGATTGCAGCTCTGTTGGAAGCCAGGGGAGTGAAACTTTCCTTCTTACTGGACGAGGGGAGTGCTATCCTGGAAGGCATCATTGCAGGAGTGAAGAAGCCAGTAGCTCTGTAAGTAAAAGAACAACATTCATGATGATGAAAGCGATCCATTTTGAATATTTAATTTGTTAGAAATGACCTCGCTAATGTCACCAAAACATGTTTTCAAGGCATGTGGTAGTGTTGGCATTGCCTGAACTATAGCAGTCAAAGGACCTCCAGTTTGCTTGCTGTCCACCACAGCTGTGCTGACAATAGCAGAATGTTCTACTTAGCTGGTGCAAGCGTGTTAATTACATGCTGTAGAGTCTGTTTGCCGGAGAAGAAGCCAAGACATCAGACCTCCAAATGTTTAAAGACTGTTAAGAATTTGTGGCTGCTTCTGCAGTGTTTCATATGACACTAAAAAATATGCAGACTAGTTTGCTTTTACCTGTAGTCTGTGCATGTGTATTTGGAGTTGCATTAACCATGTGTTTATTTATCATTGTACAGAATTGCTATCACTGAAAAGGGTTCAATAACACTGAACTTCACTGTGGATAAAGAGCCAGGGCATTCATCATTTCCTCCTAAGGAGACAAGTATTGGCATTCTTGCAGCAGCAATGGCCAGGTGAGAGCTTCCTTGTCATCTAACAGCAAAGACAGTCAAGCAGTCTCCTAAGGCACTGATATTTGACTTGCTTTTGTAATATTTGTGTTTAAAGTATTTTACAAATTCCCCTTGTGTGTTTGAAACTGAAATTCGTAGCTCACTTTGGAGAGCAGAAATGCAATCCCCAGCAAAGGGACAACTGCCAAATGTCTGGAGTACCTTCTCACTTCAGCTGTGCCCAGTATCTCTCAAGCCTTTAAAACTAAGGCAATTGCTACATCTTGATGTCTGTCCTAATTTACTCTGTAACTGTGCAGATCACTTTGTTTGGGTTGCAGAATTTCTGTGGAATTTATTCTTGCATATACCTGCTGCGTCTAGCTGGTAATTATCCAAGCCAACAAATGTGATGTAATGTCAGAATGTTGCATCCTGAAGCTGACTAAATCTTCTCATTACATGTCTCTGTAGATACCAAACTGGCTAGTAAATATGTATTTCAGAAAAGTCTTGTATGTATGGATAGAATAGAATTCGGTGTCATTTTTTTCTAGATTTCCATGTATTCTTTATAAGAGTCAGGCTTTTACATTTTTTCAGCTGATCATGAAAGAAAATCTTTACGCGTGACTGGAATGCTCAGCAATGTATAGTGGAGCTGTACTCGCAGATGTGCTTGCCAGGAGAGGAATGTGTGGTTACATCTCAAGTACATGGATGCGTTTCAGAAATCAAACTCCCCTCAGCCTTCTGGAGCAATAACAGCCAAAGGGGTTTTTTTTTAAAATTTCAAATGTCGATGTGCTTTGCCGTAGACTGGAGCAAAATCCTATGCGCAATCTGTTTGGCCATGGGCCAGAACTCATGACTATGGAGCACCTTGCGTCAGAGGTGAGGAAAGAACTATAATTTCGTTTCCAGATTTTCCTATTAATAAGTGAAGAGTAATCCATATGAACTTAAAAGCATAGTTATGTAATTCTTGGAAAGGAGCAGACTTAAGCTGGCATTTCTCCCGTAAAGGGAATTGTTCCTGATGGCTTTCAGCCATAGCAAAATGATTGTGTTGTCTTCTTGAAAACCAGAAACTTACAGATTTCTGGTTTTGTTTCTCCCATTTAGTTCAGTTTTCCTCTCAATATCGTCATGAGCAATCTATGGCTGTTTTCACCTATTGTCAGCAGGTAAGAAAACGTATCCTTGCTGAATATTCCTGTAGTCTCACCCTTAAAAGATGAAAGACTAGCAGCTATTTCTGATCTTCCCAGAAAAACAGTTATATCATCTCATGGTATAGGCAAAGTCAGTGCTTTGCAGTTAATAGTCAGTTGGGTAATTGAGAGTAGGCCTTAATTCAGCTTATTGCCTGTGTAACCGTGGTGCTTATGTTGTGTAGAAATTAAATGTATTTGAGAAATGATTATTTTCTTTTTTTAAGAGTTCTTGCCTGGAAACCTTCCACCAATGCCTTAATTCGAACTACTACAGCAGTCACAATGTTTAACGCAGGAATCAAGGTAGCTTCATTTTTTTGTAGTTTCTGGAGTATCTGACATCTGTCTCTGCAAACCAATATTAAGGTTATAGGTTTTTTTGTCCATCCTAAAATGTAAACAAAGTATCATAGGCAGTAGCTGAAACTGTCAGTTGTAAACACTTCCCTAGCCTGGATGGGGTCTTGCTTTTGTGAGCATAGGTCAGGCCTACCACCATTTGAGTAAAGTTAGCATGCACCTTGGACTGGGAGAAAACAGGTTCTGCCTGATAGAGCCAGATCTTGCCCTGATAAAGAGGTGTAGCTGTCCAAAAATACTATAACCCTGGAAAATAAACAGGCTATTTGATGTGTCTCTGAATGAATCTGTTACTCAAAGCATTGATACAGTGGCTGAACAGTGACACTAAGTGGCTGGGAGAGAAGTAACACCCTGGTTTGTTTGTTTATTTATTTATTTATTTATAAAGATCATACCTTTATGTTTTGACAAAAGTATAAATATTTGTTTTGTTGAAAAGAAGAGTTAGGTGTCCTTAGTAACATACTTAAATGACTTACGTGTCTCATGCTTGGGGAAAAGCAATGGGACAATAAACTAAAAATATTGTTTCAAAAAAATTCCTGAAATTTCTCAATACAAGGTTTCTCAAGGGAGGTGTCTCATCTGAAGAAGAAGGCACGGCTAACTTCATTTTTGTTGAATCAAGGAATATTTCTTTTTGTAGTTATCTGCATTATAAATGAGATGTGCAGTATTTGAATATCGAGCACAGGAAGATGTCACATTTATGTTAGTGGCAACAGTGATGCATTAATCTGTGGGGCCTGGAGTGGTTTGAGCAGTTTCTGAGTTTGCAGTTGGCATTTTAATCAGTTTTTAACTTTCTTTTATGTTTTGGTCTTTTTTTCCGTAGCCAAATGTCATCCCATCTTCTGCAAAAGCAACTGCGAACTTCCGGATCCACTCCGCAGAGAAAGCCACTGAGGTACTTACTGCCTGCACAATTAGTTAAGGTTTTTCTCCCAGCTAGGATAACTTACTTTTTTGTTCACAAGTGCAATAGAGTTTGTTTAGAACAACCTTCTTAGAAATTCTGTATAGATTCCAAGTGTCTTCTTACTGTGGCACAGAGCAAGAGGCAGACCACACTTGGAATTGTGCCTTGCAGTTACATTGAGTAGATTTTAGACCTTTTCTTGTGCCAAAGAGCAGAGTTGTGATTATGGAATGGAACTAAACTGAAGGCTTGTGATCTGTGAGAATGGGGGGGTCTTAAACACCTTGGTAGGAATGGCGTGCCTGTCTAGCCAAGTACAGCTGTGATACGTTACCAGTAAACAATATCTTCCCTTTGGGAACCCTTGAAAGTTTCTCTTCTCTGGAAGCTTTTTCTGGACTGTGTTCACTTAGGTGACCCAACTACCAAGTTGGGCAGGTTGACAACATGCTGTTCAGGGCTGAAGCAGTTTAGGAGCACCTTGAGACAGTGATGTGCATCTGATTGCACTGGACCAAAAGTATTAGATTAAGTATCAGCCATCCACTGAAAAAGAAGAGAGACTGGCACACAGTTTCAAGTTGGCAGTTCATAGACAAACGTTTACTGCAAGGTGGAACTTATGCTGATATTTAGAAAGGGTGCTCTCTCATTTCTTTTCTTTTCTATTATTCTTAATCTCTGTGGTCTACCCTAGGTGCTAGAGATAGTTAGAAACACTGTTGCTGATGACAGAGTGAAGATTGACGTAGTAGAGGCCTTTGATCCGCTTCCAGTCAGTCCATGGGATGACCAGACGTTTGGAGTCCATGTTTTTCAAAGAACCGTTCTGGATACTTTCCCAAATGTTGACAGCGTAGTTCCAGGTAACAGCAAGCACATGATGGTTATTGTTTCCTCTCCAGCTTCCGCCCTGCTTTTCTCTGCCCCCACCCCCCAGTATCTCCTTGTTTCCATTTGCTGTGTATTTCTCCACCCCAGCTGTTAACTGCTGGAAACAGTTGTTTTTTCCTCCTTTACTCAGTTCCCTCTTTATGTTTTAGTGGTTTATGTTGTTTTTTTAGTAGTGGAAGTAAAAAAGCAAACAGGATACTGACAGAAACAATGAGCCTTGAATTTAACTCTCTGCAGATACAAAGCAATCTCTTCAGAGAAGAAAGGAATTGTGAGGGAAAGTAGGAGATCGTCTTTCTTTAGCTCTTCTTTTATTGTTTTCTTAGCTGGCAAAGCCATTCCTGCTTTCCTGTATTATTCCTTATGATCCCAGCCCCTTCCCTTGCTCGCGGCTCCTTCCTATTTCTGTATGGTTTGTTGGACTGCAGTTTGAAGCTTAAACTTCTGGGGAGGCTGGGTATCATAGCTGCTCTTAGCGTGATTGAATCGCATGCTCAGCTCCTCCTGTTCAAAAAAGAGAGAACGTTGTTCTTCCAGGGTGTCCCAATAAATCGTTTTGGTGATTTTGTTCTCGGTGTAGCTAGGGGTCAAATAGAACAGTTATCAGATGCCTTTCCCTTCTCCTGGGAAAAGTGTGTGTCATCGAGTTGCTGCTCTTGTGCCCAGTAAACCTGGGGTTTGTTTTCCAGGCACGTGTATCGGAAACACAGACAGCAGGCATTTCACTAACGTCACAAATGCCATTTATCGATTTAACCCACTGATCTTGCAGTCAGATGACCTTCCCAGGTACTGTGTTCTTTCTGCATGTGGGCAGCTGTTAGGGGTGGGGACTAGCGAAAGAGAAAATCGATAGGCGTTGGGCAGAAGGAAACCCAGCCTTGTATACCTTGGCATGGTGGTGGTGTTGCCGCGCCTTCTGTAAGGCCGCTCATTTCCTGCATGCTTGGGTGCTGCACAAACAGGGGATGATAATGACACTGGGAGAGTGTTAGCCCTCACTCTTCTTTACTTCAGATGGGAACAAGGCCTCATTCAGGTGTCCCCCTGAGTAGCTTGGCGATGCGGTGAGGCTGACTGGATCCTTTATGTAGTGTAAGAGATTTATCCCTATGTTTGGACACATGGCGCTGAATTTATTTGTTCTTTAAAGTTAGAAATTAAGTTTCCTGGGGTAAAGAGACAGTAAAGAACACCAACAGGCAAGGCTTTGTTTCTTTATTTACTATGTAGTAGATTCCTCATTCTACTGAGGTGCAAATGTTATAGGAGTGCCTCGTAGCTGTACAGGACCGTGACATAAAGGGCCAAGAGCTTCGCAGAGACTTGGAATAACAGTTTTTCCATGTATACCCCCAGCTTAGTTTTTGTGCTCTGAGCCTTAAAATCAGTAAGTTATTTTGGTTACCCTGAGGAACAGACATAGCAGTTGCAGTATTTGTCGTGTATTCCTGCGTTTTTATGCTGTGCATTTATTTATGAAGTGAAACAGGCAAGTAGGATGCTGGATGTATGCAGGTGGGTCACAAATGCATGCTGCAATGAAAAACATTCTTCTCTTTCTACCAGGATCCATGGGTTGAATGAGAGAATCTCGGTTGAGAATTACGAGAAACAGGTCGAGTTTCTCTTTCAGCTGATTAAGAACTGTGATATTGAGAAGCTTCCGGAGCCTCACGCAAACTCCCATGAGCTGTGAGACAAAAAGCCTGAGCGGAGCAGCTCCTGAGGTGGACTCTGGGATGACAGAGGTCTGGGCTGTAAGCAGCAGTTGTGTGTTGCATATTGAGCAATGTCAGGAATGTGATTTTACATATTGTGGTTGGCACACAGATGGAAAAACTGCAGGTTGATGATTTAGCCAAACGCACGGTTTGCTGTAAAGTCACAAGAACATGGATAAAACACAACAAATATTCCAGATTTCTGTGCCTCCCTGATCTTACATGCAGCCGTTAATCTGATGGTATTAAATTTTTTAGCACGTTCTTTAATCTTTAAGCCTCTGAAATAGGTAGTCACTTAAAAATCAAAGCTATAATTGGCAGTCACTTGTACATCGTTATAAGAAGATAATCTTCCTCTGTGTGCTTTTGACAAACTCTGCTTTTACAGTTAATTGATTTTCACAAATGATGTGTCTGTCAGAAACTCATGTAAAAGGTACACAAAGGGCGTTAGGTGTGATGTAACTGGGTAGAGTTGCACTGAGTTTGTTGCACTGATGATGGGGTAGGCTTCTGCCCCAGGTGATTCTCTCAACCAGCATTTACAGAATCGACTTGATCCTGTCATTTCTCCCATGCATGCACTGATTTCTGACTGTAGCTTGAAATACTGAGCTTCAGGAGTTCTAGCTATGTTGCTTTACAATATGTTGCTCTGATCTCAGAGGTGCAAAAAACTTTTCTTCCTGTCTTTTCTGTGACTTTTTTCCTCTCCTTCTCTGGTAAGACCCCCAGGCTGTGTTGTGCAGCTGTGTCAGAGCAAGGAATCCTGACTTTAAATAAGAAACTACATCAGAAACTTAATTGTGAAAGCAGGCAAAGCCCATCAGTTTATTCCTGTTTGGTGGGAGCAGAGTTTTCTCTATCCCTTCATGGCCTGCTTTAACGCTTTTCACATTGCCTGCCACTTCTATTGAATTGGCTCTTTGGGAATCCAACAACACCAATAGCCTGTCTACTCTATTTTATTTCATCTTGCACTTCTTGCACTAGCATGCCCAGTTTTGTTAGCATTAAAAGGGTAAGTATTCTTTTGGCCTTGTTAGTGTCTTTAGTTAGAGTTATTGATACTCATTAAACAATTAAGGACTAGATGTTAGACAAGGTTAAAACTGTGTTAAAACTGCTTTGTTGTACTGACATGCAGACTCTGTGCTAAGGAAGGAGGCAAACCTTGCCCTGTTGCAGAGATGTGTGTGTTTTTCAGTTGAACACTGGAATGGGTGGTTATTCTGCTTTTCATTCACTGTAAAATGTGCTGGAATGTAGAGGAAATATCCTGAAATGTATCCTGAAAACCAATGATGGAATTGGTGATTCCTATTATTTCCATTCACCATTCTCTATTTATTTGCTGTCTGATCTTATCAGTGTGGCCAATGGGCTGAAGTTGTATCAAGCTACTAAATAATTGAAACCAGGTTGGCATTTTTGTCTAATAAAACAAGGAATGAAGCTTCTTTTCTTGATTATTACTTAGTCTCTTAATGTAGCTTTATATTTGCAATGAAGTCGTTTCCACACCTGATTCTGCACTGGAACAAGCCATAAAGTTTCCATCAAAACAAACCCACATATTTTCCAGCCTGCTTTAATCTTTGTACCCTTCCTGGTGTTCTTTATTTTTGTACAAAAATTAACTAACTGTTTATGCATTACTGGCTAGTAAATAGCTTGGGTCTTTCATGGTTTATTGCGTTTAGTCTGTGTGTCCTAATGTCACTAATTTGTTTAGCCGCAAGTCTATAGCTCTTTTGTGGAGGTGTCATTTCTCTTGCAACCTTCTGTTGCATACACAGCAAAAGTGATTTGTCAGGCTATGGCACAGAATAAAATACGTCCCCGGGAGTGGGAGCTGGAGGGAAGTTTTCCTCTGACAAGCCTCAATAAAAAGGTCTGAGTCTAAAGCCTTCGCTTTGACCATGGCTGTAGGGGGCCAGTGCTGGTTAACATCTTCGTTAATGACCTGGATGATGGGGCAGAGTGGGTCCTAATTAAGACTGCAGATGATACAAAACGGAGAGGAATGGTTGATGCACCTGAAGCTGGTGTTGTGGGCAACATCTCTTGTGTTTCGGTGAGGATTGTTTCTTTAAAGGCCGTTCATTTGAAGATTCATTTTGCTGCTGAAGGAAGAGAGAAGGGCAAACGGTGCTGGGAAGGCATAATTGTTTTTGGCAGGTACCGTGCAAATGTGTGCCATGAGATTTCATTAATGCAGTTTGTTGCAGAACCTCATTAAGTGCTGCTTGTCAGCCAGCGCTGAAGTCATGCAGTGCCTCTGCAGCGAGCGAATGTTCAACAGAGCTTTACTGCAAGCTGAAGCCTCAAAACTCAGTGCTTCAAGCAGGCCTTATCCTCCAGAATCCAATGGTGAAAATTCCTCTCCTCTCCTGATTTTTCCCAGTTATTTCTGATAATGATCTCTGCTTTTACTTCTGTGCAGCAGCTTTGCCCTTTGTCTTCCTGTCTCACTTCACCAGCTGCCATGCCATGCTTATCTGGCACGGTTCTGAAGGGTTGCTCAGTGTTTGGGTAGCTGCACGCCTCTCCTGACAGAACGGTTTTCTTTCCACCTTATTTTATCATCCCTGTGGTATGTCCTCAAAGAACATGGTACGTCCTCATCTTGAGTGGTAATTGAAATCTTAGTGTCACCATGTGAATAATGTAAGGGTGATGCACTGCCCTTTTCTGGTTAGATCATACACAACTTTGCCTTGCATGAGTAGTTACTTGATAATGTCAAGTACATTGTGACAACACGATTGCTAGCTCTGGTTTATTCTTTTTTTGTAATGACTCACTGTGCTCTAGGCATGTGGAGCAATTACCTCTGATTCATCAGAGAGGTAAAAGCCTGATTTTCTGCTCTGGAGATGCCTAACGTGGCGTTATATCCGACAGAGTTTTGAACGTTGTTATCAGTAGTCCACTTTGAGCGTGTTAATGTGTTCCTGTGTTAAGTCAGAGCAACTTCCTTCTCCACCTTTGTAGCCAAGTCCGCAAGCTGCCATTCTTCTGACAGCACTTACTCAAAGTAACAGCTCTGGAGCCGGCCAGCCGCAGCAGCCTGCTTGCTAGCAGCCCAGCTGATTGGGGGTCATCTGGGTCTGTACTGTGATGGAGAGAAGGTCACATTCCACACCTGCATTTTCTAAAGAAAGCTCTGTTGCCAGCATCTATTTAAATGGCCTGGTTTATTCTGAGGCCTGAGTGACCATGGGGAGTTCAGGCACAGAGCTGGAGGAGAAAGCAGGAACGAGGTGTTTACAAAGTTGTTTCCTCCCCTCTTCTATGTGACACTTGCATTCTTGGCTCCTCTTTGGCTATTTTGTTTGGTATTTCATAGAGCTGGTGAACCCATTCTCTCGAGCAGGTGCTGTGAAGGCTCAGGCCGTGCAACTGAGCCCTAGTTTTAGCAATGCCACAGAGCAGGATGTCCACTGAGGAGCTTGGAGTGTCCCTGGCCGCTGCAGAGAAGCTGTTCCTCGCCTGCAGCTCAGCCTCTGACCTTCGGTGCTGACCTTCAACAGGCTTCAGTGCACGGACCCTTGCACGGATCCTTGCCGACGCGTGCAGTCCTCATCTGCAGCTCCCCTGCAGAGCTGGCCGGCACGCGGAAGCCTTTCCAGGCACGTGTTTGTCACTTTGGTCCCCGAGCTCAGGCCCCCACCATAACTGCTTGAAGAAATGCTGCTTCCATGCCCTCTGAGGGCTCTGGTGCAGCACCGAGCGATGTTGGCGTGCAAACATCAGTGCTCGTAGCAAGGCCTAGAGGCATTCAGCAGCGCTGCCCGGGGAGTTATTGTCCTCAGCTGAACGCTGTGTCATCGGAGCTGCCGTGCGGGGGGCTCGGCTCCGCTTTCCGGTTCCACGGCGGAGATAAGAGCCCAGCGTGGCGGGGAAGGGAGGGACCTGCCCCACGCAGCACAGCCCCCCTGATTCAGAGCTGGGGTGGGGGGCCCCAAAGGAAGCTGCAGTCAGGTCTCAGCAGGAAGGAAAATGACCGCATGGAAGGGTGGTTGATGCGGGGGGGGGGAGACAAAGAGAAAATGTCCCGATGGATTTACCTCCGTGTTGCTCCAGGCCTGGGCAGGGGGATATGAGAAGCGGCATGCAGGCTGTGAAATGTATCCCAGGTGGCTCTTCAAACATCTTTTCTTTTATAATTTTAATCCGCCATAATTGCATGATTTACTGCAGGCCTATAAACACTCGGATCGCTTGAATGCTGTGCCTGAGCTTGCGCTACAAAGCCAGCCACATGGAGGAGCCTGGCTGCAGTTCAGTTCTTTAACGGAGCAATCAAAAAGCTCCTTCCAGCTCGTGGCAGCAATCCTTTGCTTGGTGACTGTGCTGACTGTGTCAGTGCAGAGGCTCTCTACAGGCTCTCTGTCCAGCCACCACAGCTACACCAGGGCTTTTTTCGTGTTTTCTGTTTGATAAAGATGATCAGAGAGGAAAGCAGCCGCAGGCTGTTATCACAGACCGACCCAATGGCCTGAGTAAGGGATATGAATTCTTCCAGAAAGCCCACAGGGGAGAACCAGAAGGTTTTATCCACGTTCTAACTATTTTAGTTGTGCTGCAGTCACTACAGCTGCCATGTACGTGTCTAACCTGCCTGTAAACCTACTGGCCTACCTGCTGCTCTTTGTCTCGCATCAGTTTGGGTCTGATTCCAGCCTGCCCGACAAGCTGTGTAAGTACTCACGAGTGGTAACGAGCCCCGGAGCACTTTTGTCTTTCCAAGTCACTTAATCCAGTGTCCCATCTTTTGGGAAGCGACAGGATCCTTGTGGAGCAGGATGTCGTGGGGAGTTGAGGTGAGTCTCCTCGATCCACCCCAGCAGCCCTGTGGTGTGAGTCCTTTTTTCAGCCTGAGCTCAGATGCAGCTGAGCTGACAGCTTACGTCCGGAGCACTGCAGCAGTGCGAGGCATGGCCTCGGTCCCTCCGTGGCAGGTGTCCGTGCTGCCGCTGGGGCAGCAGCTGTTGACACAGGAACCGCTGGCCTCCCGAACGCAGGAAGCGAGCACTTCCAGCTCCCCTCTGTCAGGTGCTCTCACGTGGCAAAAAAACAAACCCTAGGGACGTACCTGACCAGGGATGAGCTGTGTTTGCTGCAGCAGACACAGCGCGTGGGTGACACGTGAACGCAGCTGCGAGAGGTGAGCATTTGGGCCTGTGAAAGGATGGTGGTGGGTTTTGTTTGCTTCCAGGCTGGTAAAACAGAACTCTGTGGCTCCCAGATCAGGACCAGATTAGGGTCAGCTTCTGATGTTGCCTGCCTTCCTGAACTGCTTTGCTCAGGACTGACCTCTGTAGGGGTAGGTCGTTATCCACAACTACTTGGTCTCAGTTTCTGTGTTGAGATTCCTGGTTACAAGAAGTTAAGAACTGGGTTCCCCTGGAGTCCTTGGTGAGAGGTGGCTGGGACTCGATTCAAATTGGCTTTAGGAGCTGACAGTGGTGGAGCTACAACAGACAGCAAAGGGTCAGGACCTCTTAGGACACTCAAACTCTGTGATAGGTTTTTACTTTGAATGACTTTGGCCAAATCACTTTATTTTGCTCGATCCTTGTATGAAAAGGAGAAAATTATGCCACGCACCTTTGGGCTTTCTAGGCCAAAACTGTGCTGTGTGACAGCTTGGCAGTGCTAAAGCCATGTGGCTGCTGGAAAGCCCACGGGCACGCGGTTCCATGACCTGCTGCAGCTCCGTGGTGAGTTGTTTCCTTTCCAAGGACTCGTTACCTTTGGTACCTGCTGCCCCGCAACTGGAAACCCATTTCCTGCCCTTTCATCCCCTGCCTTTCTGATCTCTGCGCGTCAGCTAGCTGCTGGGGATTTTATCTATTTCTGTTTTCTTGTCTCATGCGGCTTTTGTCTTCACGCTTCCACTTCCTGAGCGCGCAGCTGGCCGAGTGTTAATCAACAAGGTCACGTTTTGGTGGGCCTTGTTTTCATGGGGGTGGGGAAAGAACGGCTGCTCCGGGGGAGGTGTGGGTTTTCCAAGTCAGGAAGGAAAGATGAAGGCAGAAAGAGAGCCTCAGGGACCAGGTTTGTTTGGACAAAGGAAAGCAGAGGCTAGGGTTGGAGGCAGGATTTGGGGCTGCCCACTCCAGGGCTGTGGAACTGTGCTGCCGCTGTGGTTCAGACACCAGCTCTGGATGGCCCAAGTTCTCCTCTGTGTCTTTTTGTCAGTGCCTCATCAGGAGGTCGCCAGGGTTAAATTACTGCCAGTGCTCGTTATCCTTTGAGACAGGGGATGCAGTGGCCCTGGCAGCAGCCAGGTCCAAAACCCGGCGCCTTCCACCGGTTCCTGCAGCGCCGCTGCCTGCCCCAGGAGCGTTCCGCGGGGAGCCTCGTCCCGGAGCTTTTAGGGCCAGAGGAGACGCGCGGGCCCCGGCGGCTTCATCCCAGCCGCCCCCGGGCCGAGCCGAAAACCAGAGGGACCCAGCGGGGGGGGGGCTGGGGGAGCCGCCCCCGGGCACTCGCAGCCCCCGCTTGGCGGGACAGCGCGCGCCGTGGCCCCGCCCACTCGGGCCACGCCCACCTAAGCCCCGCCCCTCGCTCCCCGCCCCACCCCCCCCGGGCGTTCCCTCCCCTCTGCGCGGGCAGCGGCGCCGGGAGGGGGGGGCGGTGCCGCGCGTGACGCCGCTCCCGCCCGGACCAATGGGGGCGGCGCGCGGCGCGCGGGGGCGGGGCCAGCAGTGGCGGGCGGTGATGTCAGGGCGCGCCGCGGCGCGGGAGCGGGAGCGGAGCGGAGCCGGCGGCGGGTGCGGGACGGGCACCGGGGGGACCGGGGGCACCGGGCGGGCCGGGGGACGCGGCACGGGGCAGTCCCGGCCCGGAGGGCTGAGCGCCGGGCTGGGCAGCGCTCCCCGGGGCCGCCGCCGCTCCCCGGTTTTGGTAACCGGGGGCTGCTCGTCCCCGCTGCCCGGCGGTGCGCGGGGTTCCGCCGGGGCTGCGGCGGCCGGGCCGGGCCGGGCGGGGAGCTGCGGGCCGTGCCCGTTGTCCCCGGGGGGATTTCGGCCCCTGGCACCGCATCGCGGCCCCCCCCGGTGCCTACCGGGGCTGCGAGAGGAGGCCCGGGCAGCGGCGCGGCTGCCGACGTGTCGTGTGCTGGACGGGGCGGTGTGCGCGGAGCCGCAGAGCCCAGCAGAGCGTTTTTTTTCCCCTGTGTTTCAGGTGACAGACGGGCTAATGCAGGGGGATGTCAGCTCCGAGGCCGTCCCGGTGCCAGCTCCTGCCCCGCAGCCTGCTCGGCGCAGTGACCCTGACTGGGGGCTCGCTGTTACTTTAAATAAGAGCTCCTCTCGCCTCGCGCTGTAAGGTGAGAAATCCTGCTGGAAGAGGAGGGCGGCTGCGGCACTTGGAGCTTGCTGGGTTTGCCGCCTGTTCTGGCAGCGAGCGCAGAACGGGCTGAAACGGAGCAGAGGCCCCCAGGAGCCTCCAGAGTCAAGTTCTGCAGAGGAAAACTAACAGAGCCCCGGCAGCAAGGAGAGCTCTTCTGGACTGGGGGAACGTCAGCTCTGAAAGCCAGTCCCTCTTGTACCCACCCCCTGGTTCCTTTAAGCTTCCATTTTCTTCAGGGGTCTTTATTTCATCAGTTTTCCTCTCTGCCTTGTGTGCCCCATCGCAGCAGTCTGCTGGAAGAAGGCCTGGAGAAGGACGCGCTAAAGGGTCACGCGTCGAGGAAGAGGAGCCTGGATCCCACCTCGGTGGCTGCTGCCCCGCGCAGTGCTGGAGGGAAGGGGCCCTGCAGTGAGCCTGCTGTAGCTCCCGGCTCCTCCTGCGCTCTCTGCTAGCTCAGTTGTCGGTGTCCCCGTTCCTGGACTTTGCTTGATGGGGATCTCTGCTGCGGGAGCAGTCTCTGCACTCAAAGGCGGGCGAGCAGGGATAGCAGAGGTGGCCTCTAGATGCTGGAAGGGCCATTTGTGTAAGGCCCTGGCCGAAGATCTCTCCTGGAGCAGCTGCTGGCTGTAGGCCCACCGAGCCGAGGGTCAGGAGAGCCTCTCTGCAGGATGTCTTCCAAGCCGGAGCAGAAGGAGACCCACCAGGCCAACGGGGCCGTGCTCCCCACGGTGCCCATGAACTGCCTTGCCAGTCCAGACCGAGGGCAGCTGGTGGAGCCCTCGGATTTCCTGGGACCTGACGGTGTCGGGGTGGAAGTGGTGGTGCTGGAGTCCCGCGCCAACGCTAAAGGGGTGCGAGAAGAAGACGCCCTGCTGGAAAACGGCAGCCAGAGCAACGAAAGCGATGACACCAGCACAGACAGAGGTCCTGAGCCAGCCTCGCCGCTCAAGGAGACCTCGTTTTCCATCGGGCTGCAAGTCCTCTTTCCGTTCCTCCTGGCAGGCTTTGGGACAGTTGCTGCTGGAATGGTGCTGGACATTGTGCAGGTAGGACGGGTGCCTCCCCGGTACGATGCTGGGCTCCGAGTCCCATCTCTATAGACCACAGCTTGCTCCCGAGCCAGGGGATATACTCAATATTATGCCAGGGCTAATTTGGCAGCTCCAAGGGGAAGCAGCGCGTTTCCTTGTGTGCTGGTTGGGATAGGAGGGGATCTTGGTTGTGTCTGGAGCGAGGGGAGGAGGGGCTGCGGGGACCCCTGCACCGCTGCTGCCCTGCTCCAGCTCGGAGGAGGTCACAGAAGTGCAGCGGATCCCCTGCCTGGAACTGAGACTGCTCCACGCATCGCTGCTGGGAACGAAGCGGTCATCGTCCCCTGGCGGTGCCCGTGGGCGTCCCAGCGCTGGTGGCTGGCTCTGCACGTCCCCTTTCCCCTCGCTGCAATGTTTGCTGTACTGTTCCAGCACGCGGGGCTGGTGCCAGCCAGGTCAACGATTCCCCTGCTGCAGCGTGTGCAGGGTGCTCTGAGGGCTGGCTGGGCAGCCCCTGCTCTGCCTCCTCGTGGGCTCGAGGCAGTTGTGCCATCGGGATTATTTATTCTTCCTGAGAGCTGCGTGGAGCTGATCTTTGGGAAGGGCCGGCCAGGGAACTGGCTGTTACCTCTGGCTGAAAGCTGTGGGGTTATCAGGCAGATCTCTCAGGTCTTTCGAGGTGGGTGGCACTATGGGAACCACACAGCTGGCTTAGGTTTGGGTTAGAAACGTGACTGAGCAGGCTGGCTCCTGTGCTGTCTCTAGCAGTGGTTTCCCAAGCAGGGGTCTCTGGCAGCCGATGGGCCCTCAGCCCCTTCTGCCTTGCCCCGAGGGACAGGCAGGGCACAGCTCCTTGTCTCGAGGCCCAGCCAAAGCAGTGAGGCAGCTCTCGATTGTGCAGTGTGGCTTTCTGGAACTGTTTGGATGGAGGCAGACACGTTGGAGCTGTCATCAGCCAAAAACGCTCTGCTTGCTGCTCCCCCGTTCACCTGCGTGCCGTAAGCAAGCCCCTGCAGTGGGGCTCTGACAGCAGCCACTCGCCCGTGCTGCTGGCAGCGAGTATCATCTGCAGCCGAGCTGTGCCCCTGGGGCTCTGGGCATCCCTCTGTAAGCACGGGTGGTCGGGCAGACATTTATTTTCCTTTATTGCCCCCGTTGGCTCTTCCCTGCGTGCCTTTGCACGCTGCTCATCCTTCTGGTTTCTCTTGATGCAACCTATTGAGAGAGTTGTGAGGTTTGAGCTGTGACTCAAAACAGGAAGGGCTGGCTGGGCTAAACTAATCCAGGGGAGAGACAGATTTACTGGAATAACTTTCTGAAAGGCGTTTCAAACGGGGTTCCCTCTGCAAGCTCCCCATAAACTCCTGTGTGGCTCTTCTGGTGGTTTGTACCCAGCCTGGAGTCCGTCCTGGAGAGGGACCAGCCCTCCTGGCTGGGGAGGAGAGGGGCAGGGGTGGGATGCGGTGGCACACTGCTGTGTTCTCTATTCATGGCCATTAGAAATAAAGCTTCATAATTCCTCTGTTCCACAGCAGCTCAGCATGTGGCTCTGCAGCGTGTCCTGCCAACTCCTTTAACTCCCTTTAGCCTTGGGATTAAATGAGGCATCTAAATGCCAGGGGGGAACAGGGGGAAGGGAAGCGTGTGGTCTCGGCTTGCCTGCCTGCAGAGTTTGGGGAGCTGCTCTCGGTGAGGGGCTCCCCAGAGGCTCAGAGCCTTGGGTGAAAGGAGGGAGGCGCGGGGAGCAAGGAGCTGGGACAGCGAGGAGTTGGACATAGCCATGGATTGGGATGGAGGGAGAGCTCCATACCCCTAATTTCCTCTGCTTTAGACAAGCAGACTAATCAGCCAGCTGTAATTAGCCTCCCCAGCGTGAAAACTGGCCTTTGGCCATGCTGAGCCGTTGATGTGTCCCGGGGAATTTGCCTCTGCTCCCTCTGGGATTGGAGACCTCCAGGCTGGTGACATCCAAGCGTGCCACCTGCCTGCTGTGCAGGGCAGAGCGCTGCTGGCACGCTCCCCTCTCCCAGCAGAGCCCTGGTGGTTGTTTTCCAGCCTTTGCCTGCTCCCTGGAGATGCTTTGGCTGGTCCTGAGCGTGCAGCAGGGGGGCTGCTCGCCTCCCCTGCTCGGCCACCTCTGGCGGTGGCGTCCCCTGGGGCCAGCAGGGGATGCTGACCGTGGGCTCCCGGCCCCTTCCTCCTCTGCCCAGCTGTGGCTTCCCATCCTCCCTGCCTCCGCCGCTGTCCTCCTAGGCAGAAGGCTGCTTCCTCAGACCTGTGGCAGCTCGCTGCAACCCCGCTGAAGGCTGTGGTCGAGCTGCCCTGGTGCCAGGCCTGGAGGAGCCTTGCAGGGCTTCTCACCAGCCTCTCTTGGCCTCTCCTCGCTTCCTTCCCAGGGCGCACGGGGCTCTGGTTCTCCTGCTCTCCTCTTTGGGCTGTGACGGCTTTCTGAGCGTTTGCAGGAGAGGAACACAGCGAGCAGAGCTGCCACGGCAGCGATTGCTCCAACCTGCTGCCTCCCCGGCACTTCCTTCCCCTCCGAGCTGTCCTGAATCACCCTCCTGCTGCGGCCGCGCTGCGCCACGAGGGCTGAGAAGCAGCTGTTGGCCTGGAAGTACCAGAGCCTGCAGGTGTGAAGCCTCTGAAACTCAGCGAGCCTGGAGGAAACGGCAAAACCCCACCTGGGGCTGGGTGGTTCTTCCAGAAGCTGTGACAAGCCGGGGTCTGGTCTCCCGGTGGCTCTGGTGCTGGGGAACACCGGCTGAGCAGCTGGAGGTGCAGAGAGTTGACCGTGGTGGCTTGCAGCCTCTGCTCCCTCTTTCCGTGCTCCTCAGAGAGTGCTGCTATGGGGAGAGTCAACTTAATCTGATATTTCCCCTTCTCTTTCCCATTTTTGTCTTCCCCATGCACTGTAGTTCTCCCCCTATCCATGGGCACTGGTTTCTGCAGGGAGCTTTGTGCTCGGCAGGAGCCCTCGGAGCGGCACGAAGTGCCCGCAGCCCGGCGTTGTATAACATCTGATCTTAAAAAAGTTGGCAGGAGCCCACAGGTCCTGCTCTTTGCAGTGAGCGAGCTGCTGATGTCTGCAGAAATCCTCTTGTTTTCCCTCCCCGAAGATGGCTGCTGCTTTTTTTTTTCCCTTTCTGCAGGAACACCCCTGTCTTGCCTGGGGAGCCGCTCTAGCAGGCTCCGGTTACAGCAGCTTCTGGCAGCAGCTCACAGCTCAGCCTCCCGGAAAGGTTAACGCACAAATCCCGTGTTGGGACGAGGTGCAGGAGGGCTGTGGACACGTGCTGGCTGTCTCCTGGGCCTGCCTCTGCGATATCTCTGCAGGAAGGAGCCAGGAAGCTTTCGCACAGCGCTTCCAGGCTGCGGGCGGGCTGCTGACAGCGTTCCCTTCGCTCCGTGCCTCTGGTGACACTGCGAAGGGAAGTTGTAGCGAAGGATTCATCGGGACGAGCAGCAAAATAACCGTGGTGCCTGCCAGGCCTGCCTAAAAATAGAGCCTGAGAGCAGAGCTCGGCTGTTCCTAGGTGTGACCTTAAAGGAAGCGCAGCCTGACGCGCTGCTGTGTCGAAGGAAATATTTCAGACTGATTTTCCTCCTGCCCTGCTCGGCACCAGATGCTGAAATGAGGCATCTCTGCACTGCCTGGTCAGGTAGCCGTGCTGAGCCTCAGCCTTTCGAAGCACCTCTGGCTGTAGCGAGGGCTCCCAGGCCCACTGTGTGCAAGGTGTTTGGGGCAGGGGCTGTGGGGTTCCCTTAGGCTCTGCCCGTCTCAGCAGCTGGGCAGGATTTTGTCCGTGCACCTGGGGGCTGCAGAGTGTTGTCAGCTTGTCCTACAGGCTGTCAGCAGCTTTACGGGGATTTTTATTGAGTAGAAGGCCGTTTTTTAGGGAAAATGGTCCCAGTTCATCCCTCTCAAGCGCTTCCCTGCCTCCTGTGATCGTGCTGCTCTCTCAAATGGTTCTCCCCATGAGTGCAGCTTGGACATGGTATTGCCAAAAACCACCAGCAGGAAACTGGGCTTTGTTGGCTCTTGCTGTCCCGGTGCTGATGGCAAGCATCACAAAGGGTGGAAAAATAAACCAAAACACCCCAAGCCCTTCCCCGCGGGAAGGCATTAGTCACCAGGTAGTGACCTTTACGTGCTGTACGGTGCTGGCTGCTCCTGCTCCTCGCCCGGCCAGCACCGCGCATCCTTTGGGGGATGGAGCCGGCCGCAGGCACCGTCAGCAGGGGGGAAGCAACGGGAGCCCTGACCTGCAACATGCTCAGCACCACCGCCAGCTGCCCAGAGCCCTTCCAGCAGCACTGGGTTTCCTTTCAGGAGCATGCCAGTCGGGCGGTGTGGGAAGCAGGAGCTATTTTGGACACCTTCTTGCAAAATACACACGAAAGTAAGGCGTCAGGCAATGGCGCTCGTGCAGCCCACGTTTTGTTTGTTTTTTTTTTTTTTTTCCCTGACACTGTTGTGAGGTTTTTGGGGTGGTTTGGGGTTTTCTGGGAAGCTGGCTGCTCTCCTGTGGTGTTGCTCACCCTACAGTTACTCTGTTTTTTTCCTAAATAACCACGGCTGCCTTGATCCTAGAGGCAGGGTGGGCAGCAAGGACTGAGGGGTGCACGTGCAGGGTGAGGGAAGCAGGGACTGAGCCCTGGGGGCTGCTTCTTGGAGCTGGCAGCATCAGGGAGCAGCGGTGCCGTGCTCGGCGAGGTATCCACAAGATGAATGTGTGGGGAATGACTCTGGGCCGAGACTGACCAAACTTCGGGGCTTGATTCTGCCAAAAACTGCGTGTATTGGGCAAAGCCTGCGCGTCGCCCCCTGGTTTGGCTCCTGCGTACGTAAGTGGTTTGTCAGTGGGGAAACTTCAGGGGATTTTGTAACTGAAGGCTGCAGGCTGAGATCCTGTTTTTAAGCTCAGCAGGAACATGTGTTTGCTACTACACAAATGTCAGGAACAGTAAAATCGCTGGAAAGCGCGATACCAGAGCTGGAAGCTCGGGGCAGGGGCAGCGGAGCAGGTGCCAACCAACCAAGAGCAGAGGTTTCAAACACCTGTGGTTATTTTGTTGTCTGTTTTTTAATCTTGCAGCACTGGGACGTCTTCAAGTATGTGACAGAGGTGTTCATCTTGGTGCCTGCGCTGCTGGGCCTGAAGGGGAACCTGGAGATGACTCTGGCATCTCGCCTGTCGACTGCTGTGAGTACCCAGGGGGCGCCCGGTGCGGGGGGAGGCAGGTGGGTGGGCGAACAGAAGTCTCTCTGCATGTGGGGAGCAACCACACAAACCAGAGGCTGGAGTTTACCTTCCTAGCCAGGCGTTCCCGTCCCATTTGATCAGATTTAAAGGCTCAGTAGTCCCTAAGCTTTGCTGACAGGTCGCTTCCTCATCAGGGCTGCTCGTGAGCCTGGAGGCTTTGGCAGCTCAGGATCCGCAGTGCTTGGCCCTGCCGTTGTTCACAAGGAAGCTGGGTGCAGGCACGCGCCCAGAGCACACAGAGCAGGCCAGAACGTGCCAGGTTCAGCAGGGCTGGCAGATCAGAGAGCCTGGGGAGAGCTGTATGGGTGAGGCTGAAACGGAGGGGACCTGGCAGGGGCAGCAGGTGGATGGACAGCCTCTCCAGGACGATGAGAGGCACGGCGGGGCGTTTCTCTTGCTGGAATTCAGTCCGATTCCTGTGGAACAGTGGGCTCCCTGTGAGAAACGGGGACAAGCTCTCTCAGCTCCTCAGAGTGCTGTGGTAGTCCAGCAGTAAATGAACTGCTTTGTGTTTAGCTGCTGCTATAACGCAGCAGTTCCTCCGAAGCTGAGCAGCGCTGGCATCCTCTCCTAACAGGCACAATAACGCTCCTGCCTTCGGTAAAGCATCTCCTGCTTGAACACAGCAGCCTGATGTTTCTGTGCTTCCCGAGGTGAGAGTACAGCGTTGTGTCTTCCATCTCCAAGGTGTTAGCAACCTGCTGCCAAGCTTCCAACTCTGCTGGGCTTGCCCTTGGCATTGCAGAGGAGCTGGCCTGCCGTGGCCTGAGAGAGCTGCTCAGGGAGCATTCCCCAAGGAACAGGGCTGGAGAACTGTCTGGATGGATGACAGCAGCAAGCAGAGAGCTGCCTCTTAGCATGCTCCCTTCTCAGCCTTCCCCTTCTGGTTGCTGCAGGAGAGAGCACAGCAGTGTTGGAAAGGTTTCTGTATATTCATTGTTCTGAATCTTTCCTCCATCTCGGTGTGGTGATGCCAGCTGTGGCCCTTTGCTCTCCAGCAGCCCGGTGGCAGTGGGCATTGTGCTTCCCGGCCTGGAGCGCTCTGCCCTCCCGGCTCTGTGTGGGGTTGTCCCTGCAGTCCCTGAAGGCAAAGAGCTCTTGGCCTGGCCCCAGCATCCCCAGCCCCCGCCTGCTGACTTGTGCTGCGGGGACCACCTGGGAGCCAGCCCATGGTCTCTGGAGGTGCTGGGCTGCCTGGGAGGCTCTGGCTGCTCCCCCTCGGTGCTGGTCTCCTCCCTCCAGGTGCTGCCGGGCAGCACAAAGCTGCTGTGCTCCTGTGCCAGGGCTCGCAGCGACGGAGGCTGAGCGCTGCAGCTTGTGGCAGGCTGAGCTTTGTTTGCCCCTTCGTTCTGGGAAACAAATCCCTTTGTTTTAGTTGTTCCCTATTGTTCAGATCATGTCAGGATCCTCGCTGACCCAGACACAGGCCGTTCTCCCTCTTGGCCTTGGCTTTGGCCAGCTTTCTGAGCACGGGCTTATCAGGGTGAGTGCTCGACAGCAGTGCTCCTCTGGCCGTGGCTTTCTCCATCTTATTCCCTTTTGAGGCTGGCACAGAGGAACTCGGGGCAGCTCTGCAGGGCAGTGAGCCTATCCTGGCTGCACAGCAAGTCAGAGGAATGCAAATCTTTCCCCATCTGCTCTGGTGACTGCAGCAGGGTCATCAGGAAACTGGCACAGAGAGCACCCGGCTCGACTGCCTGCCCAGGCTTCATCCTCTGCTCTCCTCAGCCCCGGCAGTAAAGGAGGCTTTGCCTCTGTATCGATCTTGTAGCCTCACATGCTACTTCCCTGCATGTGTGCGGTGGGACAGGGCAATCTCTCTGTTTTTCGTTTTTTCCTTGGCACGGGGGGATCCACGTGCAGGTGTGCGGAGCGGGCTCTGCTCTGAGCAGCACTTTACGGTGTCCTCGTGCTCTCGCTGCAGGAAAGCATCTGGAAGGGCTTCTCAGGCTGTGGGTTTCCAATTAGGGCTGCATTAAGGCACCTCAGAAGCTCCTTTCACAGTTCAGAAGCAAAAGTCTCCCATTAGTTAGGGGATTAAGATCCTGTTGCCAGTGACTACAGTTAGGTTATGTTAATCCCAGCCTAATTGCCGTGTGGCAGGAATGCTGAGGTCAGGCTTCATATGGAGCTCAAATTCCTTGCTGGATGTACTCAGTGCTACTCTACAGTCAACTTCTTGTTGTTTTGGTGTTGTTTTTTTTCTCGTTCCTTCTTTCTCTCCACTAAACTGACCAGAACCCACCTAGAGCTGGGTGCATCTCAGTGCTGGTAAGCATGGATCAGGTGCACGTGTGGCAAGGAGAGCACGAGGACTGGCTGCTCACGGGCTGCTTTTTTTGCAGAGAGCAGAAAAGAAAGCTGAGAGGCAGGAATTGCTGCTCTGTCACTTAGCAGAAGTTTGACACTGCCATGCAAATGCCCCTTGAGATTTCTTGGGCCTCTCCCTTATGATTTCATAGTGACAAGCTCATTTCCTCTTCTTGTTCATCAGCTGCTTCTGCAAGGTTGGATACAGGTCTGTACTCTCTGCCTGTTCTTCCCAGCTTCTGTAAGAACCTGGAAGGTGCTGGGGAGAACAGAACTCCTGTGTTCTGCAGTGATTCTGCTGGGTTGGTCGTTGGTTTTTTTTTGTTTTGTTTTGTTTTTGGCTTGTAGGCCAAGAAATTAAAGCTTTTCCGTCTGTTCTGCTTATTCTGATTAGCATCTCCTGTAGTGATGCCAGATGACCCGTGTGCCATGGCTGCTTCCTGCTACTCAGTAGGTCTCCACGTGGCACTAGCCTTGTTTACTCAACTTTTATCCCCAACAGGAGATCCTGCTGCCAGCTCCCCCTGCCCACGTGATGCTCCTCTGGCCTTGCTCCGTATGGGAGCTGGGGGCACTCAGATAGCTGAGCTGGGAGTCGCTGCACCCCAGGTTCCCTCCTGGCTGCCTGACCCGAGGGGCACCATGACCCAGCTGGGCCCGAGCCAGGCTTGGCTTGATCACCCCTGAAGTGAATTCAGTGGGTAAATAAGCAGCAGTGTGTGTTCCTGCAGGAGGGCAAAGTGTATCACGTTGCTTTTGCAAGATTTTCATCAGAAGCTCTATTGAATTCTCCTGAATTGCTCTCCCATAAGGGGTGAGGATTTGAGGCAGTTGTTCTCAGCTGCTCCTGGCACAGACCTCTACAGACAGAAGGCAGGAATCGGACAGTTATCAAGTGCAGAATTCCATCACCATCAGTCTTTTATATCCTTAATGATGTCGTCATGTCTTCTTGCAGGCTAATATTGGCCAAATGGATACACCCAAAGAGCTCTGGAAGATGATAACAGGGAACATGGCGCTGATACAGGTAAGGGAATGTGAAAGGAGGAAAAGTGGGAATAGTGGCAGCTTGTGTAAGCACAACTAGGACAAGTGTCAGAAGGCTTAAATGCCTCGGCTTTGGTATTGACTGTCAATATTGTACATCTAGAGGGGAGGCAAACGGCACTTTCATGTCCCACAGTCACCAAACCATGGCACTTTGCCCTGGGGGTGAAACTTGGCATTTCCCTGCTGAGTGCTAATCTACCTGAGATGTGCTAATTGACCCTAGGTGGTGCTTCTTTGTCTTTGCCCCGGGACCATTTTTCCCACTAGTTGTCTTGGTGACTGGTTTTTATTTTCAGGTTCAGGCTACCGTGGTCGGCTTCCTGGCCTCAATCGCAGCAGTGATATTTGGATGGATCCCAGATGGGCACTTCAGCCTCGACCATGCTGTGCTGCTTTGTGCCAGCAGCGTGGCTACTGCCTTCATTGCTTCTCTTGTTCTGGGTAAGAGGCAGATCCTGTACACCCTCCATGCACCTCTTCCTCAAATGCTGAGCTCTCCTTACCATCATCCTGTTTTCTTCCTCTTTTTCACTCTAGGTATGATCATGATTGGGGTCATCATTGGATCCAGGAAGATGGGAATCAATCCCGATAATGTAGCCACACCAATTGCTGCCAGCCTAGGGGATCTCATCACCCTAGCTCTGCTTTCAGGAATCAGCTGGGGCTTGTACAAAGAGCTGGGTGAGGAGCAACAAAAGGCTTTTGTGTCTCCCTGGTCCTTCCATGTGCTGCAGCATCTCCCTTGCAATTCCCCCCGTTCCTGTTCCTTTACCCTTACGGTTCTCGGGGTGTGTAGGGTGCCTGGCCTGGAAGCTATCCCAGTTAGCAAAACCTAGTCAGAACTGGTAAGAGGAGGAACTGGACCTTCTTACTGTCTTGTAGCTGCAGACAGTCTTGGCAGTGATCTGCATACATCCTCCTTACCAGGTAAAGTGTTAAGGGAAAGGCTGCCTCCTTCCAAGCACCAGGGGCTTGATCATGGCTGAAGTAGTGGGGGAAGGCAGCTCTGGAGGGGATCCTTTGTACTGTCAGCACCAGCTGGGGGTCCTCAGTGCGGAGCTGCAGCTGCACGCTCCAGACTTCCTCCTCCCTCCCCTCCACCTTCCTTCCCCGGCGGCTGGGATGCGGAGGATGTGACTCAGCCAGGTTCAGTCAAAGGTGAAGCAATGCTGGGAGGTCCTGCTCGGGAATGGGAAGTGGAAATGAGCAATTAGGAAACTGAAGAGGTCTCACTTGAAGCTGTTGATAAAGCCCCTGAGGGTGCATCAGAAGAAGGAAATGCCAGGTCGTGTGGAACCGAGGCTGGCCTGGTCTAGTTTGTGTGTGTCTGACTGGTAGGCTGCAGGCAGGGCTGATGAGCTCAGCTGAATTGGTGGAGAAACGTGTCACTGACCTGCTGTCTCTGCTTATTTCCCCTGTCAGAGAGCAAGGCATACGTGAATCCTCTGGTGTGCGCCTTCTTCATAGCTCTGCTGCCCATCTGGATCATCATTGCCAAGAAGAACGCGGCGACGCGGGAGGTGCTGTACTCCGGCTGGGAGCCTGTCATCATCGCGATGGCAATTAGCAGGTAGGGGGCACGGGAGGGTTCTCTTCCCCCAGACGTAGGCAGATAACGCGCCCTTTCTCCCAGCCCTTTCAGCCTGTCCGCCCTTGATGGATTCTAAAAGAGAGCCAAACCTCTCCTACTTCTCCAGTTCGCTCTGCCAGGAAACACCAAATGACCTCCACGTTCTGTGTTTTCCAGACAGAGCCACTGGGAGCTAGGCCCAGAGGCACAGGAGCGATTGAGCACCTGACTGCTGGAAACAAAGGCCTCAGCCACGTGCCTGCTGCTGCACAGGGGGACTCTGGCATGGCCACAGAGTAGAAACGGATCCCATTTAGCAGTCCTCCTCACAGGAGCCCTATCTGCCCTCTGAAAAGCACGTTTGCTTTTGATTAATGTGTAGGAGTAAACCATGTGTTGGGGGATTTAGTCTGACTTTTTGCAGCAATGAGTGAAGATTCTTCTAAAACTTCTCTGTTAGAAAATACTGAGGTCAAAAATCATGTGCAACAAGCACAACTGGGGGTGTGTGTGAGGTGGGTTCATCGCCCTTGGGTGCACAAACTGCAGCAGAGAGAACCTGCAGTGCTTTGTGAGTTACCGTAGTGAGATTTCAGCACCGACCTCTTCCATCTTCCCTTTGCAGTGTTGGCGGTTTAATTTTGGACAGAACGGTCTCAGATCCAAACTTTGCTGGGATGGCTGTCTTCACACCAGTTATTAATGGTGAGTTTCTTTCCACTCTGGTACTGCAGCTTTTGGAAATCTGGGCAAGCAGTGAGTTTGGCCTCTGAGCCTCGTTTCGGGTAGTTCAGAGACTAATTCTCTCAGATCACCAGTGAGATACAGTGCTTAGACCCAAGCTTTACAGCAGCATGGCTCCCCCTGGTGCCAGCCTTTCACCAGAGAGGTAATTGGCCTGGGAAGCTGTTACCTAAAAGGTAAGCTTTCTAGATCTGGGGCCCAACAAGAACTGTCTTCATTTCTTGGTTCCTCCTGGCTGATGGAAGACCCCTGTTCCAGTATGTGTGCCTTGCGGTCACCTTGTGACATAAAGACTTGACTTTGCAACTCAGAGTCAGGAAATTTAGTTTCTTCTGGTATGAAGCTTTGACTTCCTTTCTGCCTAATGAACCAAGAGAACTCCATTGTGTGATAGTTTTCAGACTTGCAATAAATGGAGTTAGTCCTGTGGCAGTGCATCTTGTGCCAGTGGGTTCCAGTTCTGTTACATCTCACACAAAAAACAGTAGCTTTAAACTTCCTGTGTCTGTTTTGGTGGCTGACTTGTCCTTTTTTTGTTGTTTTGTGTATTTCTTTCAATAAAAGCTGCAGTAATAGAATTACATGCACTTTTCTAAGGGGCCTAAGGGGAAACTGTAGAACAGTGTGCTTTGTCTCAGCTCTTTACATCCTGCAAAAGTGGAATTTGGGTCAAAAATAGACTGTCTTGTGTTATTTCAGCACCTGGCAATTCCAGGTGTGCTGGCTATTGAAAATGACTTTCAAGTGGGTTTGAGATCTAATTTGGTTGCTCTCTCCTTATCTGCAGGTGTGGGTGGCAACCTGGTGGCAGTGCAGGCTAGTCGCATCTCCACTTACCTGCACATGAGTGGGATGCCTGGAGAGAGCCCCGAAACGGCCCCTCGGAAGTGTCCCAGCCCTTGCAGCACTTTCTTCAGCTCAGGTATTCAAGTTGAGGCTTGACATCTATTGAGCTCTGCCAGCAGCAGCTGCTGCAAATGGCTGGCTGAACTCCTCTGTGGCAGTCACTGCAGCACTGGTAGGGGAAATGGTGGCTGAAATCTGCTCAGAGGCAGCTGTCAGCTCGTGGTCTTGGCTGGTCTTCTGGCCTGGCCTGCCCTCTAGAGACAGTCAGACCTTTAGCAAAGCTGCCGTGTGCGAGGACGTAGCCCTGCTGGATTAGGAAAACATGGTGCAGAAGTCCTATGCCCTGACTGCCTAATACCGTAAATCCCCCACCCACTAAATCTCTTCCAGATGTCTAGGACACTAAAACCTGCCTTGAGGCTGCTTGAGCATTGCAGCTCTGCTGGGCCTGTGGAGCTGCAGTTACAGAACTTCTCGCTTGCGAAGGCTTCTTCAGAGCTCCGTTACTTGGAGTGGTTGTGTAGCAGAGAAAAGCCCAGACCTGTGTGGGCAGAGCTGGTTACTCTGGAATCCCTGGGGAGGTTTGATACCCTCCAGCCTGGGCCCCGGCCTTCTGGTAGAGAGCTGTCCCTGTGAAGGGAGCTACGTGGTGCTCTGTTCACGTGTGCCATGTCATCCATAGGGTCTGGGGAGCAGAAGGGGAAAGAGGTCTCCAAAGTTACAGTCATCCGTCAGGAAACTGGTCACCAGACGAGGTGCGGACAGAGCCCTGAGGAAGTTCAGTGTTCATGTTAAATCCTTGGCAGCTCGGTACTGAGCTGAGCAGAGTTAAGCTCTCCTACCGAGCTTGGCACTAAAAGTCCTCGAGCATCCTGATAGTTAGGTCATCGCTCAGGGTGCTGTTTCCCAGTCTAAATCTGGAGTGTAAGGATGAGCCCAGTGCGCTGGTGTCTGCTTGGGATTACAGCACGGTTGTGCTGCCTTCTCCCCTGGAGCCCAGGTAGGCTGCGGAGGTGCTGTGTGCTCCAGCTGCTTTTAATCCTGAGCTCCACCTCTGTTTCCTGACAGATGTGAATTCCCGCTCTGCCCGTGTGCTCTTTCTCCTGGTGGTGCCTGGACACTTGGTTTTCCTGTACACCATCAGCTCCATGCAAGGAGGACACACGACGCTCACCCTGATTTTCATAGTCTTCTACATGACGGCTGCACTTCTTCAGGTAAGCCGAAGCCCCTCTGGTTCTGTAACTGCTCAGGCTGGAAGGGGCCGCGGCCGTGCCATCCCTGTGGGAAGCTGTTCAGCCAGGTTGGAGTGTGTGCTGCTGTGCTCTCAGCAGCACATTCACCTCCAGGTAACAGGTCCGTGTACTGCAGAGAGCTTTGCCAAGAATACTGTTTGTCAAATGAGCTGGTATCAAGCTAAATAAATCCTTCTTTGTTGATACCTGTACGCACAATTCTTCCTTCCTCCCATTCCTGGCAAGTTTTGAATCTCTCTTTTGTCTTTCTTTTCCTTTTTAAGTCCTCTTGACAGCAGAAGGGTTCACCTCCTCTGTGTTAATCTGTTCCATAAGGTGCTTTAGCAATTTTAAAACTGCTGGTGAAGAAAACAGGATGGAGATTTTGCAGGAGCCCTGCACCTTGTGGCTTTGCCTGCCTCCCCGTGTAGGGCAGAGACCTGGCAGCTCTGCTGGCACCGGGCTCCTGGCCCCCCCCAGAAGCCGTGTGAGCCCATAGCAGTGGGGTAGTTCTGGGGGAGGCACAGAGCAGGGTGCTCCTGCTGCAGAAACGCAGCAGCCGTTTGCATGTGTTGGAGGGAAGGAAGAGATTTGGTTGGAGATGGTTGGGGAGCTTCCTGCAAAGCCCAGCTCTGCTCCCCCTGCTTGCCCCCTCTGCTTGTGGAAGCTGCGCCTGGTTTCAGTGTTCCCTAAAATCAACCCAGGCCAGCTTGAGGAAGTGAGTCAGAGCATCCATCAGAGGCGAGGGCAGAGGGCTGTCATCCAGGAGGCTAAATTTAGGCTGTGGGCTCCTGCTGGGCAGCGCTTGGGCACTCGGAGGGGGCTTCCTCTCGCAGCCACTCTGCGAACCCGCTGCAGCGAGCAGCCTGCAGGCTGGGGCGCACCGGGGCTGCAGGGGGGCACGGTGCTGGCTGCTGGGTCCTGAGCTCTGCCATGCTCTAAGCGAGGCCCTCCCAGCCCTGGAGCCACCAGAGGCATGAGCTGAGGGCCTGTGGCCACTTCTGATGCTTGTCCCAGACCTAAAGTTTGAGGAGATCCAGTGTGGATTTCTTTTAGTGTCTTCTAGACACAGGGACAGATCTGCTCACTGCGTTGAAGCAGGTAGAACTTTGCACTCTGATGGTTTCTGCTGCTGGGAAGTTGCTCTTTTATTCCTGGAATTCAGATATTGCTGTCCTTTCCCAAGAGAAGGTGTGCTTCTCAGTCCCCTCTTTTTGCCCCGCATCTCTTTGTGCTTTTTCTGGTTAGATCTGAAAATTGAGATGCAAAACGTAGGCTTCCTGGTATTTGGGTGTCAGAACCCTTCTACGCTAAATTTGGTGGTGACACATGAGGTTCAGAAGGATGGGGTAGGGGCTGTTAAAGAAGCAGGGAACATGCCCAGGACCCATTGAGGTTCACTAAGGATCCTCTGTGCTGTACTCCTGTTGCTTTGGGGACACAGAGTGCATCGAGTGCCTGGGCTGCAGCTCTCAGCAAGGTGCTTGGACGTGCTGCCAGCTCCACTGCTGGGGCTGAGGGCTGGCCTGCCCAGCTGGAGCAGCCCCAGCTGGAGCTCCATGGAGGGGCTGCAGGGTCTGGTTTTGTGGCTGACGTGGCTCTTTTCTTCCTGCCTCCCAGGTCCTCATTCTTCTGTATATCGCCGACTGGATGGTGCACTGGATGTGGGGCAGGGACCTCGATCCTGACAACTTCTCCATCCCCTACTTGACAGCGCTGGGGGACCTGATTGGAACGGGTCTCCTTGCTCTCAGCTTTCACATCCTCTGGCTCATCGGTGACCGGGACTCCGATGTGGGGGACTAGCTCTCCCTGCCGCCCCTCCCCGTCTCACAGCTCGCCGCCTCCACCAATTTTGTTGTTTTTCTTCCACCTTCCTTTCCTTTACTTCCTCCCCCCCCAGTCTCTCTCGAGACTTCGTCTTTGATACTGGATTCTCATTATTTTCAATGGGAATTTTATGTGGTTTATATTTCAAGCCAAGTTTGTACAGAAAATAAATCTAGTTTTAGGAAGGACAAAAAAGTGTAATGAGACAATCACCAAGTGCAATTTCGTAGCTGTTGTCTGAAGCGATGTTACAGTGAAGATACCCCTCAGATCACACGTGTAGGAAGCCCGCCCTGCCCACGTCACTAGAGGTGAAGGTTGCTTTTTTGCTTCATAAGCATCTCAGATGTTGGAGGTAAGGTTCAGATTTATTTTACTGAGCGGGCACCTTCTAGCAGAGCACACTTTGTGGACGAGGGCATGCAGTTACCTCCTTTCCTCTTTGCCCTGTCACCTTCCTCCCTCCTGTTTGCTTTCTGAATCCCTCCTGTGCCTGGCCTCCAAAGCACACAGGGTTCTGGTAGAGGGATTAGTGAAGGTAGAGAGGAAGCATCCTCCGTGCCAAAATGCCCATTCCTGTGTGCCCACGAGGAAAGTGAGCGACTGCAGAGCCCGGAGATCTGGCTGTGGGCAGGCTGCTCTCTGCTGACAGATTTAAGCTCCCTTTGCCAGCCATCTGGCAGCATCTGCATGTTGGAGACTGCAAACTGCTCGTGCACCAAGCTTCAGCTCCTGCTGCACGCAAACTGATGTGCTCTGTGCTTCGCCCGAAGATGCTGTGAGCTCTCCCATCCATCTTCCTCCCCTTCCTCCTGCCTGTGCTCTGCGGGAAGATCTGCCGGAACCCTGGTGGGTGCGAGCCTCTCCTTTGTGCTGGTGTGGACACTGCGGTGTTCTGGCAGTCTGCACAGTTCAGTTGGCTTTTCTGTTTGGGTGGATGGAAAAATAGGTCCTATTTTGTGCATTAAGGCTTTCTTTCAGCTGCTGCGTGCTGCTGACGGGCCCGTTGCAGCTGGGAAGAAGTCACTCAGCACCTTTCCTTGCTGAGCCCGAGGCATTTCAGACCTGGGAGCACATGAGCACTGGCCGAGCACTGTGAGCACAGGGTTCCCTGCTCGGTTTTCCCACCTCCTTTTTGTGCCGTTCAACCGGCTGACGGCTGAGGCACCTTCTGTTGCTCTGCTTGTGCAGCCTGGAAGGACTCCTGTGCAGTAGTGAGTGAAAACCTGTTCTGGCTGCGTGACCAAGGTACTTGTAAATGATCCTCCTGAATGCTGTTGGCACTCGGTGCTTTTTACTTCTCCCATCTGGGTATAAATCAATTCAGTAAACTGAGTGCAGCTTGATGTCAGCGGGTCTTATTGACTTGGAAACTTTACTCAGTTACACCACATTTAAATGATGCACTGAAGCAGACAGCTTTATTAAACAGCCTCTAATGCATGAACATAAATTGAATGCATAGCTGTGCAGGGGAGCAAGCTCTTAACATCTGTCAAGGACGGGGAAAATACAGTATCCCATGGAACCTAACTTCAGTGATACCCAAAGCTTGGGGAGCTGCCAGCATCCTTTCAAACTCTAGGGAGATGCCTACAGCATTCAGCACAGCAGCACCTCACATCCCAATCCTGAAATAACAGCAAAGCTCCTGTTTTAGTTAGCTCTGAAGGCCTGGAGCACTGCAGTCCTGCTCTGGGTGCTGCCTGTCCTGGTTACTTGCAGACCCAGGCCATAACCTGAAAGCTGCTGAATTTATTCCTGCCTGTAGGCTGCTGCTTTTCTTCTTTTGTGCTTAAGCGTGCTCCTCGCAGCAGATCACAGCTGTCCTTGCTTGGCTTCATTTCCTCCATTCAGTGAACTTCTGCATTTCTCATACAGCCCTTATTGAAACCAACACTTGTCTTCTCCTGGTTTTCCATCCCAGCAGTGCTGGGCACCTCTCTGCTGGACAATGGTGCAATGTGGTGCTGGGGATGCTGAGCTTCATCCAAAATAAGGCCGGGTTGGAAGACTTGTTTGTTACTGTGGACAGCACAGGAACTAGCTGAGCTTTACAGTTCCCTGCCCGAGTGCAGACCGCTTTTCTTTCTAGATAAGGAACAATGCAGTGACAGCACGTCCCAGCCCAGAGCCCTGCTTGCAGAGTTGGTCCTTGCCCTGGAGACAAGCGTGCTGGGAAGGGAGCTCAGGGTTAGCGAGTGGGAAGCCAGTGCTGCAAAGCCCCAGGAGCAGACGTATCTAAACCAAACGCAGTTGGGCTCTTGTGCACTCTGGAGAGAAGAGTGGTCCCTCGGCAGAAGAATCCTTTTGTGCTTCATGTGTGAGCACAGGGTTCTCCCTTCTCTGCTGCCTTAGCTGTCTGCAGTGGTCAGCAGGCAGAGAGCTGGTCCTTGCCCCGTCAGGCTGCCTGCTCTCAGACCATAAGAGCAGGCAATAGGTTTTTTTTGAAAGATTCCCCTTTATTCCCCTGTCTACCTTGCTGATGCTGGGCTTGCTTTCCCCTTCTCCGTCTTTGCAGCATATTGCTTGTGGCAGCAGCTCTGAACCTCGTTCTCTTCACCCTAGTGACTTGGCTTCTCACAGGTCTAATTTGGTCATGGCTCCTTTTTTTTTTAAAAAAAAAAAAAAAAAAAAAATCTCACACCCACGTACTGAAGTCTCAGCCCAGGGACTTGTGCAGCCCAGCAGTATCCTCTGCTGCTCATCTGATTTCTCTGCCTAATGTTGAGGAATAGATACGAGATTTCCTTCCATTAACACGTAAGCTTTTACATATATATATATAATATATGAAACTCTACCAGTCTTTTGTGTGTCACATCGCTATTTAGTTCCCCAAGAAAGGATTTGTGCCCGAGGAAGAATCTACTGCTCGTGGTCTCCTGTAAGATGTGGAGACCTGGAGGTGATGAAGAGCTGCGGTGCTGCTGGGACTGGTGGTGCCTGTGTAATTTAAGGTGGGGTGAACAGATCAGGGAAGAATCTAACTTAAAATTTCAGAATGTTGATGGACAAAAACTTTTCCCACCGGTTGCACTCAAACGCATGCCTACTATACAGCTGACTGCAAGTGAAAAATCCTGGTTTACTCTTTTTATTCAAGGAAAAAGACTGTCTTAATTATTTATAGTTCCTATAACTGAATTGACAGATGTCAACCTAACTGATAAATTATATTTCGTTAAATAAAGATGACATTTATTTATGTGCACTGTGGTGTCTTTCCTAAAGCCTCTTTGCAAGGTTAAAAGTTTCCCTTGTGTTTTGCAGCTTGTTCGTCCTTATTGTTCATGCTTACATGTGCTTAGATATTCTTGCGTCATTCGGTCAGGAACCTCGCAGGGATCGGCTGCAGCGGGGGCTTCTTGAGAAAGAACTGCTTCACGGTGAGGGTGACAGAACATTGGAACAGGCTGCCTAGGGAGGTTGTGGAGTCTCCTTCTCTGGAGATATTCAAGGCCTGTCTGGATGCCTACCTGGGCAGCCTGCTCTGAGGAGGGGACCAGGACTGGGGACCAGGACCCATCAACATCTGCGACTTAACCAAAAAGTTAGAAAAAAATACCTGGACTCGCTCAGATGGGAAAACGAAACATTCAATTAACTGACAGATAAATTCTTTCTAAAATTTGAGATGTTAATTCTCTGTTCATTCAACTAAAGTAAATATGTAAGGAAATGCCAGTGTTTGATGACAATAAAACTGCACGTGATCGCAGTTACACAGATGCTGTGTCGGCAGGATCTCCAGCTTCTTGTTTTGATTTGGTCCAGTCTGCGCTGGGACCAAACTGGACGTCCCTCCGTTCAACAGTCCTCACTGGAATCTGTTCCACTGTACAGTGTTTTGTTTCAGAAAGCTTAAATACATTATTTTGAAGTGAATAGGTTCCAAAACACAATGAAAACATCACTATTTAATATAAAATATCTATTCCCAGCTTTAATTTTCATTCTGTTATAAATTAACGGAAAGTGCCTCACTGCTCGTATTTACCTGTTCTTTACCCTAAAACTTCAGCTCATGAGGAATGTGCAAGTAGTGCCTCATCTGCAATACATCATGCAATACCTTTTGATGTATTTATTTTGATGTAAACCTTACTGGGATGAGCACTCAAGGCATATCAGAAGGTATTCATGAATCTGTAACACCAAATCTGTAAAATTTATCTAAATATTCCATGCCGGTGGTGGATTTCTTGGTCCTTTCGGTTTTGAAAATCGACTTGCAAAGCCTGGAAAGAAATTATGTATTGTTTTTTGTTGTTGTTTTTTGTTTTGCTTTTTTAATAGTGCAAATTCAGTATGTTATAGATGTTGATCACGTAATTCCCTAGAATAATATGGTATTTGAAAATACTTGCAATTTCAGCTTTCCCAAAATTTAAGATACAGTCAACCTGAAGCAACAGCCTGTAGTTGTAAGTCAATTGGTGCAAAAACTACACGAATACAGCCTATCATTGTACATATCCAAGAATATAACTAGATTTTATGCCTAGTCTGACAGAAGACTTCTCTAAAGTAAAAGAATTTTAAATGGAAAACAGTGTTTCTCCTCCACCATATTATACAACATTAGACAGCAGCCCAATGGAAATGGTACCACTTTGTATTTGTCTTCTGCTGTCTCTGCTGCTACATGAAGGCTAAGGCTTCTCTCACACCAGGAAACATTTTTCAGAGCAGGTTTTGGGGTCTGTGTTTTCCACCCTACTTGTTCCTTAAACAGATCATGAATAAAGCCATAAATGTTTAAAAAGTAGTAAGTGTTATTTATAATTTTGCAATAAGATGGCAGCACAGTTTTGCACAAATCCAAAGATGTATTTCTTGTGCATGTTCTACAGATAGAATGTTAAATAACTGCTGCAATAAGAGATGAAAAGTGTTTAGAAGTACAGACAGGATGCAGGTACATCAAATTATGTAGACATGAAACAGTTTCATGCTATTTTGGGGGTATCACTTCATTTGAGAGTTAACATTCAGCCTGGTACCTGCACTTAGACTTTCAAAAAACGGGTACCTCCTATTCCAAAATGCAAAGAGAAAAACATACCAAAATTAAGGAAAGAGCTCAGATGGTTTGACGGGGCAGATTCTGATGGTTTTGTCAGTGAAGATGGACTACAGATGCCTAGAAATACAAAATTATACTGACACAGTGACCATCGTAATTCCCTGAAAAACTAGGTTTCTACGCATCCATGGGAAAACACATACTTCTACACATACAACCACACTTGGCCCAGATGTTATTTCAGCATAAGATGAAGATAAGTACTTTCCGCACTGCCAGAGCTTGAAAGCCACACAGTTTTAACGATATAGCAGGAAGCGAATGTACTACTGCAATACAATCCACTGGGAAAATGTTGGCTCAGAAGTGCTTTAAACAGTTTTTAGCAGTCCTATTTTCAAGATAAGCATTTAATTTTAGATCAAAGGGAACTTAATGAGAAACTCATTCTTTTTGCTCCACATAGGGCAGAATCCAGGATGGGGCTCAAGTTGATCATATTCCCCACAACATCTCTTTCCCCATATATATATATATATATATCTTTATATAGTTGCTTAAAGCCATCAGGAAGATGCACATTAGTCTGAAAGACTTACTTTTTCTCACGTTTTTCAGTATTTTCAAACTCTGAAAAAAAAAAGTAGCAGATTGTTGAAAAAAAAGTAGCAAGCAATTGTAGCAGCTACTATGATAAATGTATTTCGCTGATAAATATACATAAATCACATCTCATGAAAAGCTTCGTGTCTAGCATCTGAGACAGAACTTCAGATTTCTGCCTTTCACATTGTCTCTGGCATTTTTCTAACTAACAGTAAAGCCCCCAGTTTTTATTATTCTTGCTGTTTTCCTCAAATGCTTTTCTGTTCAACCATACCATCCCAAAGTACAATTGCTTATGAGCATAATTAACTAGAGCCATGGTGACGAACAGTCTGTCCTACATGTGAATTCAGACTCCACTCAAACAAATTCTTCCAAGAGGAATTAGTACTTGTGTGAAGAGAGTGCTGAGGCATAAACATTCACACAGACGTGACAGTGTTCCTACTGCACGCTGGTTCTGTCTACAGTTCTACAACAGAATATTTTTGATAGCCTTGTTTCTGTGCCCAAAATAGAAGAGAATGGTCTCAAAGCATGTTATTTTCTCAAGGTTAGCAGTAAAAAAGTAACAATAGCTATAGCCAGAATGATCTCTTCTCACCCTCTCCTTTTTCTCTAACAATTACGTGATTTTTTTAAATTATTTTTATTTATTTTTTTACCTTGCTTCTCCTAAAGCATTTCACAGGCTCTTTTGATGATGCTTCAGAAGCATTGCTCCTCAAACCCGGAGAATTAGTAGAGTTTCTTGGAGCAGGCTGCATACCTGGGAACATATATCAGAACATTTCCAGTGGTGATTAATGAATCCTCTTGCTTTTTTTCTAAGTGCTTTGTTGCTGCTTATTGTTTCCTCTAATGCAACAACTGCAGAAATTTCCAACAGGTTCCCAGGTTACATTTACTTCTTTTAGTAAAAAAGAACCTGACTTACTTACTTACTTACTTACTTGCCTGCTGAGCTCTCCTACATTTAAGTCCATTGGTAATACTATGAATAAGTTGGCCGCTATCACCTCAGATATCTACAGGACTGGGTGTAAGTATAGAATCTCAGTTACGTGTTGAGAAAATAACTCGTCACTTACTTGCTGTATCAGCAAGAACAAACGACTCTGGGGTTCTTTCAGGAAGCGGGGGAGGAGAGTTAGAGCGATCCCGGTTTGTCTCTGAGAAAGCAAAGACAGAAGGTTTGGATAACTGCCTTTAAAAACATATATCTGTTCACCAAGAGGGCCACAGCACTCTAACCTGCACATCTCCGTTGTCTCAAAGGAAACAACACACAGTAAAAGGATGTGACAAACCTTAGCCTGAGGAGATAGCATGGAAAATTATCATAAAGGTATACATGTACAGAGTGGTGCAGTGGCCGGTTAGGTAACATAAAACTACCAGTGCATTTGGTTGCAAAACTGTTTATATCTATGTAGTTGCAGAAGTATTTAGCAACACAAGATTTCTGTTGGACTGAGCAAAGATCTTAGAGACATTCGTTAAATCTGGAAAAATTAAAGCAAGTTTGGTTAAAAGCAGACCTTATGTTAAAGAAAGTTTATCTCAACATCAAACCTTTACCTGATCGTGAGCTCCGAAGCTTCATACTCTGGAAACAAAAAACAAGGAAAGTATTTGAAATTCCACATAACTAAATGTGTTTGTCTTGCGCTCAAGGAAGCCTTAGCGGATGAGGAAATGATGTTACATGCAAACACCCTCCCCCACACACCTCCATGCTCATGTAATGGAAAACAGACTTACACCTTATTGTTTCACTTTACAAAGCCATAAATCGCCTATGGGATGATCAAAAGATGCCTAATATTTGTTTTGCTCCTGTCTGTCCCACAGGGTGTTGTGAACCTCAGTGGACCACTAACTTTCCGTCTTCATTATCTTTCTTTAAAATAGGGATGATATTTGTACTACCTCGTATGGGATTTAGCACAAAAGAAATAAAGTTTGGAGCAAACTCATGTTTATAAGGAGGAACCTTACTGAGACCATATCTTCCTTCCAGTCCTGGACCCTGAAATAATTTATGGAAAAAATAGACAACTAGGGTCTTTCTCACAGATGGGAACATGATAAGGAAATTAGTAGGATGAGAAGAGATAAGAAGGCCCTTATTTACCTTACATGGTCTCAGTCTCACAGTGTCGTTAAACACATCTGAGTGAGACTCGCCACTCCACTCCAAAGAGGTTCCAATATTTTTATTTCTGGCTGGAAGCTGAAAATCAGAAGTGGCTAGGGGAAATTCTCCTAGAAACAATTAAGCACAAGAGAGGTCATTTCTCATCCCAGGCAGCCAGAGCAAGGGCACTGCCATGTGCTGTGATCCCACAGAAAGGTGAGAAGGGTGGGGTCCTTGTAGCAGGTGTCAGTCATTGCTCTGTTAAAAGCACTTACCCGATTCACTAGCCACAATGAAGGACTCCGGGGTTCGCTCAGGCAGGGGTGGAGGATCATCATCATCTGGCAGGGGCAGGATGTCTAATTGAGGAGATGTGGCCAGGTTACCTGCATGGCACAACACAACAGGAGAACTACAGACCTCTGCAAAGACACTGAGAACCGACTGCTCCAACCCAGCTGCACACCAGAGATTATGGTAAACATAAGTAAACTGTACCTAAAATCCAGCCAGTCCTCAGCACCAACTGCTGCTGGGTACATGCCCCAGGCACACACTCCCAGCAGCATTAACAAGAATCCCCTATTGCACAGGGGAAGATTACCCGCGTACCCCAGCACACAGACAATCCCTCAGCTGGTCGTATCACTGCTGCTTGGCTTGTACTGCGTCTCCTGTGACATTCCCAAAGTCTGTAGGATCTAGATAACCAGAATATTCATGACACCACATCCTGACGGGCCTGAGCAGGACAGAGCTGACCAGTGCCAAAGGTGCAGACAGCAAAATGTCTGACCAGACCAGACCCAGACTGGGAAGGTGATTTTAAGATGACAGATCTAGGCAGACACTAACACTAAAGTCGTGGTTCTCTCAGTCTCGAGGGGATGCCAGCATCCCCCTGCATGGCTCTTGTCAGAAAGGAGTGGTTTTTGGCCTTGGTTCCTCAAAGAAAACCACTTCTGGGAGCTTTCTGCTCAGATTGCCCTGCTCTAAGAATTGGTCAGCATCGGTCCTTGCCTCCCCGTGAGAGCTGTACCATGGTGACACAGCAGTATAACGTGAACCCCAGAATCCTGCTGCTCTAAAAGCATTATCTGTTTTTATGGGAAATATGTAAGGCGGGATGAAACTGTGCGAGGCCCTCCCCAGCTGGTCCCCAGCAGGTGGCTGAAGGGCAGCCAGGGCCCTGCTGGATGCCAAAGGGCTGTGCTCGCCCCCCCTGCCAGCTCCCAACACCCGCAGGAGCCAGCAGCTCCAGTAGCACTCACTCAGTGGGGACGTCCTCCCAGCACTGGGGTGGTGAATGTGGGGGGATGCAGGCCTGGGCGGTGGGGAGCTGGCCACCATGCAAGGAGGGCCTTGTGTGTCCTGCCCCGCTGCCAGCACTGGGGATGGCGGGTCCTCTGGCGAGAGCGAAGAGAAGTAGGGGTCCTCCGCCGAGCAGAAGAAATGGTAAGGACATTGCCCACAGTTCCTGTGGCCTGGGGGGGCTTCTGCTACTTGGCTTGAGTGGTTCAGCTCAACAGGGGAAAATCCGTCCTGCTGCTTCTCCTGGAAGCTTGAGTAAGAGGCATTTGGTGACTGAGAACTGGAAATGGGCTCCACATCGCCTCCATCGCAAGCCCAGGTTTCTCCCTGCTGCTCCAGCACAAAGGGGGTCGATGTGGTCCGTGTCAGAGGTGCTTTGCCATGAGCCCCTTTCTTGCCTGCTCTCTGCAGCTCCAGGTCCACAAGCAGCTGCCCAGAGGACCTGCTGCTGAACTCCAAACTGTGGTGTTTCTGGAGAGCGTCCCTTGTGCCCCACATCTCGGCAGCAGCTGCATTCCTGCTGTTGCTGAAGTTCAGAGTGCCAAAGGAGATGGCCGGTCTGATGGGAGGGACTCTACCCCCAGAGCTGCCGTGCTCTCCCTTGGCAGACAAGGACACCAGCGATGCTTCGTTTTGTACCACTGGAGAAAAATGTTGACGCACATTCTGGTCCTCTTGCCCTGAGCTGCAATAAAGCACAGCAGCATGAAGTCAGAGATGTCAAGTGCTCAGGAATCTCAGTTAGCCTACTAACAAAGTCCCACAACATTGTCCCTGAGAGCGGGTACATTCCCCAGGATCACAGAGCCTGGTTTAGTCTCAAGCAATGAACATGGTAAAGGACTATGCACCCTGGGGCCCTGTTTGGACACCATTAAACAGTGAACGGAGGAAGCCCCTTCACACAGGTAAATGACTCAGTGCAGACTATCTTCAAAAATAAAGTTATTTACAGAAAGTGCACACATGAAAATCAAAACACGTCCCCAGAAGGATCTCCCCACCCTTTGAAGCTGCCTTTAGTCATGCAAGCTGGGCTCCTCAGGCTCCCCATGGCTAGGCAGGAGGCACTTGTGTGGCAAATGCAGGGGAAGGACGGGCACCCGCTAGGAACACCCTGCAGGGTGCATGGCTCCAGGTAGAGCACAGAGATGAACCAGCACGGGGGTGTTTCATCTCCACATTCATTAACCTTTTTTTTTTATGCTGCCCTGGATGTGTTTTAAGTTTGTATATGAAACACTCTAAGTACAACTTGAAACAGACAGAAGGGCAAAAGAGGGGGACAGGTGTTGGCATGCAGGGAAGAGGTTAAGATTCAGTCTCAGAGACACATCAGTAAGAAGAGCAGGAATTACATTAGGGACAAATGAGAGAGAAAAAGTGGGACTCAAGGGAGGCTGCAGAGATTGCTGACAATTGAAATGCCAGCTTTAAACAGAACCGTGTCACAAAATACACATTTCATGTATTCCTGAAATAACATGGGTGATTGAAAATACTAGCCCACGGGATACTTGTGCTGTGACCTTACCAGGTTAGTAAACTCAGAGTATAAATATCTTCAACTGAAGGCAGAAGTGGTTTGGGTACGGGATGCCTGGTTTGAATCTAGTGAAAGAAAAGGTCAGTAAACAACAGAGTAAGGAAGAAGAATGCAAAGAACACAAACATGCTATTTCAGGAGATGGAATTCCTGCCAATTACTTTTAATTATTAATGGAGTTTGGGAATGACAAACACCAACTTGAAAACACCAGTTTGGAGCTGAAGACTGAGGATAGGTCCTGCTCTTTCTGTTCACACCTTTCTGAAATAAGATTACTAAGGGCCAAATGAGAGTCCAGCTGTGCCAAACACCTGCAAAGCAGCCTAAGAGAGCTCTGACTTCAGGACCCCGCTCAGACATTCAGCATGGCTGTGCAGTCACTGGTTTCATTTGTGACACTTTGGCGCACGACCATCCCCCATGCTCTGCGAGGTGCTTTCAAAGGGCAGTGAGGTTTAGCAAGGGGTTGGCCAGGAGCTACAAAACCACATCCGGATTTGAACCGTTTTCTGCATTTTGTGTCATTCTAGTCTTGCATCTCCTTTGCTTACAAACTATCCACAACACATACAGAAGGCATTTCCAACTATTTTCTCACTGATCTCTAGCGAGTACTATGGCAAAACTGAGGCAGAGTCCCATTGCAGGATCCACTACTGTGGATGTTTCAGGTGTTCCTGTTAATGTAACTGTATACCAGGAACATGTTGTTCTTCCTCAAAGGTGTGTGAGATTTGAAAGACTTTGACATGGGTTTTTACAAGATGTTTTAGCCCACTCTCCCCCACAGACAGTCTGTGATGCTAATTATCTCACTCTGTTGCTTGCAAGCACTCCGTGAAATCAAGTTTCATGAGCACATCCACGAGAAAATCAGCCACTGCTGGAGAAGGTTGAAAATATTCTATTCACTCATTACATTAATGATGGTTTTGAGACAGAAGAAAGTTTAGCTCTCACTTGAGGCCAACTCTTGTGGTAAGTGTTGTGCGATCAAGGAAACAGATGGATTCTCATGGTTAACTTGAAAAGAGTCTCAGTTCGGGCTGGGGCCCTATCTCTGTAACTTTAATACACTTCCTTGCAGAGTATATAGAAATGAATTAATATATTTGTATAAATGAAATAGCAGGAAAGATACTTAGGGCCACACAAGCACCTCCACAAATTGGAGGCTTCTGTTACAATGCAATTATGAATAAATAGGGCAAAAAGGTGATTCATTCCAGGTCTACAGAGGAAACCTCTGCAGTAGGAATCTAGGTTAGAGCTGGTGTGCCTGAGCCTGCAAGAGGCAGTATGTTTATCCTGGTGACCTTTACCTGTGAAGCAGCAGAATCTTCCTGGGCATCAAGTGCTTTAATCTGCCTTTTGAAGAGTTCAATAACAGCATCATAAACCAGCTTGTACTGCTCCTGCATCACGGAGAAATAAAACAGACATGAGAGCCAGCACTCACACTGCTTGTAAATGGCCATCTATTACGCAAATCAAACATCAGCCCCCTTATAGAAGCTGCGACTTTGCGGTCTGTTGGTAGGACAAGTTATCAGAAGTAGAAGCTGTAGTTTCCAAAGGGTTGAGACTGAAGTATTTGTTTTGTTGTCAGCTACACAAACAACACTGTTCTGCTCTAAGCTTCCTCTTCATTCTGTCTCAGCCGAGAGGAGTTCTTGCTATATTTCCTGGATAGACACTTGTTTCACAGCATGAGCATTCAATAAATGAGTCTGCAAGCACTAAGCTATTCCAGCTGTCTACAAGGAAATAGTCAGAAATTAATTTCTGCAAAATGATTCTTCTGCTCAGAAAAGGGACCTTACAGAACATCTACACGCCTAGTTCCCAGCAGTGCAACCATTTTTTTCTTCCTTACTGCAAGCCCTCCTGAGGAACTGTTGAGGTTTCAGTACTGAGTTAACAGTACCGAATGTTAGGAAGTATTAACAGAAATATTAACAATGCCAGTTGTTAAAATTTCTTGAGCGTACCTTGGTCTGCACTATTGAAGGCCTTTGTGTGCGCATCTCCTGGATCAGACTAAAAATACTGAAGTTCACTGGAACAATCTTGCAAGAAATGGAAGAGATGAAAAATTAAAGGCAGGTTATTCCAAGGAGCTTCCACGTTGTGGTGCGGTTTAGAAGAGTGTCCCAGATTCAGACCTGCTACAGCAAGAGTCTTTAACAAAGGACCTGCTTATCAAGCCACCTTTATGAACTGTCTTGCCTCCTCCCTCCTGCCTTGCACTCCAAGAAAATACCATTTTTATAACATTGGTAACAGCTTGCAATATCATGAAGGACAAGATACTGATTTGATGGATCAGGGGATTCAGGATTACTGTGATAAAGGAAATAACCACTTTGCAGAATCTCAGCAATCTGGCACAAGGCCAGGGATTACTTACTGTTAAAGCATACAAACATACATTTTTAATGAAGAGTCAGAATAAAGCAAGGTGTTTACTTGAAAACCCTGGATTTCTGATACTAAAGTGTGGAGAGACAAATATAGGCAGTAAACTTGTATTGAAGACTGAAGGCCAGCACCAGGGTTAGCCCAGTGATCTTAAGACCAAGACAGGGAGGAGAGAGAGCAGGGAGGTCTTCAGCCTGTTTGCAGAGCCCAGGCTGCATCAGGGCTATTTACACCGGGATGCAGAGGGAGGGGGTGCAGCACCAACAGCAGGCAGCACACGGGTGGTGCAGAGCCTGAGCAGAGGAGCAACACGAACAGGCTGTCAGTTCAGCAGTTATGGTATCAGCAGTTTGGCCAGTTGGGCTACAGGGAGTTTTCATTCACAGTTATTATCTGAAATACACCTGCGTGCAGTCAAAGAGAGGTAGAGCTGGGAGGAAGGGGAGGAAGAAGGCGAGGGAGAGAGTCAGGGAATCGCACTGTGCTACACACGCGCCGTTTGAGCATGCGTGGTGGGACTGACACCTACTCCGTCCTTCAGCAGCTTCTGGGTGTAGTCGATTGCACAGATGACTCCTGTTCTCCCACAGCCAGCACTGCAATGAGAGTCACAGCAGGGTTGCTAGTAGAGGGTAGCGGTGGGCACACTGCGTTCTCCAACAAGAATATTTCAAGAAACCCACAGCCTTGCATCCCACACCTTGGACAGTGCAGGCTCACACAACGGCCCTCCCGCTCCTGGTGGCAGCTCCACCTGGCTGCACATAAACTTCCACCTGACAACAGCTCTGCTGCAGGCTAGAGGGCACAATTCCTCGGCCTCCCACATCCTCCTGCTGTGGTGCCCAGGAGTGCACAGTGTTCTTGGTCTCAGCTGTAGCTGCTATCACTGGCCTGCTGTCACCTATCTCCTCTCCTGCTCTCCAGCCATACCAGTGCCTCAGAGGACACGTTTGTCCTTAGGACTTCCTAGGAGAGGATGGAGACTCCAGTCCTGCACGGGCTGTGCCACCCACCCCCATGGGCGCTCAGCAAGCAGGAAGGCAGGGAGGAGCCGGGAGCGCCCACCTACCTGCAGTGGATGCAGATGGGAATGCTGTCGTCTGGCTGGTAGCAGCGAACCTCACAGATGAGCTCCAGAATGGGGTTGATGGAAGAGGGAACATCATGGTCTGGCCAGTTTTGATAGTGGAATTGGTGGACAGTGCGGGTTTCCTGCAAGAGGAGAAAAGTGCTGACAGGAGACCGAATTAACTGTCAGAGCAGCAAGTACAAGCTGATGTGCCACAGCCATCTCTAATTCCTGCTGTGCTGGCAGGCAAAGCCTGCAGGTTAGCGCTGCGCTTTGTGGCTGTTCATGCTGCAAAGGACACCTGGCCACTTTATGATGTGCTTGATATTACCAGTTAACCTCGCTTACCCAGAATCTAATTAGCCACAACTAATAAACAGCTCCAGAAACTGAACTTTAATTATTTTTTTTACTTTCTTAATTCCTTCAGCTGCTTCTGAATCCAAAATAGCATTCTGAGGAGTGTAAAATTTTCTCCAAAATGCACCATATTTTAATATTGATATAACAAACCTAACCAAGATTCTTTTCCTTCCTCTGCCTTTCTTACTTACTTCATTCAGGGTCACTTTTAGAGTCCTGATCACGTATTCATTTTTCTTTTCTTCAGCTTCCTGCCGAACAATAAATTAGGGTCATGCTTTCTGCAGATGACAAGTTTCCAGTGCACGTGATGAGGTGCTAATGGCAGCTATACTCACACAGGCAATGGAGAAGGGCCCACACTGCAGGGAGGACTCACCCAGGTCTGCCCAGTACCGCTCACATTTTTTCTGTTGCAAGAAGCAGATGTCGGGTTATTTCCTGCTGCCTGCCTGCAGCATCTCCTGTCTTTGCCCAGAAAATCTCATGCCAGGAGGCCCGGCTCTTGCTGCTGACCAGTCTCTGCCCTTCCCTTCCCTCGCGTCATCGGGACAGGACTGGGGCCATGATGCTCTCACCCACAGCTGACCTGTGCTCATTCCTGGCTGCCAGCACCATGTCTCTGGGTGCAGCTTCGCACTGGGCTTTATGGCAAGGGGGGACGGGATGGGATGGGTGCTGGGGTGTTTGTGTCTGGCTTGTTCTCCCCTGCCAAAGAGGCCAGTTCCACTACCAGAAATGGCTGCAGGAGACTCAAGAAACAGTCTGTATCAAATGGAAACTCACTGTCCCTAACGAGATTTTATAAAAATCTGCATCTCTCTGCCCTGTCCTGTCACTGTCATAGCAGGGCGATCTCTGCTGTGTTACTCACCTTTCCCATTTCAAACTCCATGCAAGCCATGATCACGATCTGCAAAAAAACAAGGTTCGCTAGAAAAGCCTGGAGGCAAGATTTTTATCCAGGAAGAAAAATCAAACGGGTCATTTCGGGATACTTATCAGCAATGAGGAAGTGACTTGGACTGTCTTCCCCAGAGTCCCACAGAATTATGCAAATCAAGCCCAGGACATCACCCACGGCCCAGCTGCGAGGACCTTCCCCCTTGGAGCCCAAAAGCAGAGAGTCACAAGCAGCGGTCTCAGCGTGTGTGAGGGAAAGGCTCACAGGAAGGATGCAGGTCACACAGAAATCTGAGTACCACCCAGATACTACTGCTGCCTCTTTAGCCACAACGGAGTCCTAGCTGGTTTTACAGACAGCTTTTATTTACTAAAACAAAACAAGCAACAACAAGATGTACAAATCTGCACCTTACCAGGACTTCATACTCCCAGATCATCCTCCAGAAGTCAATGACAGTAGTGGAGAGAGGACCCTGGGTTGCAATGTATGCTCTTGGCCCATAGACGCCCTAAAACAGCATTCAGATCAGATATGTAGTCATTTTTGCATAGTTCCCCAAAGGAAATAAAAATCATCCCTCTTTCTGAATACTACTTCTACCCAATGAGCCCAATAAGGACTTAGGAGGGCTTTTATGTAGTCAAATTTTAGGCACCTGAATTAAATTTAGTAACTAGAAACCAAGGTGTGAAAACTTCTCAAAGGCAAAGCCAAGGCCAGGGAACTGGGCTTGGGGCGAGATCTGCTCCCAGGGCCCCCCGTGCCTCGCAGTGCGTTTGGGAGAGCCCACAGGTACTGCCCGATGGCAGAGCGCAGCCTGGCGCTCCTGTGGCCGCTGGCCAACGAGAGAACTGTGATCCCCTGTGAAGGTCTGTCCACCTGCAGACACGCTGCGCAGAGCCCTCACAGCAGTGGAGAGCGAAGGAAACCTTCCATCTACCAGAGAAGGGCTCTGGGCGCAGCGAGTCCCAGCTCCATGGAGCTCCTGAAGGGCGGCTGAGCCCGCAGTGACCTGCCCTGCTGCTCGCCGCTGCAGCGCGTCTCAGCGGTGCTGCCGTGCAGGGCTTCCTGCCCGCCTGCTGGTTTCAGGCTCTGGCCACGGGCAATTTTGCACCATCGCCCAGCAGAGGCAGGAAGCGGGGGCTGCAAGCCACAAATTGTTCCACCCCCAGTCCCGGCACACGCGTGACCCCTGCCCTGCCGGCTGGTGCCTCTGTACTGCAAGAGGGGTTCTGAGGGGCTTGCTGACGGCGGGCGGCTTCTGTAGCTCAGCTGTCCTCATGCCCAGCACAGAAACTGCCACAGGCACAGGGCCTGCTCGTCCTGGCACAAGTCAACCAGGCAGCTCTAGCAGCTGCTGCAAACACCATTGCACTGCAAAAGGCAATGAAGGAAGCAATACCTTGATGAAGTTGGCATTGATGTAATGAGAATCTGCATCTGATGTGATCAGGGACAGCTCCACTCTGCTGTGGTCAACTGCAGGCACAAAAGCAGGAGAAGCAGCAGCAACAGTTAGTGTTAGTCCCTCTTGGCAGTTGGGCCCCTCAGGCTGCAGCATGAGGTGCCTTGGGGGAGCACACGCATCAGAGAGCTCTTCTCCAGAGCCGACCAGCGGCTGTGCAAGCAGCCAGAGCCTCCTCCAGGACTGGCAAAAGCCCTGCGCAGAGCTGCCACTGCCTGCATGCGTGCAGCACAGCAGCACGCTCTCTTTCAGAGCTGGCAAGAGCTGCAGCTGCTGCCAATACCACGGGGCAAGACTGTCCTTTAGTATGGAGCAAGCCAAACCCAGAATTGCCCTGCACTTGGTCTTACTGAGATCTGTGGGGATAGGTTTCTTTTCAAGCTAGAATGGACGGAAGGGACAGTCTGCTCTGACCCCAGGACAGAATTTGCTTTGGCGCTTCCAGCACCAAGCAATGACAAACCACAGCAGTTCCTGCCTCTGGCCTGCTTTGTACGCCATGGAATTGTCCTTGTCCAAAGCCATCCTCTGCAAGGTCTTGGTTGCAATGCTGCCCAGAAAGCTTGCAAGGATTATCAGTAGAGGATGTGTTTCCTACTGAATTGACATTCTTCATTCTCTAGGAAATACATGCCAAAGTCTTCCAGAGCATGCTTTGGAACAGTCAGAAACAAAGCCTTAAATCTGAGCAGCTGAAATCAAGGCCAGGAGACAGCCAGTGACATGTTCACAAGCAAGCAGCCATGCGGGCAGATACTGGAGGAAGAGGGCAAAGTCAAGCTAGCAAAAAAAAAGAAAGGCTGAATAGCAACATTTGCCATTTCCAACCTACAGGGTAAGATGTCTTTGTATCTGTTCTTCTTGATGTTCTCTGGGTGCTCAGATGCTGCTGTAGGGTAGATTTTATCCGATCTGTATTTTGTTGACTGCCTTTTCAGCTTCTGTGATAGAAGAATGGAACAAGTTACAGCAGATGTGCTACATACAACACGCTACTAGAGAGCATGTGTGAAGGTCTCTAGGGGTCAGGCTCACCACCACAAAGTAAGATCTGCACCATTAATTCTTTCCTGAGTGGCTTTTCTCAGGGTACTCAGAGCAAGAATAGAGACAGAAGCCACCGAAGCGCTTCAGCACAGACTTCTGAAGAATGGAAAGTGTGTGCTGAGGCAGTGCCCACAAGAGGCTCAGGCATGTAGGCTTCTGAAGTGAGATGATGCATTTATATAGCACATAAAGCATCACGCTCGGCAGCAGGTGAGACACGGGAATCTTTCTCAGTATAAATGGCACCCAGATAAGAGGATTAACAATATTAAACTACCTCTAATAAATGACATCAGAAGGGACAGATAAATTAATTGATCTTTGTCACTTTACTAAAGATGCTCCTATCTGTGGCTGCAAACAGGAATGCTCCAATAAAAGGGGCACGAGAAATCAGAGCACAGTAATATATATGCTGATGAGAAAGAAAGGAGGAGGAGTCCTAGGAGAGGCCCACAGAAATACAATCTCTAGTCTCTTTCATTTCCAGGGTAAAGCTGCTGCACTCCTGGAGTGTTCAGGCATATTTTTCCTTGTAAAGTGTAGAATTTTATTTCATTGACATCAGCCCCAAGTAACAAACACTGTGAACAACCATTGGCTTTGAAAGCACCATTCCTGCTGTATTCTTTCTTTCATAATTTATTGTCTACCTGGCCACTTTTCTCACCAACAGGGGGTGGTTTTGATTTAAAACAAAAGGCCATTTCTCTAATTAGTGTCTCTGTGGTCAGACACTCCAGAGGGCAAGTCTCTCACTTTCCACCACCCTGGAGCCACGCCACTACAGACCTTCTCTCAGATGTTGTTGTTGCAGTCCAGAAAACTGGGCTAACGAAGGAAAACCCTCAGCACCCCACGCCTTTACAAAAGAAAGCTCTACAGGGGTGAGAAGCAGAGGGAAGGGACCATTGGCACACCTGAGCTGCAAGGTGATGGAACGTCTTGTGCCTTGCACGTATTTCGTGGTCACCCACGTGAATTTTAACAGGAAGTGGAAACAGTGGTTCAGCTGCTGTGCCCAGACAGCAGAGGAAAAACACGCTGGTCTCAGGGTTGCTGAGCCAAAATAGCTCAGTGGTCAAATGGATTGGTGCTGTGGAGATGGCCGTGCCCTGCTGATGGCGCAGGCAGCACCGTCTCAGGGCGTTGGAGGCAGTGAGCTCTAACACGGCAGCACATGAGGAGTGGTGGGAGTTCAGGGCACTGATTTTTGGGTGCTCAGCATACACCGCCTCAGGGGTCGGCCTGCCAGCAACCTTTGCACTGGGGCTCACACATGCTTGTATTCCAGTTCTCCCAAAAGCTCCCACCCTGTTTTGGGGATCCTGTCCCCTGTCCTTAATGCCAGACACAGTAAGCAGCTGTGGGAGAGTTGCAGAGCTCCTTGCCTGCTCTGGATGAGCGACCACCAGGATGTGACACCTGGCAGTGCCCACGTGCATGAAGCTGCAGAACAATGATATTTGCCGTAAGGCCGTGTCAGGCGATGAAGGGCTGCGTGGCTCTGCTTGTTTGATCAAGCCATGCTGCCCCTGCGCGATACCGCAGACGAGAGGTATAAACAGCAACACACATCTCATTTCCACAGTATTTCTGTGCACAGAAATATAGGTTCAGTTCTAAGCCAGTCACTGGTTTTTAGTCTTAAACTGGACTTTTTAAAGGGTCAGAATGAGTAAGGAAGAAGGCACAGGAGGCCTTGGACAGTCCACATGTCCAGTCTTTATTAATCAAGAACACGGGGCATGTACTGTGTGGCAGAAGGTGTGGGAGCTGGCAAGCAGCAGGATGCTTTTTGCAGACTGCACATTCCTGCAACCTGCTGGTTCCTCAGGTGTTTGTTTGCATCCTCCCTCTCCTCATTCAAGTGCCACCCCATCTTCAGGGGCAGGCTTCAAATGGAAGGAGCTGGAATCACTCAGCACTGGGGCCAGTCCTCTCATAGCTACAGCTCTGAATCTCCTTAGTCCTGCTCCTGCATAAACTGATATAAAAATGATTGGGAAATGACTATATATGACAAAGCAAGTGAGAGCAGCGTGGATCAAACTCTGGCTGTGAGACCGCATGAACAGAAAAAGGAGACTCAAACAAAAAAAAACCTCTGTAATTTACAGTAACACCACCACAGTTTGCATGTGCATGTTCTTGTTCACACAACGAGAGAGGAAACAGTAGGGTGGAGAAATAACATTGAGCATTTTGACCAAGCCTGGGAACGTGAGCCGTCTCAGTTGTCTGTTAAGGCATTTGCACTTCCAAAAGCAGCCTGTAGCTCAGGCCGTTTGGGGAAGATTTCTTCCCAGGCCTAGAGGAAGCGTTGCCCTGACCACTTCTACAAGTTGTTCTCGTCAGAAAATTAGCTGTACACTTGGCTGCTGGAACTAGCACGTGGACCCAGGCTCACCACCCCTGCTGCCTCACATGGCACAGAACAGCCCCAGCCCCACTAAGGGGGAAATTCAGCAGCTTGTGACAGCACTTTGTTCCATGGAACAACAGACTGTTACTGCAGGCTCAGATTAATCACTTCCCTCTGACCCAGACACCTGGAAGTCGAGTGCTAAGCTTTTCCCAAGCGTTTGAAGTGCAAATCTTCACTGGGGTGGCAGAGCAGGGCTGGATCTCATGGGGACTGCCGAGTAACCCCCGCCTTCCCCTGGGCTCGCTGCCTGATGCAGCCCCTGTCTGGTGGGGTGGCTGGGTGGCAGTGCTCATTCTGGTGTTTGAGACATCTCAGATATTACAGTTGCACCAGATTTACCTTTCCCTGTGTATTCGGAAGCTGATCAATGCCTTTGCCTCTCAGAGCAGCCCAGAGAGGCTGCTAGAACAGCCTTCCCCCAGCTAATACATCAGCAGCTGTCACCAGCTATCAGGTCTTTCTGGGAGGCTGTGGATTGCCATCTAAGCTTCACCTCTGCCACCTAAACAAATCAAAAGTTGGCAGAGGCTTTACGGATTGGGGCACTGCACAGACCTCCACCAGACACTGCAGAACACTGGGGAAGGTGGGAGCCATCAGCAATTTTTGCTAGTTTTGCCTTTCAGAAAGAAGAAATTTATCTCCTGGAAGAGCCAGGAGCACCGACAGACAGAGGAGCACGGGCACTCCTTCCAAGTGGCTGCTGGAGCCCTTCCACACAACCCGGCACAGCGCTGGAGGCTGCAGAAGCAGCCAATGCAGCTGCTCAGGTCACTGCCTCCCTCATGCCTTGGCCAAGGTGCCAGATGTCCACGGGACTCAGAACCACCTCAGGCCCTCACGTCATTTATCTGGACACCTGTTCCTTACTCTGCAGGGTGGCATAGGGGGTAGGATGGGTGGTTTATTGTCAAATAAGAAGAGAAAAAAAAATCTCAGGCAGCACATCGAGATTCCCAACAGGAACACACACCTCACAGATGTGACCTGTGGCAATGGCAGAAGAGGCAGCAAGCAGCTCTGTCTCTGTATTCCTTACTATGCCCCCGTTTAGTACCAGTGCAAAGTGAAACCATATCTTAACAAATGTATTCGCTAAGGAGAAAACAGGAAGCACTTGGTTAATTATTTAAAAAAAAAAAAAAAAAAAGTTTTACTTTGAATGCAAACCATTAAATCACTCTTCTATCTTTACGCCTCTTTATTTTCACTCTAGTTAGCTCCTGCATCTCTTTCTGCTGCAAAATTTATAGAAAATCTAATAATCACATGCAAATTATGTCCCTGTTTGGGGAGAGGCAACCGAGCAGTTTCCTTTAAAATCAATTGAAACACAGAACTGTGCCTTAAGCAAACTTACCAAAAACTCCTCTACAAATGCTTCTTGGTCGAGCTTCTTGCTTTGGGTCCTTTCGAGATTTTGCAGCAGAATTTCCCTCTGGTCCATGTTGCAAGAGGCAGAGCGAGACTGGCCTGCCGAACCCGGGAACGGACATGTCAAGTGCATGTCATAGCGGAAAGCACCAGCCCGGAGCGCTCTCGCTGCAGGCTGTGGTTTACTGACTTCATCACAAGTCTTAAAGGAAATTAGTACGTAACAGATATCGTGGCCAAATAACAAAACAAAACACACAGCCCTGGGCCTTAGCACCTCCTTTTAAAACCACACATGCTCCACGTGTGCCTCATGGAGAGGCTGAGCCCTGGAGTCAGAGCCTCTGTGCGCACCGCGTGTCAGAGAGGGTCGGAAGTCAGAGACTGGTGCCCAGTACCCTGACACCCGACCCCTCAGGATGATGAGAATCCCCTGGAGTCTCATGAGCAGCCAACGGGATCAGATCATCTTTGCCAAGATACTTGTCCAAGGTGTAGCATGCTCCAGGTCACAAGCCTTCCTCGTCCTGCGTTGGTGCAAATGGACAGTTTTCCTCATGCCCAGGTTGTAGCCTGCTTTCCTGGGGTCGGCTCAGCTGCAGAATATCAATCCAGGATCATCTAATCATTTTTACAAAAGCTTTAAATAAAACTGCTTTACAGCTGTGTGAGTAAAACATCAGACTTTGTAAAACTGCCTAAATTTGTCATAAGAAAAATAGCGTCAAATTCATCTTTCTGGTCCTTTTGCATTAGCAGCCAGAAGTGAACCACTGCTTGCTTGCTCCATGAAGCCCAACGGCGCTGGAACATGCTTACACCATTCCCTCTTGTCACCTGGATTCAGACAATAACTGTCAGGTATGCAGAGCAAAGAGATCAGGAACCAGGAAGCAAAATGGACAGATTCAGATGGAAAACCTTCTTCAGGCACCCCCATCACTTAACTTCGGCACACTTGGTGAAAAGCATTCCATGTGCTGGTTCAGAGTCCAGCACTGAGATTTGTGCCCCTTTCATGGAAAGAACAAGCATTGGATACCGAGCAACTAGATTGAGTATTTCTCTCCCTATTGAGGAAAAATAGATACAGAAACAGGCAACGAAGGAAGAGGAAAGTTACTTAAAAAGAGCAGCTGGCTTCAGCACCTCCTGGTGCTGCTCCTGCCTGTGCACAGGGCGTAGCGGCAGCCCAGCTCCGGTACCGACAGCAACTCCAACACAAAGAACTCCGGCATGTTCAGAAATGCAATGGTGCTTCAGCAGCACAAGATGCAAAGTGTTACCTGGGAAACTGCTAAATTACAATTGCTAATTCACCTCACCTACTGTCAGTGATACTTACTGGTACTCTAAAAAAACCCTACAGGACAAATTGGAAATGATTTTGAAGTGGGAAGTAGATACAAACTTCTCTGAGGCCATCCATTTTCTCTACTTGCATAGGTGGGGAAAACTAAATGAAATGAAAATAAATTGAAAACAACCACCTCAAAAAAAAAAAAAAAAGTTATCACAACCTTAATCTTTTCAATATCTCACATTTTGTAGAGAAACTTCAGACTAGCTGTACCAAGTTTAGTTATAATCAGTAATTAGATCTGTTTATGGAAACGTTCTAAAGCAAATATTACCTGATGAGCCTGAAATTAGTATCGCAGCATTAAGCCTTTAACCTTTGAATAAGAGTGAAGCCCACTTTTATGAACACATTTAAGAGATACAAGAAGAAAAACAAATAATAACATTTATTGATTTTTAGTTGTAGTGATATAGAATATCTTTTACACAGTTCTTATTTGTATGATTCTTCTGGCAATCTAAATAAATATCAAAGCAATTGTCCCACTTAAATCAATGAAATCCAAACTTTTTGGAAAGTAGTAAAACACTTCCTCTCAGTCATCCAAGTTCTCCTGAAAACAAACAAACAAAAAACAATCCATGTGTATGTATTTTAGAGGAAGAATTCAAGGTATGTTTAAAGGAACTGGCAGGAAGGAAAAGATACGGGACAGCAAGACAGGCTTTGTGTCTTCCACTGTGACCCTCTCCCGGACTGATTTCACTGTTCCAGAGAAAACGTACCAGGTGGCATCCATAGAGCTATGTCAACAGGAGAGTGCTTTTTGTTTGACTAATCCTTAATAGCTCCCAAGGCACTGAGATAAGGAATTAAATCCTGACACAGAGGAGCAGTTGGGAATTTTGATACTGACTTCAGTGAGTCTTCACCAAGGCATTTAGCAAAGCTGCGTTCTGACAGCCACAAGAGGAGCTGGCTGAAGCACTGGTCAAGGAGGGGACACTGGGTGGCTGGGTGTCAGTGACCAGTCAAGATAGGCGCCAGGCTGAACACTGCGTGGGAAAGATGAGAGAAACAAAGGGACAGAGCCAGAAACGCTCAGACAAACATCACAGTGAACTTCGTGTGCTTACCCATCCTCCATGGGCCTCAATGTAGTTTTTCACTTGAGCATTTCCATTAATCACTGTTATGAGTTGACTGGGATGAAACATAGAGGGGACTTTCTTAAGAATATGCATCATCAGTTTCACAGAAACAGAGAGAAAAGCTCTCTCATAGACCATCTCAGGGTTCTGGTCACTCCAGCTTCTGCTGAGAGAATCCACAGCAGCCCCGAACTTCTCCATCTGCAAGCATCAAGAGGGCAGTCTGAGCTTCTCCTTTTTAAATGATCACCGGATAAGTGAGTCTTGGCTCAAAATCCAACATTCAATTGAATTCCTGCATTTGTTTCTTCTACCCATGACTAAAGCAGGTGGGCCCCACAACTCCCTGGTGATATCCACACAGCATAGGACGCTCAGAGCAGGGCTCTCCTTTGCTTCTGTCTTTACTGCAGCTTGTGCAAACTACAGCATCAGGAGGCACGTTTGAAGGACTGGGGAGGACAGCTGTAGCCAGGGCTGCAACAAACCTTCAGCTAGAACTACATGCAGCATTTGAACCAAAACCAGTGGCAGGAGATCTAAGACTTCAGGGCAAGCTCAAGCCAGACCACCTGGAGCACCTGGTCTTCTCCCATCACAGCCTTCCTCCTGCACACAGTATTTGCCCCTCATGAGTGCCAGGCTGCAGATTATCTACTGCAATGACATATCAGCCCAGGCAGAGCCAGGGCTACTCAGGTGATAAAAAGCAGCTCCCTTGGAAGAGACAAGGAGAAAAGTTGTGAGAAATCACCCACCTGGATAAAGGCAAAGGACTGAGCAGGTCCTACAGTCTTTTGCTTAGCTTTTGTTCTGGTGGCTCATACACTGCCAGATAGAAATGAGCAGAGGCAGACTGCTGGCTATCATGTCCCTTTCCCTCAGACACCTCTGACTTCTACAGCATAAGTTGGTCTTCTCCCTAGGCTTTTGCTATTCTCCAACACAAAAGGGCTTCCAGGTTGCCCTGCAGACAAAGAGCAGGCCCAGGGCCAGACAGGACAAGTTATCCTTTACCTTCCCTGTGAGTACTTCAGCAAGAGCCTGTGAGGAAACCCTTTCAAAATCCATGTTGCACTGGTCCCCGATCTGTCGCAGACGACTGGCAATAATAACTGGGTCAAAATCACTTGGAAGTTCTCCTGCAAATGGCACAGGCCCTAAAACAATGAGCAGAGAGAGAGTAGGGTAAAGGATTATGGCATAATGTATTACTAAAAGGCAGAGAAAAAGGGAGATTATAAACTTACAACCAAGCATATTTAACACATACTAAATTCGCAAAGCTACCTTAAGAGAGCTAAGGTAGTTAGTGTCTCAAGCACTTGGGACAACAATGCAGAGTAGACCTGTGACAAGACACAATAGGATATCTAAAACCAACGTCTTTAGGAAATACTGTACAGTCATTCAAGTATTCACAGATTTAGAGGGATCTAACTGAGGTTCCACAGGCAGCTCCATACCATCGATTTGTCCAGGTCTCTCCTCTCACCATAGATGCTTTATGCCCAAGTTTTGCTGCAAAGACATCCCCAGGGCCTCTCTTTTACCTTTCCAGGTTTCAGGCAGCTCCTTCCCTCTGCGCTTCCAAAGGCAAGCAAGAAAAAGAGGGATGGAGAGCACCTCGTCTCTCCCTCCTTTGATTCCAGGGACACACTCCCATTGATCAGCTGGTGAAGTCCTGCTTAGATTCCCCCAGCATTGCTAGGCTGCAGATCATGGTGTATGGAGAGGCATCAGAGAATTTAGATATCAAACTCAATGTCTCTTCTGAGTAAGTGCAAATTGCAACATTTCAAAGTCACATAGCGATCCAAATTTGGGAAGGTTTTCAAAGGAACAGGAGACATACTTCACAAATTTCAAAATTTTATATAAAAACCATTAGTACGTCTCAGTTAAACAACTTATAGGGGGGTTACGTGTGGTGTTTTTGGTTTTTTTGTTTTGTTTTGTTTTGTTTTTCCCTCAGTTAAAGCATTTCTCCTTAAAAACACTGAGAAAAAAAAATATGTCTATTTTTTAATGTCTGAATATTCAGTCAGAAGGAGCTACCCATCACTGAAAATTTCAGCAAAAATATTTCCAAGTTTGACAAGACCATAAGGAACTGAAAGCAGGATCTTTCAAAATAGAGTAGTGAGCAACTTTATCTTCAGCATTGCTTCCTGACCCAGCCGCCTCCTTCCCTCTCTCCTCTGCCCGCAGCCCCTGGCACGGCTGCCGCTGCCCCCCGGCTCTGTCCGGCTGCAGGCGCTCGGTGGGCACCGCACGGCGCTCAGGGAGCTGACAGCACCCGATCCACCAGAGGGAAACGAGCACCAGGCTGACTGGAGACTTTGTGGGCAAGCCAACGGACACAGAGCTTCCATCGAAAACCTGTTGTTTAACCGGCAGTGTTTCCATGAGGTGTGTGAAAGGCATATCACAATTATCGTTACAATACACTCCTCAAAAACTGTAAGATATTTTACAGAATAGGATTAATAAAGCCACACCTTGCACTTACGGTAAGGCCGTTACAGTAACCAGTGTACTTTAATCTTAAGCCAGGGAGACCTCTCTAGGGTTTTGCCGTTGTATAAAACACTCGATGGACTTCTGCACAGAGCAGAGTGGAGCAACGCTTCCTGTTCCTCTCCATGCCCTGGCTGAAAGCGACTGAAGTGGGAAGAACAATGGTTATGCTGCCGGAGAGGGTTTTCATGACTGCAACAAGGAAATGTTTCATGACACCATGCAAAGTCCAGCTCTCTGCAACGTTCAGCAGAGCAGCGGACTGCTGCCTCCACGCTCCTCCGAAGGGCTGGCCGGGTGCAACTTTCTGTCCTTCCCCATGGGAGCCCCAGCAGGCAGCGAGCCCACCGGGCAGCCGGGAGCTGTGGGGCCCCCTGCCCGCCCTCGCCTGGGAGAAGCACGGTCGTTCCTTACCAGAACCCCCCCAAACTTCCCTGGCCCAATAAATCAGGCTGCAGTTTGGCCTTCACGGGGTTCAGACAAGCCCACCCCACTCTACCTCTTCCCCAGAACAGAGCTAGTTCGGGGGTCATCACAGGTCTGTATTTTAAAAAGCCCAACAACCAGTGCCAAGTTACAACCTCCTTCCTTTAGCTGTTCAGTCACAACACTTCTCCAACATCTTCAGCAAACAAACAAGATTTTTCTCCCATTTCCCACCAAACTTTAGGTCTTACCTCCTGAATCTGTCTGCAGACATCGATTATCAATTTCATCGTCATGTAAGAGGTCATAGTATAAGGCGTTCACAACATGTTTCGTCTGTTCCTCAAACGTTGTCATTGCGGTTTTCTCCCAGCTATCTGAATGAAGTTGAAGGCAGGACCAGATGCCTCTGTAGCTGCTCCTCTCCTCAGGTGTCTGAATTTTCGCTTCCTTTTCCCCGTAACTGCACAAGCCCTTCCTTCTGGGAAGACTCCTCCCCAGAACAGCACAGCATGCAGATATTTGCTCTCTTAACTGTGATCATTCAAACTATGGGTGTGGTTTAGTTTCAAAATAAGCCATTAGCATGATTAACTTAAATAAAGAACTACAAGAAGCCAAACAGTGCTCACCTGCTCATTCTTCAGGAAAGGTACCTGGACAAAAGGCTGGAAACTGGAAGTCCCTGTCCCAGACCGACACTAGATTCACACTAGCTACTGGTCAGTAAAGGACAGGTTACCAAGAAGCTATCATTTTTTTTCCTGAAAACTGTGTAATATGAGTCCTGCAATGCACCTCCTATATGCACGTTGTATTCCTGTGCTTATAGAAACTGGTAGTAGGAGCCCTGTTACGGTCAGCTTCTTAACTACATTTGAATTCACCCTTAGATAGCCCACCCATTACAGTAACTTGTCACACAAGACTGAAATAACTTATTGCACGCAATCTTTAAAGATAAAGAATCTTGAAAGCTTTGCTTCAAGGGAAGCTGAGGTACAAATCCTGTGTGAAACAAAGGCAGGATGGAGCGCAGTTACCTCAGGATCCACTGTAACCATCGGGCTGATGGTTAACCCACAGACTTCAGCCAAGAGACCAGCAAATAAGTACATCAGAAAGCAGACAAGAATGATTCATGTTTTTATTTGGAAAATCAAAAATAAAATCTAAAACCTGTTGTTTAACCGGCAGTGTTTCCATGAGGTGTGTGAAAGGCATATCACAATTATCGTTACAATACACTCCTCAAAAACTGTAAGATATTTTACAGAATAGGATTAATAAAGCCACACCTTGCACTTACGGTAAGGCCGTTACAGTAACCAGTGTACTTTAATCTTAAGCCAGGGAGACCTCTCTAGGGTTTTGCCGTTGTATAAAACACTCGATGGACTTCTGCACAGAGCAGAGTGGAGCAACGCTTCCTGTTCCTCTCCATGCCCTGGCTGAAAGCGACTGAAGTGGGAAGAACAATGGTTATGCTGCCGGAGAGGGTTTTCACGGCTGTGACAAGGAAATGTTTCATGACATCATGCAAGGTCCAGCTCTATGCAACTTTCAACAGAACAGAGGGACTGCTTCATAGTAATTTCTGATTACTCTTTTATATAAATAAACTCTTTTACTCTTTTATAACTTTTTACTCTTTTAACTCTTTTATTCTTTTATTACAATATTCTTGACAAAAAAAACACATTAGCTAATTGAAGTGGCCCAGCTACAGTGAGTGATACTTTCTTCTCAGAGAACACTTAATAAGCTAAGCAAACAGAAAATAAAGCAAAGAGAAAGAAGGAAAGAGTTGGTGGAAAGAGAAAGCCAGGCCCTGAGATCTCCAGGGATCATTTATTTCGCTTTCCTTAAATTGCAAGAAACACAGAAAGTATGTATATAAAAAACAAATAAAAAGTTCATACATTAAAAAGCTGGGGCAGTAGACATACAGGCACAAAAAGGAAAGGGGGGGAGGGGTACAGAAATACAGTCCAGTCTGGAAGTATAAGCCTGTACAAGACTGTGATCAGTACCTGGACATGACAGTTGCCCGACAGGAAACTAACAGAAGTCACAGTTACAAATCAAAATAAGGTTGAAATACAAACAATTCTGCAAATGACAGCAGCAAAAAGTAGAAAAATTAAGTCACAATATAATCAAAAAATGATATTCCATACAGATTAATAATCTAAACAGCAATTCTTCAATTACTGTTGTGAGAACTGACAGCTGACTGAGGTTGTCAAAGTGATGCCAGGTACAAAACTCAATCTCGTTAACTCACACAAACACATTTTATGTATCTTGCTCACCCCTGCATTGTCTTAAAGAAGCCTTTGCCACAGGGATCTGAGAAAAGACTTTTCTGAGGGTGATTCATGATTAGAATAACCCATTTCAAATACAAAGGGAACACAGAGCTAGGTACTTGTCCCTGCATCGCACTGTGTCCCCCTACACACAATAAGCAGCAGAGCCCTGGAGTCTCAGAGCTATTCTCTTGAAAAAAACTCCAAAATGCTGCCCTGAATTTCGCTCACTTCTGGTTCCACCAGTCACATTAGTGTCTTGTGACAATCACCACAGGTGCCAACACTTCTGTGACGCGCATCAGAACTAGCAGGCTAAGAAATACATGATCTTGTCTTTTCCCCAGCCCAGGGGGAAGACATCATTTACCTCACCCCATTCACCAGCCTCAGTAGTTTGTACCATAGCTACCCTCATACCGCATGTGGTTTCTGTGCATAACACTGCTCCAGGGAAAGGCTGATAACACTCCTACAGTTTAAAAGTAGGGAACGAGCATCAGGAACAGCAAATTGAAGCCAGAGAATAAACTCTGCCTGTGCCCTGAGCAAGCATCCCACTGGGAACAGAGATGAATCAGGATTTCAGCCCAGCAACCGCTCCCATGGCAGTCCTGAAAACGGACATGAAGGCTTGCAGCGCCTCAGGCTTTGCCTCACTCTGCTTCACTGAAACCTGCATCTCCGAATCTTCTGTCTCAAGCAATAGCTCTGTTAGGAAGAGGCAACCAGTGTCATCCTGAGCGCTGAAATAAGCTTTCCATGGCTGGACACCAGCTTTGCTCATAGCAATAGTATGGATGTGGACGACATGAAAAGCAGTCTGTATGGTATCTGGATGAACAGTTCTGCCCCAGGGCAGAGAGTGCTGGCAGCTAATGTCCAGGCTCAGCCAGGTCTTCTCAAACTGTTCTGCAGTCAGGTAAACATCAGGAATTAAGGTCAGGTTGCCTGTATCAGGATGAACCTCAAGGACTTCTTGATTCCCTTCAGAAATCAGAGACTCTGAAATGAAACCAAAAACATGTGAGATGCAGCATATATCGTGCTACTTACAGTTTCCCAAAGAACCTCTCAGGAGGCCATCAGATGAAGAAGGTTGGAATTATGGCACCTTCTGCAGCATCTGGACGCCTCCCTGGGCAGCCTGCTCTAAGGAACCTGCTTTGGCGGGGGGATGGACCCGATGATCATTCAAGGTCCCTTCCAACCCCTACAATTTTGTGATTCTGTGATCTCCCTAGGCTAATGAGGTTGTGATCAGCCAGACACTGTACAAGATATTCAGAACACTAAACAGCATTCTCAAAGCACTGATGATAATTTTCTCATGATAATTTTCATGAGAAATCCATGTATGAGAGAAATTGAAACCCAGACGTGGGTGAGGCTGGTTACCTGTGCCTCTGTTCCCAGAGTCGGTACAAGGAGAAAAAGCATAGCAGGATTCCACTGGCTGTTGAGCAGTGACAAGCGCCCAACGTGCTCTGCCATAAACAGGTACAAGAGTATTAAACTCAGAAGCCCACGTATTCACTGGTTGTTCAGTTTGGTCTTCCAGGAGCCCTAAGGAGGGGTCAGACTTAGGGCTGCACAGGACCCGCTTCACTTCTTCCACACCGGACTGTAAGAGGCGATAGTAGAACAATCCACGGTCTCGTACTGCCATATCCTTCTCCTCCTCTGGGAATTGGAGGAACATAGTTTTAGGAGAGACAATTCTAGCATTCGGATTTCTCCAGAGTAACCCTTCATTACTAAACACAGATTCCCAGGGACAGAGCGGAAAACTGTTACACTCACCCACCAGGGACACGTAGCAGCCCCTTGCATAAAGCCACCTTACCTTGCCATCCTCAGTGGTCTCCTCACAGCCAGGATGCCATCACTGCATCCATGCTCTGAGGACACAGCAAAGCCAGGTCCTAAAAAGCCTGTACTACCACTGTAATGAAACAGAATGCTGAAAATGGAAACCCACCTATGCAGTGATAGAGCAGTCTCCCTAGCATGTCCTGACATTCAGCAGGACGAGATAGGAAGAGTCGCACCAGTGCTGTCAGAAGCTCCATCTTTACTGCTGGAAACACCTCTGATTTCACGTTCTCCACAAAGTCCTCTAAAACATAGGGGGCGTTTGGTACTTTCTCACCATGTGCCCCCAGGAGCCAGATCAGTGCTTGCTTGCCCTGAAGGAACCACAGAAAGCACATACTATGCTTACCAGGACAGCAGTGCTGTTTACCAGAAAGTCAGCGGTGACATGGAATCAACTGACACAAGCACAAATCTTCTGAAGCTTTCTGATCCTTGTAATGCCAATCATAAGCCACACGAAACTCAAGGAGTTAGATTCCACCCATCCTCAACAGCTGCTAGCCCAAGGCATAAAGTCACCTTACCTCACTGTCCTGGATGGTGTCCTCACAGCTAGGCAGCGCCTGACACACTGCATCCGTGCACTGGGGACACAGCCAAACCAGGTCCCGAAAAGCCTGAACTACCGCTGCAATGAAACAAAACTCTCAGCATTCCCCAAGAATTATAAAACCACTAGGCAAAATAAATAAAAAAAGATAAATAAAAAATGTATAAAACAGTCAAAAGACTGCAAAGTCTGAGCTAAAGAGGTTGGTGCATTTCTCAGGACTGTTTTGAAACACCCTTCTTCAAAATCCCATGACATTGCTCTTGTCAGTGCAAAGTTACACGAAGTCTAAAACAAAGCACTGAAACTTCAGATTGTTCCTCTGGCTGCCGGAAAGTAATCTCTCTTCTGGACATTCCCTGGGCTTTAAAAAGAGACTGACTCATGATGTCTCAGACATACAATGTTAGAACAACAAATTGAAACTAACACCAATTCAAAACGTGTTTCGTGAACTTTAGGTCAATATTTTAAATGCTCCTGCACACTTACAAACTACAGCAGCTACTAAGACCTAATTCAACAGATGCCTGCAGGCATGCAACTTTGAAAGCTGAAAGCAAGAGCATTAAGATAAGGGGGGCAGAAATAGCACAGATATGAAGTTAGATTTGATAGCAGCAGCAGACAGAAGTCTGGGTAAAGCTGAATCAGACAGCAGAAGAGAAATCACAAAAGTTTAAAAGACACAGGCCAAGGGTCCCCATTAGAAAGAATTCAAGATTAGAACTATTGACCAGCTAGGTCTTCACAAATAGCCACTAAAATGCCTCTGCTGAGTCTCTCAGTCCTTGGAGCCACAGATGGCAGACAGAAGGGAGCCCGCATATCTTACCAGACCATCAATACAGCTAATAACCATTTCCCAAGGAAGTGAAAAAAACATACCCGCACCCCACCAGGGAGACTTCCACCTGAAGATCCCAATTAAATTAAATGCCACATGCCTTCTAAAGCCTCAAATTTTGGAATCACAAGCCCCAACAAGGCCATTTCCTGAAAGCATAAGCCATGTAAAAAAACCTGCAGATGATTACCTGAGGTGATATGCTCCTGCTGAAACCCCAAGAGCTCTGTCAGAATCCCCATGCACTGTTCAGTGTACGTCCTAGCAATATTGCCTGCAGAGACACCAAAGAGCATAGAAGGCAACCAGTAAATCAGAGTGAAATAGGAAACGTGAGCCCAACTGTTCATCACAAACTCATCTGAAAGAACTTATCCCTCATCTATTTTGACGATACGTTCCAGAAGTGTAGTAAGATGAGCACATATACCTAACATAAGGGATACATTCCTTTTTTGAAGAAAAAGGTTCCTTTTACCTCAGAAGAAGTCTAAACTTTTCTTAAACATAACACGAGAAAAGCCTTTTAGCATCCCAGGCTTTCTCCTGAGGAACGCCATAAAACTTCTGTATTTTAAAGCTTGCAAAACCAAAACTAAACTGCCCCAAAACTCTGCCTCCATCACAACTCAAACAAGCCCGTATTATAGCAGCTCTACAGTTTCAATAAGACTCAACATTATAACACTCATTAATGGGATGAAAGGATTTCATTCAGTCCAGAGTTAATTTCTTTAGAGCATCTCATAAGAGAGCAGACATCTGAAAAAGACTCAAAGACATTATACTCAGCCAGAAACAGTTCAGTACCAGGACTTCTGAGAAAATCAACACCATCGTGGTTTAGAAACACCCATGAAACACTCCTGGGAAGGGTGATTTTTAGCAGAGAAAGGCACACCTTAAAGATCTAGGGCTGCAGCTGCTTCTGAGGCAAGGCAGAGCTCTTACCTATAGCAGAGATCGCCCCCTGGGCAAGCTCTTCAGATATATCAGTGCAATACCCTTTCAGCTCCTCCAGCACTTGTAGCACATTTTCATCATTCACCAGCTCGCACAACACTTCCATCTTCTGGCATTTGATGTAGTGCGGTTCTGAATATGAGCAGAAGAACTTTTTGTAGTGGCTGCTAAAATGACCAGGGAGGCTACTGAGGATCTGGCGCACGTGACACAGTGCAGTGAAGCAGAGCTCCCTGCTCTCCGAAGTGCAGGCAGACAGCAGTGGTCCCTTCACTCTCACCAAAACATCTGCCTGCACATGTGGGTACTCCCTGGCTAGGACCAGGAAAAGCTTGGTGGCTGCCATCACGACGCTGGGGCTGCTGCTTTTAAGATATCCGTCTAGTAAATTTAGAATGTCGAAAAGCTCCTCCTCAGAGCGGGGTCTGTAACGCAGCAGGAAGGCAAGCACCTCACTTTGCCCCCACTGATCTAGGTCGGCCATCCTGCCAAGAAAACAAACACAGTTTGCAGGAGTCAAGAAGTGCACAAAGACCCATGCTGCGCAGAGTAGTGGCCGTAGCCTGCCAGTTGCTTGCATGCTCCATTCTAGATCAAATGCTGTATTTCAGAAGTAGACACCACAATTTTATCTCAAGACGATTGACCAATTTACAGGTGTAGGCTTAAATTTGTACCAATTGCGCACTTTTGCTTGTGCTCTAAGCCAGAGAAACAAAGACAAGATCCCTGGACACAGCAATTATCTTGCTTTTGCTGTATCGTATAGAATTATTTGCCAAAAAAAAAAGAAGTATATATATATCATTTCTTCAAGCAATAGATATCTAATGAATTAGACATCTTTCAGTTTGTTGGAAAAGATACACCAGAAAACCCACGTCACAAATGTATCGCGTATGCTATCACGATTAAAAAATATAAAACAATCACATTAGCTTGCAATTCCTAACAAACCAGAAGCAAGGACTCCCTGGAAAAGCAGGGCATCTCAGATGGCTCTTAAGACCTTAGCACAAAACGTGTTTTAGGACAGGCAGCTCTGTCCTGGATCGCCTCTCCAGGTCTGACAGGGGCCCCGGGACACCCGCTCCGCCGGCAGACAAACGCCGGGCACCAGAGCGAGGCTCCCAGCAGCGCGGCACGGCCGGGAACCCACCTGTTGAGGAGGTGATGGGCGATGGGTTTGTTGATGACGACTCCCCCCTCCTTCCGCAGGATCTCTTCCAGAGCCCTGAGGCAGTTCACCACCACGATGGGGTCCTGGTCCCGCAGCAGGCTGTACAGCTCGTTCACCAGGGCGCCGTCTGCAACCGAACCCAAAGGCTGCCCCCCGCCCCGACCCCGCGGGCACAGCGCCGTGTCCCCGCCGCCCCCCCCCGCCCCCCGGGCCCCACTCACCCACTTCGGCGTCGCCCTGCAGCTCGTGCACCTTGGCGCAGCCCAGCACTGCCGCGCGCCTCACGTAGGAGGCCGGGTCGCGCAGCCCGTTCAGCAGCGGCTGCCGCACGTACTCCTGAGCGCCCGGCACCCTGCGGGGACGGGGCGTGAGGGGCGGGGGGGGGGGTACAGGGGTGTGTGTGCGGGGAGGGGGCCGCGGGGCGCGCACCTGAGGCTGCAGAGGCTGCGCAGCGCCAGGCCGCGCACGGCGGGGCTGGGGTCGGCGCAGTCGGTGCGCAGCGTGTTGACGGCCAGCAGCGCCAGGCGCGGCAGGCGCGGGGCGTGGGCGCGCACGTAGAGGTGCACCAGCTTCTTCTGCACCACGTCGGCCGCCGCGCCCGCCTTCACCATCTCGGCGAACAGCCCCGACACGTCCGCGCCCTGCGTCATGAGCCTGCGGCGGGCACGGGGATGGGCGCGGGGCCGTCAGCCGCCGGCCGCCCCCCGCCGGAGCCCTCCACACCCACCCCGCCCCCGGCCGCCCCGCACCGGACGACGCGCAGGACGGCGGCGCGGTACCGCAGCGGGTCCGCCTGCACGTGCGGGTTGCCCAGCGCCCGGCGCAGGTCGCGCAGCGCCTCCTCGCCGCCCAGGTACGGCATGGCCGGGACGGGACCGGACGGGACGGGACGGGCAGGGCAGGGCAAGGCCGCCCCTCACCGGCACCGGCACCGGCACCGGCACCGCGCACGCGCCGCCCCCGCCCCGCCCGCGCCTGCGCGGCGCCGCCCCCGGCACTGGGCGGGAAGCGGCGGCGCCATGGGCGGCAGGGAGCTGGGCGGCAGGGTGCTGCCCGGCACCCCCATCGCCGTGGACTTCTGGAGCGTGCGGCGGGCGGGCGGCGCGCGGCTCTTCTTCCTGTCGCACATGCACGCGGACCACACGGCCGGGCTGTCCAGCACCTGGCGCCGGCCGCTCTACTGCTCGCCGCTCACCGCCCGCCTGCTGCACCACCGCCTGCAGGTAGGTGCCCGGGGCACGGCCCCGCCGCGGCCCGGCCCGGCCCGGCCCCGTCACGGCTCCGCCCGCCCGCAGGTGCCGCGGTGCTGGATCCGGCCGCTGGAGGTGGGGCAGAGCCACGCGCTGGGCGAGGAGGTGACGGTGACGCTGCTGGACGCCAACCACTGCCCCGGCGCCGTCATGTTCCTCTTCGAGGGCGCCTTCGGCACCATCCTCTACACAGGTACGGGCCGGGCCCCCGCGGCCTCGCCGCGCCCGCCGCGCCCTCACGGCCCGCTCCCACAGGGGATTTCCGCTACGCCAGCGCCATGCGGCACGAGCCGGTGCTGAGGGGCCGCCGCATCGACCGCCTGTACCTGGACACCACGCACTGCCGCCCGTGCCAGCCCCTGCCCTCGCGGAGCTGCGCCGCCCGCCAGGCCGCACGCCTCATCCGCGCGCACCCGTCCCACCGCGTGGTGGTCGGTGAGTGCCGCCTCGCGCCCAGGCCGCACGCCGTCCCTCGCCGCCCCGGTACATGGCTCACGGTTTTCTCCCTCGCAGGTGTGTACAGCCTGGGGAAGGAGGCGCTGCTGGTGGAGCTGGCGGTGGAGTTCGGCACCTGGGTCGTGGTGAGCCCCTCGCGCCTGGAGGAGATGCGGCTGCTGGAGATGCCCAACGTGTTCACTGCCGAGGAGGGGGCCGGCTGGATCCGCGCGGTGGACGTCGCCGAGATCCGCCGGGACACCCTCGTCAGCTGGAACACGACGCATCCTACCATTGCTATCCTCCCCACCGGCAGGCCCGTGAAGATCACCCACCCCAACATCTTCCCCATCCCGTACTCGGATCACTCGTCCTTTTCAGAGTTGTGCGAGTTTGTGAAGTGGTTGAAACCCTGCTCGGTCATCCCACTTGTTAGGGACGACATGTGCCAGGCTTACTTTCAGAAATACCTAAGTTCTGACCACCAGCCACTTCCTGACCTCAAAATCCCAAAGCCTGTGCAAGAGTCTTTGCAGCAGCAAAGCAAAACAAAGACACGGAGGACTGTGTGCCAGCAAGCTCTTTTCAAGAGACACTCTGTGTCCCAAGGAGTTGTCTACGAGTCCCCAGAAAAACATACTGAGGAGTTTGATGGGCCAAGGGGCATTAAGGTTCCTCAGCAGAACTTCTGTGCATCAGCTTTCTGCTCCAAAGAAGGTTGTACTGGTTGTCACATGTCCAAGGAAAAAGGGAAGGAAGAACAGAGTGGAGAACAGTCAGGAGTAGCAATAGCAGCTGGCGCTGTTAGACAGTCGCCTGTTTCTGATGAGCACGTTCCAAGTGGGTTTGCAGAGTCGTATTTACTCGTTCCTTTAAATGTCTTAAAGTGGAATTCCTCACAGAAATTTGACAGGGTGGTAGAAGATTTCCTTAGGAGGGGAGAAGCATCCTGAAAATTGCGTGGTGCCTGCCAGGTCAAATGCAGTTGATAGCAGTGATTCTAACTTAATGCTGCATCCCGTTTGTTGTGTTCACATTTCCCATCATGAGAGTGGAGCTCAGCTATGGGGCTTTACTGTCTTTACCTCTTATTAGAGGAGAAAGAAAACAAGCAATAGTTGTAGATTTTTTTTTTTTTTGCTTATTTATTTTTATGTCTTTGTCTACATCTGTTGGGTACCCATGCTACCTATGGGCAGCGTGGTCCCACTACATCTGTGCCTTTTACCTGCTTTTGGCGGTGGTTTACATGTCGTGGCAAAAGATTTTGCCAGGCTGATACAAGTTGAGCAGCAGAGGGCGTGAGCTGCCTGCACTTTAAGTAATGGGTTTGTGTGTGATGAGAGAAGCAAGAAGGGGGGAAATCTAACAGTCCTGGAGATTCCTCTTTTCTACGTACATGTAATACCTCATTGATAATGAGCAATTCAAGGTGCATTACAAATATTATTTATTAGGGTACATTTTAAAAATTGGTGCTTAAAGAAATGTAGAAAAATAAAGTGTTTTAAAAGTCTGTTAATTGCTGTAATACCTCCAGACAGCACTGCTTTTGCATCCTGCCAACTGCAGCTGGATGCAGTTCTGCTCTTCTGAAAGCACCACTTTCATATTAATTGTAAATAGCTTTTTCAGGTCACTGGCTGACAAAAATAGGACTTGTGTGAATTCCTCTGCTCTGGACTTTCTGGAATGGATTGCTTTATCCTCTACAACCTCTGCACTTGAGCCTGCAAGCCTGAATTCTTCCTCTTGACAGCATAATGCTTCTGGTAACTGTTAGCATTCTGCTAGACCTGTTGCTTTCCCCATCCGCTGCTTGTTCTTATCAGGCAATGCGATAGAAGATAACGAAACATCTGCTTACTGGTGTAAAACGTTAAGTCCTAGCAGCATTGTTTGGAAGGAATACTGTGGCTGAACAGCAAAATTGTCTCTGTTAGCTTAGAGACCAGGCACTGCAGCACTCCAGGTCAACTGCAGGGAGCTGTAGTCTGAAGACACTGGTTATCTTTGCAGAACTGCACTAGCAACAGATTACAGACTGGCTCGCTGTGGGGTTGTGACAGCAACAGTGAAGTGGAACTGGCCACTAGGTGCTTAACTGGGAGTAACAAACTAATTTGTTATTCAGCTTTTCCAAACTGTCTCATTACTTTCAACACAATGTTTCAAATGATTTCAAGAGGATCGGAGCTTCTTCTGAATGTAGTGTCCTGTGAGGTCTTCCCAAGGCCAGTCAGCTAGATGGTTGAATTTCCTGAACCAAATCAGATGTTTAAAAAAAAAAAAAAAAGTTTGCTCTTTAAGAAAGCTAGGGCTTGTGAAAGGCAAAGATGCCTGTAGATGCAGCAGCCACACCTGTCTAAAAACAAGGCTGTCATGAACAGTAATCATGATGACTGCCAGAGTGGGTATGTTTGCAAAGCTACTTGGCAAACACGAGTCCTAACTCCTAACCCTGTGCCTTCCCAGGCGCTGTGACATGATCACTAAATACAAGCAGTGCCTTTTGGTGGGGCTGCCTATTGCTCTGCCTGCCAGCCCCCAGATGGGATATTGGAAATGATGGAGCAGTGTTCTGCATTTTACCATAGAAATACACTTCAAAAGCGGTAGCAAGGGCAGCTCAAACGTCTTGTGGTCTGTGCTTCCTGTTTCTTGGAGGCTTCTCTGTGGATTATTTGCCAGTCAAAATTAAACTGCAGAGCCCCAGCAGGTCAGCACGAGTTGAGGCACCTGCATCTTTTGTAACATCTGAGACTGACAGGGAATTAATTGCCTTATGTTTGAGGTTGTTGCTGTTGCTGGCTGCCTTGGAGACACAGGCTGTACTTTCGTGCTGTTGAAACGTAAGTAACTCGCTTGACAGGCAGGCGAGGGAAACACTGCCTGCACTCCCATATTCCACATCCCGCTCTCAGCGTGCAGCTTCTCCACTGCTCAGAACGAATGCTTGCGTTGTGAGTCACTGCTCCATTTAGGTATGTTGCAAATGACCTCTGAGATCCCGTGCGTTTTGCCGCTCGTGTTGCGTGGCATCCAGCCTTTCCTCTTTTTTATCAACCCTAAATGAAGCAGACAGCCTCCAGGTGAACCTCTGAGCAAAATGGAGTTGTCAATGTTAATCCTTTGCAGAGGCAACTGGTCATTAGAACACACAAACAAGTGAAAATAGCAAAGACTTCAGAGGCTGGGGATCCGCTCCCCCTGTCTGAGCACTTAGTTAAAACTACGGAAGAAATGCTGGTTTCTGTTACTAGAGCATAAATGGTAACTGCTGCCGCTTCAGAAAGAAATTATCCAACTTGTTTAGAACCGAAATACTAAAGTCTGCAGATTTAAAAGGCAATTGAAGCAGGAGAGACTTTACCAACAGACAGCATGTTGGAGATGCACAGCGTTTAAAATGCATGAGGCATTTTAGTGTGCCAGACATGTTTCCTCCCTTTAATCTTAGGTGTTGAAATACTTTTTTGTGTGTGTATTATCCTAAAATCCTGGAAAACCAAACACGGCCTAGTGGGAAAAACTGGTACTAGCAATGCATAACTCAGGTTTCCGAGAATCATTCAGCTTCCCCTGAAGTCTGCTAGTATCTAGCTGTCCTCCTCTAGGTTTTGTTGTCTTTCATGCTTGCTTCCAAAATTTTCTTCTCTTCCTACCAGCAACCTAGCTCACATGGGAAGTGTTAGTGCAGCCAAGAGCCGGAGCGTCTGTCGTGCTGCTTCCAGCTCAGCTGCACAGAACTATGCCAACACTGCTACCAGAGGTGTGTTTTGCTCGCAGCAGTGACAAGGAGAAGCTGTAGCCAACTATTAGCTTGGCTATGGCATATCTAGGGCTGTGTGCTACAGTCATCCCTGCAGGAAAACTAAAATAGCATTCAGCCCAAAGCCCTCCCAAATCTATATGCACAGAAGGCGCTGGAGCTGTTTATCTCTGTCCAACAGTTGAGAACCAAACCCCAGTGGGATGAAACAACTCACCCAAGGCTTTACAGAGCCTACAGAGGAGCTAGGAACAGAGCTGTGTTCCCTTTGGCAAGTTTTCAAAACTGTTTTAACAAGCTGTGATCAAACACTGGTGTGTCATGAGGGCAGGGCAGCCTTATGGTTCTGGGAGCAGGGCTGCCCGGCCGAGCTCTTTCCACGCAGTTGCCTGTGGAATTCCAAGTGCTGCACTGTGAAACAGGTGGTTTGGTTCTAACTTTCCTGTAACCGAGTAGAGAACCCCCTGAAGGTGTACCCTGCCTGTGCTATGGAGAGGAGGGAATGGACCCTGTCGGTTTAGGTTGCTGCCAAGCAACACAAGTAAAACGTACTTTGTGTTCCATGGCAAACAAGCATGTAATGCAGGCTGGTAGGGAACACCCTAAAGCACTCCTCTCAGTGGTGTTTCTAACTCTGCTTCCCATAGTACAAGGCTCAAACACTTAGGGCAACTGCTAAGCTGTGGACTTGCTTTGCATTTTTGCAGCACAGGTTCTCATTGCTATTTTTCTAGATAAAAAGAATTGTGTAACAGGGAGATCTTCACCAAGAAAACTAATTCAGAGAGCTTACAGAATTTCTTGCACGGTATATTGTAGTGTTAGGCTCATGCCAAGCTAACTTGAAGCCTAAAATCTCTAGCTTTTTCTTTTTTGGACCCTTCTGAAAGAATAATAGAACGTGTAGAAAAGGCAAAGTCATTCTAATCGTCTGAGGTCCATTCATATGAGCTGCTGTCTGCAGACGGGTATTTTATGTGCATTCACAATTCCTTCTGCTAAAATTTTGCTCTTTTGCTGAAGTTGCTCCAGTTTCCCTGCCGTCACGTCGCACTTGGCCGAGTGCCTGCCTCAGCACAAGCAGCCATGGGTGTGCAGCAACTTGTTTGGGACAAACCTTACTTGACTTCGAGCCTGTTGGCCCAGGCTTGGGGAGCTTGGGACTTTGTGAGCAGGTGCCTGGGGAGATAAGGACGTTATTTTAACTTTGTATGTGTGTGCCACTTGTGACAGACACGCCGTGCAGGGTGCCGTGTGGAGCTGATCCTATGCTTGCTTTCCAGGCTTCAGTGCCAGTAAAAGATGGAAATGTAGGGATCAGACCATGCGCAGGGCTATGCTCCTCACCCCACCAACAGACAAGAGCTGCAAAATCACATGGGGGAGGAGGAGAGAGAGCCTGGAGAGCTAAGTTTCCCCCCTGCTCTCAAGGGATGAGTTTCACTGAGCCCAGGGCACAAATCATGTAAGGCTCCCTCAGATTTCAAAGGGCTTCAAGCCGAGCCCTCACCGCAGTGTGTTCTGTACTTCCCTGCTTTGGCGTTTATTGTGAGTCTGAAGAAAATAAGGCTGAGGGAAATGCAGTCCTTCACAGAGGAGAGAGACTGTAACTCGTCAGGTAGCAGAGCGGTGAGCTGCTGAGTAGCCTCGCTTCAGTTGCTGCAAGGCAGAGCCCGCCCGCAGCCCCCGGGCTTCCCGTCCCCGGTGGGTCCCCAGGGACGTGGCAGGAATTCCCTGGGTAACGAACCCGAGGGGGACGGCCGTGTCCGTGCGTTCCTCGGTCTGAGTTGCAGCGTGCGGCTACAACCGCGGCACCGCCGCCTCGGCTCTGGCTGACCCCGCGAGGCGCGTCCCAGCTACGGGCCTGGGCGCTCCGTGCCCCGGGCAGCCCGAGGCGGTGGCCGCCGGTCGCTGTGCCCGGCCCCGCAGCCCCCCCCCCCCCCTTCCCGGTTCCTCCCCGCCCGCCCCGGGCCTGGCCCCGCCGCTTCCGGCCCGGCGGGGGCGGGGCCGCCCCTTCCGCCTGGCGCGGTCACGTGGTCGGGCTCGGCGCTCGGCCTGCCCGGCCGCTCGGGGCTCGGCTGCCTCAGTCTGGCGCGGGCGGCCGAGGGGCCCGGAGCGGCGGGAGCGCAGCGGGGCCGCGGGGGGCGCTCGGGCCCGGGCGGCGGCGGCGGCGGCGCGAGGCGGGGGGGGCCCGGCCGGGCCGTGAGGGCGCGGCGGAGCCTGGCGGCGGCGGCGGAGCGGCCTGGGGGCTCCCCCCGGCGTGCGCGGGCCGAGCGGGCCGGGCCGGCGGCCGCGGCGGGGCTATGATGCGCCCGCTGCGGGGCCCCGCACCCCCGTGTGTCCCCCAGGCAGGTCCGGCCCGCGGCTGAGAACCCCCCACCGGCGGTGAGTGCGGGACGGGGACGGGGACGGCGCCGGGCTGGGGCCGGCCGAGCGGCGGAGGCCCGGCCCCGCGGGGAGCGGGACGCGGCGGGGCGGCGCTGCGGGGGGCGGGCGGGGGCCTCGCGCCGGGGCCGGGCCGGGCGGAGCGGGCCGCGAGCGGGGCTGGGCCGCGGGCCCGGGGGGAGAGGCCGGCGAGAGGCCCCGGCCTCGGTTTCCGCAGCGCCTTCCCGCTTTCGCGTCGCCTCCTGCTTTGCCGCGCCGTCCTCCCGCCTGGCGCTGGGTTTGCCGTGGCCCCTGGGAAGTTGGGCGAGGAGCTCCGCGCCCTTCCGCCTGCAGGCGGGGAGGGAAAATCCCGAGGGTCTGCTGGAGAGCGCTGCCCCTTGGGCGCGCTCAGAATCAGCTGTTCACAACGCTGCCTTTGTGGGTGTAAGGCCCCGCGTGGTGCTTAGGAGAACGCTTGCCGTTTTGTGCCTTGTTCCTTTGCAGCCTGCTGCCACTAAGTAGGCCTAATGAGTTCGCTTCTCCCTCCTCAGGTATGGCCTCACAGCTGCAGGTGTTTTCCCCTCCGTCAGTATCCTCGAGTGCCTTCTGCAGTGCCAAGAAACTGAAAGTGGAGCCCACTGTCTGGGATGTTTCAGGACAGAGCAGTAGTGACAAGTATTATACCCACAGCAAAAACCTCCCGGCAGCTCCAGGGCAAGCTAGCTCATCTCATCAGGTAGCCAATTTCAGCGTCCCTGCGTACGATCAGAACCTCCTTCTCCCTGCTCCTTCAGTTGAGCACATTGTGGTTACAGCAGCTGACAGCACAGGCAGCAGTGCAACAGCCTCCTTCCAGAACAGCCAAACCCTAACGCATAGGAGCAACCTTTCTTTACTGGAACCATACCAAAAATGTGGATTAAAAAGGAAAAGTGAAGAGGTGGACAGCAACGGTAGTGTGCAGATAATTGAGGAACATCCACCTCTCATGCTGCAAAACAGACCTGCGGTGGGTGCTGCGGCCACAACCACCACGGTAACCACGAAGAGCAGCAGTTCCAGTGGAGAAGGGGATTATCAGCTGGTCCAGCATGAGATCCTGTGCTCTATGACAAACACCTATGAGGTCTTGGAATTCCTGGGCCGTGGAACGTTTGGGCAGGTGGCGAAATGCTGGAAGCGTAGCACAAAGGAGATTGTAGCCATCAAAATCCTGAAGAACCATCCTTCCTATGCTAGGCAGGGCCAGATAGAGGTGAGCATCCTCTCTCGTCTGAGCAGTGAGAACGCTGATGAGTATAACTTTGTTCGCTCCTATGAGTGCTTTCAACACAAGAATCATACATGCCTTGTATTTGAGATGCTAGAACAGAACTTATATGATTTCTTAAAGCAAAATAAGTTCAGCCCGTTGCCCCTGAAATACATCCGGCCAATTCTGCAGCAAGTGGCTACTGCCTTGATGAAGTTAAAGAGCCTGGGTCTCATACATGCGGACTTGAAGCCAGAAAACATCATGTTGGTGGATCCTGCTCGCCAGCCCTACAGAGTGAAGGTGATAGACTTTGGTTCGGCCAGCCATGTTTCTAAAGCAGTGTGCTCCACTTACCTGCAGTCACGCTACTACAGGTAAGTACTGGCACGGTGCCTGCTTTCAGAACGCCGCGCTGGCGGAGGAAAGCTGATCCTGATAAGTGTGCTAAGGGTTCACTTCTACACGTGCTGAACTCTTCTGCCATTAGGTCCAGTTCCAGCTGGGGGGTGGGGGAAGGAAACGATCAGCCTGTTCACCATTCTGCTTGTTTCCTGGAGATCTCTTTGGCCACTTGCATGTAAATAAATAGAAGAACTTCTGCTTTGCAAATGCGACATAATGTACAGGCCGGTACCTACCTCTGACCCCAGATTAGTGCAATAAGTTGATTTATCCTGTCACTAGTTAGTGATGATGTGTGAAGCAGCAAACTGGGGAAGCAGTATGGTATGAGTAAGTAGTTTATTTTGGATTGTTTGCTGTGATCTTAATTTTAGCACGGTGACCGCAGTCGTTCGGAAGAGACAGAAGCCGAAGGGGTGCCAATTTCTTTTTGTCCTGGTCCCACCTTCATCTGAACTCACTTCATGAGCACAACCCTGGATTAGCCCTTGATAAGTCACGTTTTCATGAGACCTGTAGTTCTTTTAAAATGGGGATGAGCTAGATCTCTGTTTCCCTTAGTGAAAAGTGGAAATGGCTTTTGCCTTACTGCTATCTAAAAATTAAAAAAGTATATAAAAATTCTTATTCTGTGGGCAAACCTGTTAAAGCTCAGAAATTGATTAGCTGGAGCAACCTGTGCTTTTTTCTTTCAATTATTCCTAAAGTTTGTTTCTTAGGATGTTTTTTAGTATAAAGTATCTGTAGACTTACGGCTGCAGAGAGAACTGGCATCAGAGGGCTGCGTGTTAGTGGTTGCTTTCAGTGTGTGGCAAGTTCACTTGACACAAGTTAACTGGTATCTAGTCCTTCCAGCTGGGACAAGACAGCGTTCAGAACACTCCACCCCATCCTGTCTCTGCACTGTTTGATGTCTTCCCCTAGCTTCAGTTTAAAGCCCTGGCTTGTTGTGAGCTTGTTCTGTTTGTTCCTTGTACTCCCTGTATCCTCGCCCCATTTGTTTTGTTTTACTTCCACTGAGTACCAGCTTTCTGTGCTGTTCCTTTCATGTGATACACCCGTTTTTAAATCCATTCCTAATGATCCTCACTCAGCTGGTTGGCCCCCATTTTTTCAATTGTAAACTGTTTTTTGTAACTGCAATTTTCTTTTATGCACTGTGACTCTGTTAACGTGCTTGCAGTCCAAAATGCATTATTAATTTTGTTGTTGTTGCACTGAAAGAGATTACCACTGATCAAGAGTCTGCTCTGTCTGACTTGCAGCAGATGCGGGCAGAGCAGTTTGGGGAGGCATACAGTGCTTTCCAGTTTGTAATATCACACATGAAAAGCAGTCTGGCTGAGGCACAATAGTGAGGGGTGATAAGTATCTTGAAGGGGCTGCCGGGAAGGAAGCTGCCTGCTTCATCTCTGTGCTGAGCGGAGCTCAAAGCCACTTCCTCCTCCCTGCCGCGGGGGGACCGAAAGGCACGGACCCTGAGATTAGATGGTGTTTAAGGGTGTCGGCTCGACCGAAGAATGCTGTGATGTGGAAATCTAGTATTTAGTGTCATAGAATTAGTGTAATGGTGGTGGTTACTAAAATCCATATTCTGGGAACTTACGGAGATGATGTAGAAACCAGGTTATTGTGTGAGATCTGGGTTGCTTTAACCATATGCACGTTAGTGTTGAGATGAGTTTGAAGTTTGATTTATTTATTTATATTTTTTAATACTGTGAATAGGCCACTTTTTCATTTGGTTTTCTGTCAGACGTTAAAGATAAAGTTTATGTGTTCTGTGTTTGCTTTTTTGCTTTTAATACCTGTTACTGGACTTAGGTAACCTCTGTCTCCTGTAGAGAGACAAAGTCAGATACTATAAGGATGAATTTTTCTGATACGTATGTACCCTGAAGGAAAGAAGCATTTCTTTATTAACTATACTCTGTGCTGCTGAACACTAAACAGTCTCAGTTTGAATGAAACTTTGAGCTTTGAATAGGTCTGTAGGAAAAAATGCAGCCTCTTTGCATATTTAGGGGCCATTGCTTTAAGGTACAGCTTTTTCAGTACTAGCTACATGTGCTGCTCCTCTGCGTGGGCTTGAGTGATACACTGATGGAATGGGGGATGCTTTGCTCTGCTGTCTTCAATTCACTTATTCATGTGGAGAGTTTTGGCTGAACTGTTTGAATTCTTCATATTGAAGCCTTATTTTGAAGCGCGTGCCTGTCTTCATTTAATTCTTAACGCCTCTACTTTACGTGTCTTTAAAAAAAAAAAAAAAAAAGGGAGAAGCTTTGGGCCATGCAGTGGCAGCACTGGAAGCCACTGCGGTCCCTTAGCAGCTGCTTTGCTTCCCTGGGCTGCTGACCTCCAGGGGACGGCTCCTGGAATCGCGCAGTGGTTCGGGCTGGAAGGTACCCCTGGAGGTCGCTTTGTCCAACACCCCTGCTCCCTCCCAGTTTTGGTTGTACTTCTGGCAGTCAACAGCTTTCTTTGGTGCTGATGGTGCAGCTGGGCCATGCTTCCAGCTGGGCTGCAGTGTGGGGTTTGTCAGGCAGGCGCGTTGAGGCTGAGGCAGGTTCCTCCTTTCCACAAGCATTACTGGTGCTTCTGCAGCATGCCCCATCAGGAAGGGCGGTTTTGCTGCCGTGACATGGTTGACTTAGTGTGAGAAGTGCCTGTGAAGAGTTCCTTGGCTCTAAAGCCTGGTGTGGGCTCAGAGCGACTGCCTGACTCTGGCAGTCACTCTTCTATGCAGTGACTGGCTTCTGGGGCCTGAGGTCTATCAGCAGCAATTCCTGGGCTGAAAACCAGAGTGTACGTTCCCTGCATCAGGTGCAGAAGGGAATGGATGCTCCTGTCCTCCCTGTGGAGGAGAAACAATAGAAGGAAGCGGGCAGCTTGCAGAAGTGAAAAGTCCCTGCAGGCCTCACCTTCCTGCTGTTCAGAGCTTTACTCGTGACACGCAAGCGCAGCCATCACGTGTCTCGCTGCCAGCCCTACCTCTGATGCTTCCCGTGGGTCAGTTCAGGAGTCCCTGAGCTTCGAGTCCTGTCTTCAGTTCCCGCCCCTGAGTGCCGAGGGGGCTTGCCGAGCGGAGTACTGCCTGTTCCTTACCCTGCTTGGGCTGCGTTCCCTAATTCTGTCCCAGTCATGTTGGCCTGGGAAGCAGCCGTGAGTGCTGCCAACTTTAACTTTCTCTGCTTGCTGATGCGGCTTTTGAGCTGTGGTGGTGTTATTTGCTGCCCTGCTGGCTGCGGTTGTATAATCTCCATGTTACCATCGTTCTTAACAGGGAGGGGGCTGATGACCTCTGCGTAAACATGGTGTGGTTTGCAATGCTAAAACTAAGTCTTGGATTTTTCTGCTGCTGCTGTGAATCCTCTCTTCTCCAAGAATACTGAGCTTATTTGCTAGCCTTGGAAGTCAGAGCAGACCTTTGCAAGCACAAATGCAAAGGAAGAATGTTTGATTTCATATTTCAAAGAGCTTAAGACAGTAAAGATCACTTTAATCTTTGCCAGCCCAGCTATGAAAGAGACCTACGCCTGTTGTCTTGTTTCAACTCACATCTCATAAGGCCGCTAATTATAGCAGTGTTAAAGGAGATGATAGAGGCTCTTATTTACCAGCTCTGTCCTGGAATCAGAGTGAAATCAAGTGGCCTGTGAGAAGTTCATTTAAGTTCCAGGGAACAAAATGCATAGAACTCAATTTACTATCATTCTGGTATTGAGGTTTCCAATATGCAAGTCTACTCCAACGTGTCGTTAAAGACAGACAAACCATCACATTCAGCCTTGATTGCCAGTAATCTCTCTCTCCGTTGGAAGGGCTGGGATTTTTTCATGGGCTTGTGAAGGATCAGCGTGTTCTGCATGTTCCACCAGCCACTTACACTGCACATTGCTGGGCAGTCCAAACCAAGGGAACTTATGCGTACAGCCTTAGCTACTGAAGTCATATCCAGAAAAGTGTGTGGCCTGTAGTTCAGGACTTTTCTGTCTTCTTTTGATGTTCTGTTAGTTATGCATGAAGAAGAGCGAGGTTTTAATATTTCCTGTACTTTCCAGAGTAAATTCCCATACCGACTCACATGGTTCTCGCAGCACTTGGGTTTTATGCTATATGCAAATGTATGACCAGAATTTAGCCTGACAGAACAGCATCAGTTTGTTTCAGAACAGTGTGTAGGTGAAGAGTTGTACTACATCATTTTGTGTTCTGAGTCAGTTCCAGACAAACCTCCCTGCAATTCCAAACTGAGAATTAGGAGGTCCAGGAAGTGGATCCTTCCTGAGTGTGAGTTTTTTTCCATCACCTTCTGGTGAAGGCTAGGCCAGACAGGTAAATTTTGCATTAGGCGTGGTTCGGTGCACAGAACCTGTAACACAACCTTGCAGAGCAGTCACAATCTCTAGCTGCGTTCTCCTTGCCCGCTGTCCATTTGTTCATCTTGAAACTCTCCAAAGAAACCCTGACTGAAAAGCAGACAACAGAAACCAGGCGTATCTCTGAAGAGCTGCTTTCTCTGGCTCTGCCGATGCCATTCTTTTCCACGTGCAAGTAGGCAGCTGCTTCCCTGGGGTAAGGAGGCCTTCAGAGGAAAGTCTAAGCACAGTCTGCCAGAATTGTTCTTCCAAGTTCTGGTAGGGTAGGCTGCGTGCTGTCTCAGGGATGCCTCTCACCATACATACTGTCACGTGTCATCAAACCAGCTATTGAAGGAGTAACTTCATATCACATTTGCATAAAGGCCAGCTAGGACTTTTACGCTGTTCCCACCTATGAGTTGGAGGGCATCGTGGCAATAAACCAAAATCAACCGTGCTGCTAAATGATAAAAAGATTGGCATTTGCTACGATGCTTGAGGAAAGATCTTCTGCTTTGAGGTGCATCCCCTGGGTTCACATGGATTGACTTGGAGGTGGATGAGGGAAGGAGAAACATTACCCAGAGTAATTTTTAGGTATGCTTTCTGAGCCAAAAAATTTACTTCTTTTTTTTTCATCCTTTTGTTTTCAACAGGGCTCCTGAAATCATACTGGGTTTACCGTTCTGTGAAGCTATTGACATGTGGTCACTGGGCTGTGTGATAGCTGAGCTGTTTCTAGGCTGGCCTCTGTATCCAGGAGCATCAGAGTATGATCAGGTAAGAGCACACGATAGATGTGGGGGTGTTCAAATGAAACCACAATGATCTGTGCCCAGACCCTCTGAACCCAACGTATCCTGCATCAGATTTCATCTAATATAAATGAGCTGTTGTTTGTCATCTTGAGTTCATTTTCTGTCTGTGGTATTCTCAGTGTTGGTTTGTCACTGCACAGTAGAGCACAGTTCTGTGTGTTTTAACTGGAGTTGAACGTAGTCATCCAATATAGAGTCAATTTACAGTTAACCCCCTGGCTTCCAAACCCCAAAGCTGTTGAAATACATTACTGTCAAAACAGAAGTGATGAGTGTGTTCTGACTTGAAACACCCTCTATAATTTCACCATGAGGGCAGTTTTTCCATGTGGAAACAAAGCAAGCCTATCATTCCTGTCCTGTTAGTACCTACAGCGGCCCTCATTTTTAATGCAAGGTGTGGGCCCCAAGCTGTCTCTGAAATACAGGGGCAAGTGACTGTAAAGGCATCTTGAGCTAATTATTTCTTTCCGTGGATACTTAGCATTATTACCTGGGCTAGTCAGTTGCCTATAAAAGGACAAAATGTCTATATGACAGTCTTTTTGATGCTAATTTTTCCACTGTGGTTTTTATGGTGGTGTCTTTTGACAACGCTTGGTATAGTTTTCCTTATGTGACAAAACACAAAAGTAAGTTTTCAAACTTGGTATGTTTTTGTTATATCTTCCTGGCACTGTAAATTTCCAAAGGAAGCATGGTGGTACCTTAATGAGCAGAGTGAGTTAGAAAATAACTGAGGTACACCATGGTGGTTTCCTTGCACAGTGAGTTTTGTGTAATTCTGAGAACCTTATCTAGTCATGTAGGTGGGTGGGGAGGAGGTGCTTTTTCCATTGCTTAATAGACAGGATTTTGCAGTCCTTTGTGAGGCAGCATGAGGTGTGACTTCATGTAGTAGATTTTGATATCCAAATTGCCTTTGAAAAGTAAGGTTGACATTTTTCATATTTTCTGAGGTTTCTGGAGCAGCAAATGAAGCTCAGGCAGAACTTTTGAGAGGGCCTCCAGGAATGAGTTCGTGGCTTTGAGAAGGGGTTTACAATTATTGTTTAAAAATCCTTTGGCTATAAAGCAATAGTTAGGTCTCATAAAGCCAGCAGATTGCTTAGCTGAGCTAAAGTGTAGATAAAAAAGATACTCACCTGCAGGTTCTTTAGGATCCACAGTGGCATAAGTGAAAACTGAATCAATAGATTCATAAGGATCACAAGTGAGTTTAGTGCCCTGCGATATTCAGTTGCTTTGGCACAGTGGAATAGGAGAAGTTTTGCAAATAAGAAATGAAACACGCTGAGGGAACTATATATGAAAATCTGAACAAGGCCTTGTTACCTTAACATTGTGTTTCCCATTCTCATTTCTGTAAATCAGTTTCTGTTATCACTTTTTTTTTCCTTAAGCTTTTAGACTCCTTTTGGAGAGGGTCATAATAAAGGAAATTTCATTTATCTGGACATCCTTTATTTACAGGTTATTTCTTATTACCTGTGAACAAACCCGTCTGATCATTACTCCATTAGCTAATAGCTCATTTTACTGAGAGTCCTCATTCTTTTTATTTTATTTCCTAGATACGTTATATTTCGCAAACTCAAGGCCTTCCAGCGGAGTATCTGCTCAGTGCGGGAACGAAAACAAGCAGGTTTTTTAACAGAGATCCAAATTTGGGATACCCACTGTGGAGGCTAAAGGTTTGTCTCTTCGATTACCGATTCTGTTTTGTTCATTGAGGAATCATAGAATGTCCTGAGTTGTAAGGGACCCATAAGGATCATCGAGTCTAACTCCTGGTACCACACAGGTCTACCCAAAAATTCAGACCATATGACTGTGAGAGCACAGTCCAAATGCTTCTTAAACGCTGACAGGCTTGGTGCTGTGACTACATCCCTGGGGAGCCTGTTCCAGTGTGTGACCACCCTCTCAGTGAAGAAACTCTTCCTGATGTCCAGCCTGAACCTCCCCTGTCACAGCTTGACACCATTCCCTCGGGTCCTATTGCTGGTCACTAAAGAGAAGAGATCGGCGCCTGCCCCTCTGCTCCCCCTCATGAGGAAATTGTAGGCTGTGATGAGATTCCCCCCCCTCAGCCTCGTCTTCTTCAGGCTGAACAGGCCCAGTGCCCTCAGCTGCTCCTCATACACCTTCCCCTCTAGGCCCTTCACCATCTTTGTCACCCTCCTCTGGAGGCTCTCCAACAGTTCAGTGTCCTTTTTGTGCTGTGCTGCCCAGAACTGCATACAGTACTAGAGGAGAGGCTGCACCAGTGCAGAGCAGTGCAGGACAATCACCTCCCTCAACCGATTAGCAGTGCTGTGCTTGATGCACCCCAGGGTATGGTTGGCCCTCCTGGCTGCCAGGGCACACTGCTGGCTCATACTCAACTTGCTGTCAACCACGACCCCCCTAGATCCGTCTCTGCAGAGCTGCTCTCCAGCATCTCATCGCCCAGTCTGTACATATAACCAGGGTTGCCCCGTCCCCGGTGCAGGACCCGGCACTTGCTCTTGTAAAACTTCATGCGGTTGGTGATCGCCCAGCTCTCCAGTCTGTACAGGTCTCACTGCAAGGCCTTTCCACCCTCATCAGAGTCAACAACTCCTCCAAGTTCAGTGTCATCAGCAAATTTACTCAAAACACCTTCTAGTCCTACATCCAAATCGTTTATAAAAGCATTGAAGTGGACTGGCCCCCCACTAGTGACCATCAGCCAGCCTGATGCGGTCACATTTACCACAACCCTTTGAGCCCTCAGCCAATTGCTCACCCATCGGATGATGTTTTTGTTCAGCTGTATGCTGGACACTTTGTCCAGTAGGATCCTATGGGAAACTGTGTCAAAAGCTTAACTGAAATCCAAAAGGATCACATCAGCTGGTTTCCCTTGATCAACTAGATGGGTGAGGACTTGATATAAATTCACATCTAGTCTTAATGTGCTGTGAAAACATTCTGAGTATATTTGAATGGTATTTCAAATCCAATCTGTAGCTGACTTGTGTATTGCATTCCAGAAATTGTGCAGACCTCCTAGTACTCATCTAACCATAGCAGCTATGAATGATAGCACCAGCAAAGAGTGGGTGTTAAAGTAACTGAGATAATGGTTATTACCTATTATGGTCTGCTCAGTCTTGGTGAAGTATGTCATCTTGTTGTCATCTCCTGACAATACTGAGAAAAGTAGGGAGTACTTCATGGTGGTGGTTTTTAGTAACAGAAATGTTTGTGTACTGGCAGAGGACAGGAAAGAACCAGATGTACGCTTGATTTAGCTCTAAAGCTGAGCTTCCAAAGGGAGTTTTGCCTTTCCTCTTTGCAAATGGGGGACTTAAAAATATTTATAGCCTTTTCTCTTCCTAAACCAGAAATCTTCACATTAGCGCTATCTAAGGAAGCCTTGAAGTGAACTGATCCAATTGGTAATTCAGCTTTGACAGTGGTTAACGAGTGATCTAGTTTGACAGATGCGAACCCATGGCTGCTTTGGTTTGGCACACTAACATAAAATTTATATTAAAGCAGGCAAAAGATTACCTGGCTCAACTCTTTTCTTGTTGCTTTTTCTTTCTTTTATCTCAATTTCTCAAATCTCAGTTTATATTAACAAATGCTTTATTTTATAGACCCCAGAAGAACACGAGTTGGAGACAGGGATAAAATCAAAAGAAGCACGGAAATATATATTCAACTGTTTGGATGATATGGCGCAGGTGTGTAGAAATATTGTAACACAGATAACTCATTTTAATTACTTAGATTATTGGGGTCTCTAGAAAGGAGGCTCCTGGGCAGGAGCAGTTGTCTTCCACGTGCTGTTGAAAAAATAATGTAGTTTTGCCATGGAGCCAATTTGCATCAGAAATCACTGTATTGAAGACTACAAAAATATTAATTATGAAGCCGTTAGAGATTTCCTGTTCTTTCTTAGGCTTTGATCTGGTGGTTGTAACAAGTGTGCTTAGCCTGCATCACTAGAAGTAGTCTAGCTGCAGTCAAGTAGTAGGAAAGCTAAGCACCTGCAGATGTGTTTATAGGATTAGGCCTCTTACTGAGCTTTGGAGATGTCAGCATGCTGACAGGAACTACAGACTCTTCTATTTTTTCATTATGTTTTCAGAGGTGAAAAGGAGGAATATCTGAGTGTTTTTAATAATGAGGCCTTGCATCTTAAACATACCAGTATCGATGTTCTCTTGCTTTTGTAGCTATTGTCATGGCTTGACATTTGTGCAGAGAATGTAGGATCTTGCCATTCTGATTTGCTAGCCTCTTACAGCCCTGCAAAATAGAAAGAGGGCATATTGCCAGGCAGTGGAGAATGAAGCCTGGTTGCTGTCTGTTGAGCAGACCGGCTTCTTATTGAGCTGAGGGTTCCATGTGTAAGTTTGACTTTGGCTTTTAGAAGGGGCAAGGGAAAAGTTGCATGATGGTGCTGTAGTACCTAAAATTAAGCTGGCTAAGAGACAGAAATGTTTAATAACTATTTCTGCTTGATATGAAGCTACTGAATTGTTAAGCAGCAGTGAATGCGATGTTTGCTTAACTACTGCAATTTTGTTTTCAAGGTGAATATGTCTACAGACTTAGAAGGGACTGACATGTTGGCAGAGAAGGCTGACCGAAGGGAGTATATTGATTTGTTGAAGAAAATGTTGACTATTGATGCAGATAAGAGAATTACTCCGCTGAAGACTTTGAACCACCCATTTGTTACAATGACACATCTACTAGATTTTCCCCACAGTAATCAGTAAGTTTCCTTAGATTGCTTCTTTTGTTTCAAGAAGACTTAGTAGAAACACAGAATAGCACATGTCTACTTTGATGCTGTTTTCTGCAGTTCCTGGCTGATCTGCAAACAGCAAAGGCATGTGTAAGGAAAGGCATGTTCATAAGCTTCCTCTTCATGTTTTAGGACATAGTTAGAAATGTCATGTCTCAGGTATATTGTAGATAATATTTTTACATATCTCATATTTTCCTTCTGTCTTCTGTTTCAGTGTGAAATCCTGCTTTCAGAATATGGAGATCTGCAAACGAAGAGTTAATATGTATGATACAGTGAATCAGATTAAGAGCCCATTCACGACTCATGTTGCTCCTAATACAAGCACAAATCTGACAATGAGCTTTAACAACCAGCTCAATACAGTACACAATCAGGTAATAGCATCTTGTAGCTGTTTTATATTAACTGAAGAAAAGGAGCAGCCTTTTCTGCAAAATACTATATTTAATTTGTAGTCTTGTCTTGAAGTGTAATTTTCCAAAACTCAAGCCAAGTCATTCTCTTCTTCAGCTAATCATACTGACCTGTCAATTCAGCAATGTAAGTGAAGTTGGTGAAATTTGTGTTTTTTCTTATGTTTTAGGTTTTTTACCTAAAACTTAGTGCTTTTTTCACATTATAGTCTTGACAGTTCCTGTTTGTTTTTATAACAAGGAGGAGTAATAAATCTGTAATATTTTTGTTTTCTAGGCCAGTGTATTGGCTTCCAATTCTACTGCTGCTGCTACTCTTTCCCTGGCAAACTCAGATGTCTCCTTGCTAAACTACCAGTCTGCTCTGTATCCATCATCTGCAGCACCAGTTGCAGGAGTGGCACAACAAAGTGTTTCCTTGCAACCTGGAACCACCCAGATCTGCACACAGACTGACCCCTTCCAGCAAACATTCATTGTTTGTCCCCCTGCTTTCCAAAGTAAGTTGAAAAATCCTTTGTACGGTACTGTTGTTTCAGTTACATGAAAATGAGAGGTTGTGATTAACACTATATTGAGAAACTACAGAGTGCTGCTCTGTGCTTGTCGCTCAATGCTCTTGCATCAGATATAAATGCAGAATCAGGTCAGACGTGTGTAGACAACTTGGTTCTCTTCCAGGTCATGCTTGAACAGGTGACAGTATCTTGCCTGCCCAGGTTGCAGTCTTTCTCTGGTTGTTCAACCAGTTTTTCCCCCCAAACTGAACACAACAGCATGACTCAAAAAGCAGCGAACAGTGGAGTCAGGCCCATCTGAAAACAAGAAAATGTCTTGCTATGTTTTTTATGTCAAGAGTGAATATCTGGTCTTCAAGCCAGTTCACAACCATTGATGCAATTGTGTAGTGTGCTAATAAGAAATAAACTGTCACAGATGGCAAATAAATAAATTTAGCACAAGCATAGCTCTATTAATCCTGAAAGTTCTCCATTCATGTTCATACCTGGATTGTGCTAATACGGAGTATTATTTATGAAGTGGGAACTGCTAGTGTAAGGCTTGAATTTTGAAGTTAGTCTAAAGCAACACAGAATTAATGTCTGTTATCTTGCACAGCTGGATTGTTTGTTTCTGAAAACAAGACTGCAGACTTGAACAGAGCTGAGCATTTGAGGGCTGGTTGTCCATGATTGCCCTGTATTGGGGCTGCAGGCACATTTACTTCAGCTTGTGTTTTACTAGTAAGCTTTTGTTAAAGGGAACAGCTTTTCTTTTTCATCATCTGACCGTGTCTTCTCTTACCTGGTGGGAATTTGATTTGGGAATAATAATAATTAAAAACAGTTTAGTTTAGCTGTGATTTATTCTGTCCCATAGCTGGACTTCAGGCAACTACGAAACATTCTGGGTTCCCAGTTAGGATGGAGAATGCTGTCCCAATTGTACCACAAGCACCTGCAGCACAGCCATTGCAGATCCAGTCTGGAGTTCTCACCCAGGTAAATAAATAAAGTCCAGAGAAAACTGCAATTCCTACCACCATCCAGGAGAACTTGATTCACCTGGTGTTTGGGGTGAATGCTGAGGGTTCTCAGAGCACTGAAAGGTTAAATGGAGATCACTTCTAAGACAGTGTTTTCTTGTTTGTTTTGTTTTGTTTTTTTTTCCCCTGGAATATTTTAAGTCTAAACTATTTTATATCATGTGCTTCCCTGTTTGTAAGGGATTGATGTAATAACAGGAATAAATGTGTGCTTTCCATCTGTTAAAAACACTTTTGACACAGGTGTGCACCGCCTTACAGATAGCAGTGTACACTATTGCCTACACTTCAAAAATAAGGCAGCAAAATTTAGATGAAATCTATTTGAGACTTGAGATCCCAGAAAACAGAGATGGTAGCAAAGATAACGCATGTTATGACTTCGTCTTTAAATCAATGGAATTATTTCTGAATTCGCAATTGGTTGCATTGTTTGTGTGAATCGAGCTGTAACAATGACATACCTACTTCTGTTTGCAGTTTAAATGGCATGCAATATCAAAATTCACAGGTCACTCTAAAAAAAAATGTTTAAAACATTAGTAAAGTGTTGTAAACTAAAATGTGTTTATTAAAAAAAAAAAACACCTCTAATATATACTGAGTGCCCAGTCATTCCAAAGTATTATTCACTGAATAATTGTAATTGCCTTTAATTTGACCATAGTTCTATTTATTTGCATAGTTTAAGTTTTTGCTGACGTTAACACATACTTTATTAATTTTACCATCCAGGAAGTATATTGTACTACTGACCTACTTGCAGAGGAGTAATTTTAGATTGTTCAGTCCAAATAATTCTGTTGGCATTCTGTGATTTCTGTTTTGTTTGGCAGAATTATACAGGTAACAGTATCCAGACAGCAGAATACGCTTGAAGGAAGCCCACCTGAATCCAAACCCTATTTTTCTTGAGAGTACAAATTGTAGAATATGAATGTAGTTTTAATTAGTTGTTTGAGAGACTAATATTGGTAGTTTCTTGGTAGTTTCATTACAAGTAACTGTTCTTTAATGGTACAAAAAGACCTCTGGTGCCTTTTAATAACTGTCTTAGTTTTTCCAGGAGTACCATATGTGAATTTGGAGGTATGATATTAAATACTGTGCCCTTCTGGGGGTGCAGTTTGTTATGGCTTAGTGTAGTGTATTTAAGAGACAGTGTAACTTGCTCTCTGGGACCTGGTAAAATATAACAGTAGCTGAACACTATCTCATATTTACTTCTCAGTTATGGTCATCAGAGAGATCCCGTTCCCAAATTCCCCATTCCTTGTATTCCCCCCAGGGACATATAATTGCATAGTGGAACATGCCTAGAGGGTCTGAGTGTTGGTTTCACTGCATCCATTACAACTCTGGAATCTACTCAAGCACCATAAAATGCCAGTGAGGTGAAACCTTTTCTGGTCCTATTGCTGAACCCACTTATCCTGCCTCAGTACGTTTGTTTCACTCACTGCCTGATCTACATTTCAGGGAAGCTGTACACCACTAATGGTAGCAACTCTTCATCCTCAAGTAGCCACCATCACGCCGCAGTATGCGGTTCCCTTTACTCTGAACTGCGCAGCCGGCCGGCCAGCGCTAGTAGAACAGACGGCTGCAGTACTGGTAATTGCCTCCCTTGATTGTGTTCACTAACTGAGTTTTTGTTTTAACTTAGACTTGCAGAGGGCATGGAAGCATGTGCCATCTTGTGGCTGTGTTCTCGCTACATCTTAATGTCTTGTTGTTTTCCTCCCCAACATTGCTGAAGCACTGTCTGACTCTGATGTTTAGTGTGGCTCTGTAAAGAATCCAGATCCATTGACTATTACTCTTTACTAGCCTAGTAGTATAAAGCTCTTCTAAGCTAGGCTATAGAAGAGTTATAATTGTTCTCGTTCTTTGCTTACTGTCCTATCTTTGCCTTTTGATTTTTGAATACAAAGGAATCAGCCTTTAGCTTGACTCTGCTACAGGTACCTGGATGGCCAGAATTTGAACTACTTGGCAAGTTAGCTACCTACTTTTGTTTTCAACACTTGAAAAGCTGCTTTTCATGTAGAAATGTTTCAGGTCATTAAGCACAGGCTAAAACCTCTAATGATAGCAAATTCTCTAGTGTATGGCTTTAACAGTTGATTTCTCTTAACCTTTGTTCAACACTGACAGTTTTCTGGCCTTCTGTTATTTGTAGCCAATCGCAGGTAGCTTGCTTCATCCAGAAAAGGATACTGTTCTTCACAGATACTTTCAGTTCGTATGTATTTCTTGTTTGAAATTAAAGGTGAGCGTTAGTATTTAAAATGCCAGTAAGCTAGCTTGTAGGGTATTTGGAACAATTGGAAAAAAATGATGGGGGAAGGAAGTAATACACCTTTAGAAAGTACATGTTTTCAAAATTGTCCTCTTTGTATTAATTTGGCACCTGCATTAGAACAACTTTGGAAGTGCCACAGAGAAGTCATTGTAAAACTCCAGAATCAGATCAGTGAAGCTTATGAAAACATTGCAGTACACTTAAGTGCTGGTATCTTCATGTGTCTTTCAAAGCACATTCCATTTCTTCTGTGAACCATGTTGTTTCTTGTGGCTTTAGTGGTAGTTTGAGTGTCATTTTCTTCCAAGATGGAGACCTCTCCTGAAGTGGAATTTGCTCGAGCCATACCTGTACTGAAATTAAAACCCACTCATTGAGTTCTTCTGAACCAAGTTAACCACTCCTTATTTCTGAGGATGGGAAGGCAGGAGAGTGGGGTTCTCCTGGGTCACAGCTCTGAGCTAAAACAGCTCCAGGGATGTATCTCCTTTCCTCCTCTTGAATTTTGATTGCTGAAAGGCTGCAGTCTAGGCTCTGAAAATGGCAAGGGGTGACTGTAGCAGAGCTTGGGACACAAGTGAGATATTAGTGATGTTTTCAAAAGTGCACTTGGACTTTTGATTCAACAGGCAAATTAGATCTATTCTCTTGTGCATGTACAGCGGACTTGACATTCAGCTCCCCTGTACAGCAATGGGAGATCAGAGCCAGTTGTCTCCAAACTGTGAGCCTGGATTCTGAGTTTCTCTGGAGAACTTCCTATTTCTGTTTGGATTCTGGGAGCCTTTGGCGTGAATTTGCTCACCTTTAGTGCTTCCGACACTTCTCCCCTGCTGCTTCCCCTGAGTTTGCATTAGCCATTTGCTAAGCTTTGCATATTTTTGTCCTTCCTCTGTCAAAACAGTTCGTCGCTTGGAAGGCCCGATTTCTGCCTCTCGTTGGGAATTTAAATATCTTGCTGTATTAAACTCTCTGCTTTGTCTTGTGCAGGTGTTGGCTTTTGGAAAGACGCATGGTGTGACTTTTAACACGTTTCTCTTTATTTTTTTCAATATTATTGTTGTTATTATTCCGCTTATGTTGGCAGAGGTTTTAGCAGTTCTCTGCTTTGAAGGCTTCTTGTTTGGAACCGGTATTTGTAATACGTGGATCTGTTACTTGCAGAAATATTTTGTTTAAAACAGCGTGTTTTTATATTTTGCAGTTCAATCTGCAATAAAGAGGCATGTATTTTCAAAATCATGGGAATATTGTACTGCAGAATTCAGTGTTCTTTTCCAGAAAATTCTGTCTTCTGTTAATTCGAACAGGAATGTTAATAATTCTAACAAAAATATCTTCACGTATCTCCTATGTAAGTAAATGTACTCCACCTCAACTAAAGTAGTATAGAAAAGCCACGATAAGGGAAACATTTCCATGATAATAATGTTATCTCAGCTATCTCAATGCGAGACCTGTAATCCAGAAAAACAGAAAGGACTAAATTGGCTTCACATTTTGGAATTTTTCAGCAGAGCAGGATGCATAAGCTTACATGCAAAACAGTCCTGAACCCTTTTGCTGCATCCAGCAGCAGCATGATATGTCTGCATTCTGCAGTACAACTTTTTCCCAGGTGACATCTGGGAAACAAAAGGTTAGCAAGGTGTCAGGAGAAGCTTGTTTCTGTTTTTCATGTTCTCTTGCTGTTCTGAGGCCTTTGGAGAAAGTGCAATGATGTGCCTTTATCTCTGCAAGTTAACAATCTACATGAGTGCATTTATTGCTTGGAACAAGTCTCTCTGTCTGTAGGAACCGAGATCTAGTAAGCCTGTGTATCTGTTTGCTGTTTTGCAGCAGGCCTGGCCTGGGGGAACCCAGCAGATACTGCTTCCTTCCACTTGGCAGCAGCTCCCAGGGGTTGCTTTGCACAACTCTGTTCAGCCAGCAGCTGTGATTCCAGAGACGATTGGTGGCGGCCAGCAGTTAGCTGACTGGAGGTAGGGATTACACAGGGTCCAATTCTATGCCCATGAAAATACGTGCCATTGCAGCACTACCTGCACTGTTTCACCCTCCCCTTCAATGTCATGCAGGAGCTTAGTGCAGCTGTGCCTATGCTGCAGTGCCTGCGGTGCTGTCATGGGATTTGGGTCTTTTTTTTTCTTTGCCTCAGGAATGCGCATTCGCATGGAAATCAGTATAGCACTCTCATGCAACAGCCATCACTACTGACCAACCATGTGACGTTAGCTACAGCACAGCCTCTGAACGTTGGGGTTGCTCACGTTGTTAGGCAGCAGCAGAACAGCAACGTTCCAGCAAAGAAGAACAAGCAGCCAGCGCCAAGTGCGGCCAAGTAAGGATTCATCTCCTACCCCTGAAGATACTGTGGGTGTGTTGTGGAGGTCGCTTTTACGGTGTAGAAAAACCGTTCTTATGATTACAGAGTTATTGTCTTTGTAATGTTTGTGCTACAGTTGCTTTTAAATATGTCTTGGATAAGGCCTTTGTACTGTAGTCACTGTTTCAAGTGATCTTACTTCCAATGCCATTGTAAGGATGATGGTTGACCAAGTACTTTACTGTACTGGTCAAAGGGGGCTTTTATGCATTCAGGATGTGTTGGTGTCATGACAATACAACTGACAGAACTACATCTGACTGACAAGAGGTGGCAGGTTTCTGATAGTGCTCAGCCGGATAGGTCCTGCTCAGAGCATTGCTAAAAGCATTTGTCCCTTCTGGGACACATTCCATGGCATTTTTCTGTATGATTGTATGCACTGAGGTTCTCTGGGTATTGCAAGACGTTTCTTTTTGTACGTGTGCTCCAGCCTGCTGAAGCCTAGCTGTCTTTAATGCTGGCGTTGATTTGTCCTGGCCTGCTGACACAGAAGAATACTGATTTGGTTTTCCTTTAGGCCCAGCACGACTCTAGAGACTGTGCCCACTCAAGTTTACTCGCTCATTGGGAGCAGTCCTCTGCGCTCCAACTCCTCCTCCTCCAACGTGGTCGTCCCAGTGCAGGAGCAGCACCAGCCCATTGTGATCCCAGACACTCCAAGCCCACCCGTCAGCGTCATCACCATTCGTAGTGACACTGATGAGGAAGAAGACAGCAAATACAAACCTGCCAGGTAGGAAGTTCATCTAGCAGTCCAGTACTCAGGAGAAATCGGATAAGCCCAAGTACTGGGGAGAGTGGGGAATGCTACGCACAAAGCCACTGAAAAGGCTGCGTCATGTCCACTGTATTATTTGTGTCTAATTAACCAGAATCACACTTGACTAGGAGGAGAATATGAGATCTGCGAGGGAGATGTCTTGTGGGAAAAACTAGAATGTTTCATGTTTTGTTTTGTGTTTTTTTTTTCCCCCTGCAGTTTGGGTATGAAGCAGAGATCCAATGTCATCAGCTACGTTACTGTTAACGACTCCCCTGATTCTGACTCCTCCCTGAACAGCCCCTATGCCACAGACCCACTTTCTTCTCTCAGGAGTACAGGTGGTGCCCTGGAGCTGCCAAGCAGAGGAGCATCTGACAGCTCCAACTCCCGTACTATCATTGTACCACCATTGAAAACACAGCTCAATGACTGCATTGTAGCTACCCAATCTTCAGGTAAGTATGCTCTCATAGGTTGCTGTGCTCAGTAGTTTTTGCCAAGACTCAGATGCTGTCTCATCCCTAACAGCTTTGTCCTCACAATTTTGAATTGTCTGCATTAGGTCTTCAGCAGCTTGAAGTTTCATAGCTGATGTTTTGAGACTGCAAACTTCAGTCTGTTTTTAGTTTGATACATTTACCTTTCATCTATACCTTTGGCTACACATAAATCTGTAAAAGTTCCCAATGTTTTCTTGTACCATCAAATTTTAAATTAGAATTGAAGAAATGGCTCTGTTATGGAAGTAGGTTCTATGTGTTCTTCGGTTACCTAAGCTGGTTATCACAGTATGTGGAGTGTGAGGGGGAAGAAGGGATTAAGCTTTTGAAATCTTTCAGGCATCCTGAGCGGCACCAGTAAGACCAAGCCAGTGGCCTCTGTGAGCGGGCAATCATCAGGATGCTGTATAACACCCACTGGGTATCGATCACATCGTGTGGTAACAAATGGTGTGCAGCCTCTCAATCTCAGCCAGGTAATCACCGTGTGGCTTTTGCTGGCCTTTGAACATGATGCAGTCAGTTGCTTTAGAAACCCTTCATGGCAGAGAGTGACTCCCCTGCGAGAGGATTCTCAGTTGCTACCTCATTAATTCTTAGAAGATGATTCTGTTCTGTGGCTGTGCAGGGTAGGGTAAACTTTGTTGGAAGAATAGGTGAAGTTTCTTGGGCCAAAGAATTTGCTGCTGTACGAGAGCACAGGAGAGGGAAACACAGTTGTGCCTGTATTCTTTGTTTATACTCCCAGTCATGTCTGTCTTTCAGTGAGTGTCTTTCTGCTCAGGTGGGAGAGGGACACCAGGATCCAGCTGTTGAATTTGAGTAGTGTTTAAGGCACTAAACAGTATGAGAAGAGAATTCTTCTGTTGTTTACTTTTTTCTAGATCTCACGAAGCCCTGACCAGGAGATTAACCTTGAACCTAACAATTAGCACTTGACTTCCCTTGAAACCTTAGAGCCTGGTTTTACTTCAATTTGTGTTACTACTTTTGATGTTTGAGTCAAGCTGCGGTAGCCTTTTGGAAGAGAGGAAGCAATACACCTCCAGCCCATCTCTGGCATGGGGACAAGACAGGCTTTGTTATTGTAAAAGGGGGCAGCCCTGCTGCCTCTAACTGAGGTGCAGAATGGCACCTTGAGGAAGAGTTAACAGGCTGGGTCAGTCTTAGAGCCTGCCTGCATTTGTACAGCCAGGTACTGCAGTACCCTAGGTGTGGCAGCTTGGTCTCACTGTGGAGGAAAAGTAACCTTGGTTTTAGTGGAGCTGCAGTAACCCTTGCCAAATTATCAAAAGGTGGGAAGGGAGTTTCTGACAGAAGTGTCAGTCCTGCAGCTAGAACCCAGGTGTTGATTGGGAGGCTCTGGCTGAACCCTTTCTTGCTCCCTGAGGATACCCCCTAACTTTTACTTTTTTTCCCTGCAGAACCAGCAAACGACAGTGCTGGCTTCACAGGAGAGAAGTGGAAATGCAGGCCCACGTAGGCAACAAGCTTATGTGGCACCCCTCACGTCAACTATTTCTCAGGCTCCCTACACGTTTCAGCACAGCAGCCCCGTGCATCCCCACCTGGCAGCAGCAACTGCAAATGCACACCTGTCCAGCCAGCCACATATGTACACTTACGCTCCAACCACTGCTGCACCACTGGGCTCCACCACCTCCATCGCCCACCTGTTCTCCCCTCAGGGCTCTTCACGGCACACCCAATACGCTGCACACCCTAGCACACTTGTCCACCAGGTCCCTGTGAGTGTTGGTCCAAGTCTGCTGACTTCTGCAAATGTTCCACCTGCCCAGTACCAACACCAGTTTGCTCCCCAGTCCTATATTGGTGCTTCCAGAGGATCTGCTATTTACACTGGATATCCGCTGAGCCCTACAAAGATCAACCAGTACTCATACTTGTAGTTCCTAGTAGAACACTGTCCTGCAATAGGCCTGAGAGATTGGAGAAGGATTTCAGGTGAACCTTTACCTGGTAATGACTGCCTGGCTTTTGTTTCTCCCTTCTCTGCTGGTATGTTGTTCAAAAATGTCTCTAGTGAGTTCAGTCACTAACTGAGGCAGCATGCTTTGTTACCAGTACGAGGGTCACTAATTAAGTTTTTAAAGTTTTACTTACTTTTTATAAATGCTTTTAAAAAGTTCATGGTCACATTTATTTAAAATTGTTCTGTTATGCTAATGAGAAGGGGAAGGAAAATCATTGTCTTGGAAGACAGATCCTGATGATTTTTTTTAACTTGGATAATTTAAACAAAAAGACTAGCAGATTATTTTTTCAGCAGCTTGCACAAATCCATATTGCCACTAAAAATGTAATGCACATTTATCTTGTTGTGTTGCTATGACAGTTTTAAAATCAAGTTTAGTGTTTTAATTTTTGTTTTCTATTTTAATTTGTCTCTGACAAATTGCTGGCTCTGTAAAAGCCGTTACATCTCCGTATATGTTACTGTCAAAGTTTTGTGTTTACTTCTGTTGTTTTTTTTTTGTTTGTTTTGTTTTGGTTTTTTTAATTTTTAAGGACTGGTAGAGACAGCTGCCTTGTACTAGCAACATTATATATTCAGGAATCAACATAAACCCTGAAATCTGTTTTGTTTTTTCTTGAAAATTCTGCATTTCCACAGCATAGTCAATTTTTTATTGCATTCATTGAAGAACTCTTAAGTTTTTTGAACTTTATTCAAGATCTCACTGTGTAACAGAGCTCAACATCTTTGCAAGGATGCTGTAGTCTTCAGTTGAGAATGAATAGTGCCACACTGCTCTAAAATTTGGTTTCTGCAGCATATTAGATGCTGGCCCTAAAATGGAGCTGGATTCCTTCACAGAAGCACAGGACTTTTTTGTTCTGTTTTTCTTAATATTTTTCTTCACATGATTCATTTAGGAGGGAGTTGAACAATTTAAAATACAATGAAACATCACTGTATTGATGTGTACAGCTTTTTATACTCCTGTGAGCGTATCCTCCTGGATATGTCAACAGCTACTTTAAAGCGCTCTTAATAAGACTTGTATACAGTACATGCATGTAGGAATTGAGGAAAAAAAAAAGAGAAAAAAGAAAAAAAAAATCCAGATTTTAAAGTTTATTACTGAATTTAAAACTATTTTAGAAGTTTTGTATTGGTGGTGTTTTAATATTTTACATAAAATGAAATATGTACATATTGATTAGAAAAATATAACAAGCAAAACTTCCTGCTAACCCCAAATGTTCTGTCTTTGTAATCAAAATGTGTAGTGATTATACTTGAACTCTGTACTTAGTGTTTGTCTAATTCTTAAACGTTCCTGGGGATGGAGTTTGATGTATCCTTTGTATTTAAACCAAAATGAATTGATTCATGTTGGAATGTATGTGATATAATGCAATGGTTAGAGCTCATCACTGTAGCACTGAAAGAGGAGTAGAGCTTCATGAGAGAAAAGGATACCTTCTGATTTGTTTTGCACAGGTATGTGTGATGAAGAGTTGTTTGGTGTGTCCCCTTATTGTAGTGCCTTAAATGATGATGTAGTGTGAATAGAGTTTACAGTGAGCTTGCCTTATGAGGGACCAGCAAGCCCCCGTCGAATTGAAGCAATTCACTAAGCTTATCACAGCAAGAACAGCAGTATGTTGCATAGGTGCATTGTTCTCGGTTTTAATGCTATCATAAAAAGCTACATTTTTGTTTGGAGTGAAGCGATGTTCCCTTAAAGCTTTTCCTTGAAATGGCACATGTACTGTTAGATGTCTGTCAGTGCATTTCGAATAGGGTAGTGCTGGGAATGCATTGGAATGTTTAGTCTAATATTGCAGAAGTGATTAAATATGTGCAATCACTTTTTATTAGATTAGTGTGGCGTTACCTTCCCCCACGTTAATAGCAGACATTTCTTGTAAAATATTGCTAGCTTGGTGATAGAATATTTATACCAAAGAGAGCCTGCTGTAAAGCACATAATACCATTAAAGTTTTATAAAGCTACTGCTAATGTGGAATTGTTGGGAAGGTTTGTCAGCTGTATGCCTAGTTAGTGTGCAGAGGAAATACTCAGTTTTCATAATCAGTGGAGTTTTTAAACTACACTTTGTTTTCTTGGGTCCCTTGTACTAGGAATTATTTCTCATCTTCAGTATATAGGCTTAAGTATCTTGTCCAAGTGGATAATAAACTCGCTTGAGCGGTAGTATTACTGCAGCAATAAGAGGTTTTGGTAACCTTGAATCCCAGTTCATGTTCCGTCCCAGTGGAAAACAGGCCAGTTCTCTGACCAGTATGTGAAAAGGGCAAAATTAATTTCTGAAATTGTTTTTTTTTTTTACTGATAGAAGAAAGTCTGGACTGACCTGAAATTGATGAACTGTTAAAGGTTTGGTATCTCCTTCATTAGAGGGATCAAGGACTTCTGAACTGGACAGTAGCATTAGTGACATTGTTGTTCGGTGTATTTCTAGTCAGAGCACTTCTGTAAAAGTGAGGATAACCAACTGATCTTGCTATTTTATATCATGGGTGTAAACTATGCTCTTTGTTGCTGTAAGCACTTTCTTTTTTCCATATTACATTGCTTGTTTTCAGTACTTACTGTGAGATACCTCTTGGGTACAGAGTTGTGCCTTTCCATCAAAAGGCAAAGCAAGTTCCAGTTCTTGTGTTTCAGGAAAACTTCATGGCCTGTTTCACAACTAGTAAAGTGTTTTGTGTGCACTTGTAACAGGAAAAAAGACCGCTAGCACAATGTGCTAAAAATTTGAAGAAATTTCCCACTCCTCTGCTCCCACTTCCCACCCCAAAAAAAGCAGTTTAAAACGATCATTAAACTCAGTCAAATGTATTCCCAAAGCACAGTATCATCTCTTGGCACTCTCCTAGTTTCCAAAAGTATTGGAACAAAGAGGACAAGATGGAAACGACATGGGGAAATTGAATCATTCTCTATGTGCAACATGTTGGTATCCCTGAAATTCCTCTGTGAAACACGGCATAAAACAGCCAAACGAAAAAGCCACCCCAGCAGGACCAGGTTTTCCCCTCAGCACGCTGCCTTCACAAGCGTGGCAGATCTCAGTCTGGCCCCTGGTATGTGCTGCCCGATGTAAGTATATTGTAGTTGGCTCTAAGGAGACGCATCCCTTCTTCCCATGCATATACAGCTTTCAAATTAGTTTAAATAATCGACTGTCCTCATTTTCAGAGCTGCTACGCATTTTGCAAAGAAATATGCTCTCTCTGGGTAGAAATTGGAGTACTCCTTAATCACTATTTTTCTGAAATAGTTTGGGATTCACCCTTTGAATATTTGGCAACCACAGTCCCATCTAGATTCATTCATGTGATCCATGAACTGTTGTTAAATCAGAGTTGTTCCTGACCTGTATTCACAGCTGTGATAGCCACTGCAGAGGCAATGTCTGAAGCTTTCCTGCTTAGCACCTAGTTGATGGGATGCAGTAATTAACCTCTGACTCAGCAATTTCTTTTAGTACACGAAACTAAATTGCTTCTAAATGACAGGATTGGCACAGCCCTGCTTTCTTCTTATTTTATTTAAACTTCTGAATGGTGCCGCATGTCCACATGGTTGTTTGTTGCTAAACTTTATATAATGTGTGATTTCAGATTCAGCTTGAAATATATCTATCTCACTACATGTAGCAGTACATTATATGTAATGTTAGTATTTCTGCTTGAATCCTTGATATTGCAATGGAATTCCTACTTTATTAAATGTATTTGATATGCTAGTTACTGTGTAAAATCTAACTTTCTTTTATGGTTGTGCTCTTCCTTTTTACAGGCCGCTAGATACAGGTAGTTTCTGAATTACTGATCTATGTTTGTATTGCTGATGTACTTAGGGGGTATGTAAAAATCATTTTAACAAAAGAAATAGATATTTAAAAATTTAATACTAACTATATGGGAAAAGGGTCCATTGTGAAAACATAGTTTATCTTTGGATTCAATGTTTGTCTTTGGTTTTACAAAGTAGCTTGTATTTTAAGTATTTTCTACATAATATGGTAAAAATGTAGAACAATTGCAATGCATCAATAAAAAGGGTTAATTTTCTGTACTCTATTCATTTGCTCACTTTAATAGAAAAGGGGAGAGAAAACGTTTTCACCTTATCCGGGACGAAGCAGGAGCACCAGGGATGCTGCTCACCGCGGCAGGACGGCCCCGGGGGGGGAGCAGGCACCGGGGGGCGCCTCGTAACGCGGCTGCGGGGCCGGCGTCGCCCCGGGCCCAGCAGCGCTCGGGGCCGTCCCGGGGCCGAGGGAAGCTTCTCCCGCAGCCGCCCGAGCTGCGGGGCTGCAGCAGCGCCCCCCGGCCGGGCCCGGTGCCGCCCCCCAGCCGCTCCCAGCGGCCCGGGCTCGGCCGTCCCTTCGCACCTCGCCCGCGACGGCTCCCCCAGGAGGCACGGCACGGGGGGGGCTCCGGGGCCCGTCTCGCCCGGCGGCCCCCGAGCACCGAAGGGGCCGAGCCGCGGGGCGCCAGGGGGCAGGCGCGCACCGTGCGCGGCACCGCGGAACGGCGGCACCCGGGGAGCCGCGGCCGGGCCCCGGGGCGGGGGGGGGGGGGTCCCGGCTCGGCGGGGGCCGCTGCCGCGGGCAGCCCTGGGCAGCGCGGGGCTGCGCGGCGGCCCCGGCCCCGCCGCCCGTCCCGAAGGGGTTAAGGCGCCCGGGGCCGGTGTCGCGGGGGGCGCAGCCTCCCCCCCTCCCCGCTCCCCATCTGGTTTCCATCGGGGCCGCGGGAGGCCGCAGCATTCCTGAGCGCTGAGCTGGAGGCGGCGCCGGCCGCAGTCTCGGACGGCCATGGGGCCCTGGCGCTGCTGCCTGCTGCTGCTGCCGCTCCTCGCCGCGGCCCCGCGCGCCCAGCAGCAGCTCATGGAGTACGTGGAGCGGCGCCTCGCCCTGCTCGAGGTACGGAGCGGGCTCCGCGCCGCTTCCCCCGCGGACCGGCGGGGCCGGGAGCGGGCCCGGGGCGAGGAGGAGCGGGGACGGGGGCGGGAGCGGAGCCGTCGGGGGGCCCCCGCGCGGCGCGGTGCGGGAGCGGTGCTGGGGGGGGGAGGGGGGGGCCGGGAGGGGGACCCGGGGGGGAGCGGGAGGGTCGCGGGCACGGGACGCGAGCGCCGGGGGAGCCGTGGGGGGCTCCCGCCGTCGGGCGCGGGGGCCGGGGCGGCTGCCACGCGTGGGCCGTGCCGCAGCTCCCCCCCCTCCCCCCGCGCCCCCTCGGCCGCCCTAGGAGCGGATCTCGCAGTGGCACGAGCAGAGCAGCCGCTACTCCACGGAGCTGCGAGACTTCAAGAACCAGGTGCTGGGGATGCTGGAGGCTGCCGAGAAGGAGCGGGAGGCGCTGCGGGCGGAGGCGGAGGGCGCGGCGGTGCGCGTGGACCGCCTGGAGCGCGAGGTGGACTACCTGGAGACACAGAACCCCGCACCGCCATGCGTGGAGGTGGACGAAACGCTGATGGAGAAGCAGGTGGCCACGGCTAAGCAGAGGAAGAACGAGAAGTACACCAAGCTGACCGGTGAGAGCCTGCTGTGACTTCTCAGCGGGGTGGCCCCGGGTGCAGGGTTGCCCCAGGCTCGGTCACATCGTGGCATTGACTCCCCAGCGGGGTCTGTGGTGTCTGTGGCGCAGAGCCCTGGACGCCTGCAGCTGCCCGGGAGCTGCGTGCAGAGCCCAGGCCAGAGCCTTGGGCATCTCCCTGGCTGAGCTGGGCTGGGCTGGGGGTGGCTTCCCTAGCCCAATGCACAGGAACAGAATGGGGCTTACTGGTGCCAGCGGGGATGGCACTGCAGCCTCTGCAGCAAGTTTGCAAGGGAGTTGCCTGGGGACTGGGGTGGGACACACCGAGACCTGTGTGCATTGAGCACAGGGTGACCCCAGCACAGGGCAGGAACAGGAACCTCCCTGCCTGCAGGGCCGGGTGGCTTTCAGGCTTTCACAGCTGCTCAACTCTTGCAGATTGCAGCGACACCATTGCGAGCGTCAGAGCCATGAAGATCCTGAAGCGTTTTGGCAGCTCCTCAGGTCTCTGGACCAAGGATGCTGCAGGAAACTCTGAGAAGATCTACGTCTTTGATGGCACTGCCAACGACACGGTGTATGTCTTCCCCCGCATGCGGGAATTCACCCTCTTCTCTGCCACACGCAAGGCTGCCCGCATCAAGCTGCCCTACCCCTGGGTGGGCACCGGGCATCTTGTCTATGACGGGCACCTCTACTACATCCGCCAGCAGGGCCCCTTCCAGGTGATCAAGTTCAACTTGGCCAACAAGACGGTGGTGGACAGCTCGGTGTTCCCAGCCGAGGAGCAGATTCCTGTCTTCGGGCTCTCCCCCTTCACCTACATTGAGATAGCAGCAGATGAGGAGGGGCTCTGGGCCATCTACGCCACCAAGGAGAATGAGAAGAACATATGCCTGGCCAAGCTGGACCCCACCTCGCTTGACATCGAGCAGATGTGGGACACGCCATGCCCACGGGAGAACGCCGAGGGCGCCTTCGTGGTGTGTGGGGCGCTGCACGTGGCCTACAACACCCGCCTGCCCAGCCGCTCCCGCGTGCAGTGTGTCTTTGATGTCAGTGGGACGCTGGCCCCCGAGGATGCCTCCCTCGTCTACTTCCCCAAGCGCTACGGCTCCCACTCCAGCATGAAGTACAGCCCCCGGGAGAGGCAGATCTATGCTTGGGATGACGGCTACCAGATCATCTACCGCATGGAGATGAAGAAGAAGCTGGAGGTCTGAGGGGCCACGGCAGGGCCCCCCAACACCTCTGGCAGCCCTGCCCCAGTGAGCGCAGCCCTGTCCCTCCTGCCCTGGCATGGGGTGGCACTTCTGCCCCGTATCCCATCACTGTGAAAGGGTGAAATGCTGGACGCCCGCCCCAGGCCTCCCTCCACCTGCCAGCATGGGGTGTCCCTGCCTATGACCTCTCTGAAGAAACCTGGACTAATTAAACAAGGCTTTCTTCTCTGTGATACATTGAATAAATGCTATGCAGCTCACTGCAGCCACCTGCTTGGGGGGAGCGTGGGGTGCTGGGGCCAGGCTCCAGAGCAGTGAGCTCCACACTGCCCCGGTCACCCCGCAGGGCTGTTCCCAAGAGTGGGGTGTCTGTGCAGGGCTGGCCAGGGCAGTGAGTATGGCAGCAGCTTGGGGGGGTGTGGGCAGGGGGCCTGGTGGTCAGGCAGGGCATTAGGCCAGGGCTTTGGCACTTCTGAGCCAGGCCAGGGTCTGCCTGTTTTGTATGTACAGAACTGTGAGCAAACAGCAAAATCCATTAATCTGAGAGGACAACTGGAGATTTTCTTCACGTGTTGGTGAGCCATCCTAGCCAGCAGTCACCAGATGTTGCTGATATTCCCAGTTTATGTCTAATGAAGCACAGTTGTCTTCCCTCTGCAGTCACAGGGTTGTCACAAAACCCATTCCTATGGCCTTCAGTCCCCCAGGTCTCTTCCCATCCCCGCTTTGTGGCGATGAAACCTGTGTGGCTCCATGGTGGCAACACCCGAGCCCCAGAGGAGATGGGGGCAGGACGGGACTGGTGCTGGAGCCCCTTGGGCAGCAGTTCTGGCTCTGTCAGGCCTGAAGTCCCCCCAGGCTCTGACCAGGGGGGCTGGGGGCTGCAGCAGGCACATGCTGGGCACGGACATGAGCAGAGCACCAGGAGGGCCCTGGGCACAAAACGGGGCTTGGCCTTGGCCACCCACAGCTGGCAGCAGCATTGAGTGCCACTGTGCCACGTCCCACCAGTCCCTGCCACATCACCCAGCAGCAACTGCCCCAGGTACTTCCACTTGCACCTCATCCCTTGGCAATGCAGGACTTGGCCCAGAGATGCCAGAGGTCATCCAGAAACCCAGACATTCTGTGATTTATTCCTGTCACAGTTGCTCCAGATGCCTGAGAACACAGAGGCTGAATTACGAGGTGTCTGTGTGTCATTAAGCACGCTTTTTTCACATTAGAAATCAGGTCTGGGTACAAATGCTCAGTATATGAAGCTGGGAGCTTACCTGGCCAGGTGAGGATTCCTCCTGCTGGTGTGGCGCAGGGCCGCCCAGGGAAGTGGTGGGGAGCACGGTAGCAGCACATACAGGGGCTCTGGGGGCTGTGGCCGTGGTGTGAAGGGCCACGAGCCCTCCTGAGCCACAGCACCGCCACACCGTCCCCGCGCTGCTGAAAAGCCAGGCCTGCCTTGAGAGATGCTGTCCTGCAACGTGGAGGTGACTCGATACTTGCTTCACATTCTGTATTATAATTATATTGATTGCACAAGAAAAATGTTTAAACACACACTTTGATTGTAATTGGGTGGTGCTGAAAGTTCAACACAGTGCAAATCAAGCAGAGAAATAATCCAAGAGAGAAGAATGATGCGAACCGTCAAGTTAATTTATAGCCCTTTTCAAGATCAATAACTACAGTAACAGAAATACAATTTTCAGAAATTGCACAGTTGTAAATAATTATGCCAATGATTTCTCTAGCTTGAATTAAAACTGGTGGGGCAGCAATGATTCTACACCAGAAAACATCTAACCTGAAACAGCATTCCTGCAACATCTGACGGTCACTGCCGCAGATGCCGGTGCTCGCCTTGGCGTCAGTGGCATGAGGAACAGACGGCAGCTGCACTGGCAGGCTTTTGGTTGTCCAGAGTAGCACAAATTCATCAAACGTTTTAATGTCTTTGGAGAATCTGGCCGATTAGGATTCACCTTGCCATTGCAGGAGGAGCACAACGCCCTGCAGCTGGCCTGTGTTGCACAAAGCTCCTCTCCGGAGCCCTGGGGAGCAGACGGGAAGGCCAGCCTGTGCACAGAGACAAACGTGGCTCTTCCGTGAGAGCTGAGAACCTGTGATTTACTCATAGAAAACTGCTCATGGAACGAGGCAAATGGTTTTCTCTCCACTGCCTTGTGGCTGTGCTGCAGACGCAGCCCCTCCAGCTGCAGCTTTACCCAGGCTTGCAGCCCCCAGGCAGCAACCACGGTTTTGGTGCATCCTGAGCACTATGGATGACAGCCATGGCCTGAACCACCTGGTGCACCTAGCAGACCAGGATGCCATGACGCAGGAAAGTGGGGACGCTTGGGAAGCATTTACTAGCGTGGGAAGTGGCAGCTTTTGGGGCAGGAGGGCTGCCTGCTGCTACCCTGTAAAGTGCCGACACGACAAACGCTGCCTGCCCTCACCCACAGAATTTGTTTTGTACAAACACTTTTGGAATGAGGCAAAATGGAAAAATAACTGCAGTGTCTGATCGGCTTATAAAACGCAGTACTTATCTAGCACTCCACATCTTCAAAGTACTTCAAGAAACATCAACAAATTAATCCTCAGAATAACCCTGTAAAGCAGAACAGCATTATCTGCATTTGCTGCCAAACCCTTAGACAAAAATCATGTTTGATCTGTAAAAGTGGTTCCACTCTGAGCTGGCTGAAGGGAGCTCGGGCGAAGCGTGGCTGCCTCTGTGCAGCATCTCCTGTGGCCAGTGGGCTGAGCAGGCCCCAAGCCCCCGGCCCACAGCTGCCCTCACCAAGAAGAAAGACATAAAGGCCAGAGATCACCTCCTGCTAGGTTTTATTGATTTCTCTTTTTCTTGCTTAAATATTTATCAACCTCATTAAGAGGAAACAAAGGTTGTGCCACAGGTAATGGGGCTGCCAGGACACCGAGTGCCCTGATAAACATTAATTACCCCCCACCTGCATCTCTGCCCCTGGGGGGGGAGCAGGGCAGGTGGGGGACACACAATGACACCTGCATTTAAACCCTGGGGCTCAAGATCTGCTCCACTGACCTTGCCCCTGTTTCTGCTGCCAGGTGCAGCTCTGCCCCAGCCCTTTCCTGGCACTGCTCACACCCTCTGTGTCTTCCCCTCCCGGAGCTTCCCTAAGCCCCCTGCCCCTATTGGGAACAGGGTTTTCCTTAGCTTGTGTGGCTGATCCTTCCTCACTCTGCGCAGCCCAGACCTCAGAACTGCCCAGGCCACTGCCACCCATGGAGTCCCTCTGAGCTACCATGCATTTAGGACAAACCCTTGAAATCAGAGTTACCAGTGGTAGAGACTCTGCTGTGTTCCTGTTCATCCCTTGGGCAGGTTCACCTACAGCCACTGTGGCCAGGCCCTTTCCCCCTACCAGACTTTTTTTAAAGCTCTTTTTCTAAGTGTGCTCTCAGCTCAGCTGGCTGACGAAGGTGGCTCCAGCACAAGAGCAGGGACTCACTCGTGTCCCCCTGCTCTCCGGGCCACGGGCTGCAGCAGGCACAGCGCCTTGTGGTGCACATCCCTGACCCGGAGCTGCCGCAGCTCCACAGGGGGCAGAGAGCCCCTCCACAGAGGCAGTGCTTCACAGCAGTGCTATCGCTTTCTGTAATGAGAGATTACTGGAAAATATGCTAATATGCCTTTTCTGGTGAAGTCACTGCTTTCCTTGTGAGTCTACAGTTTCTCATGCTTTAATTGCCAAATATTTTATCTCTTTAAAGAAGAATCTGTGTAAGTAATAATTCCTTTCATCTTTGTTCCTCTTGAAAAATACTTCCCTTCGGAAGGCAATCTGATAAAGTAAATTGAGAAGTTATGTTAACGCTAGGAAAGAGAAAGCAAGATCTCCCACAGCTATTTTTTTCCTCTTTGTCTAATTCTCAATGATGCTGGCTTTTTTCTTGCTCTTTTCCAGCTCATGAGAACCACTGATAAAGTGAAATGATTTTTCATGTAGCATTAGAATCTAGGAAACTAAATTAAAAGTAGGCAACTTAAACAAGTGTATTGTAAAGATACTATTGTATTGCAACAAGAAGGGGAGAATAACTTCTCCATTTAATACTTTCTTAATGTCTGGTTGGCAAGTATAATCATAGGCTTTTAACTTCAAATAGGTATTTCTGCCCACATAACATCTGGTTGAGGTCTAACTCGTCACACACGAATTGGGAAGCAATAACGTTCTCTGTCCAGGACTTCACAGAAGTGGGAGGATGTAGGAGCTGGGGAGGATCTTAGTGTCAGGAAGGAAAGAAGATGACAGCAGCTTGCTTAAGGTCCTTTGTGCTTTGCAGTGGAAGTATAGAATAAGCAAAACTGAATTTGCCAGAATTGTTTGCTGAGAGCCTCGTGGCAGAGGCAGAGCCCTGGCCTATGGCTTCATGCTGGTGTGGGCTGGCCTGCCGTGCCCTCTGCGGCACCCAGCTGCCTCCCACCACCATCTCCAGCCCCACCACAGTGCTCTCGTTCCCTCTGCACTCTCCTCTTTGCATGTGCTTTGCTGGCAGAGACAATGGAGAGACAGAAAGTGGGGTTTCATTAAAGAAGAGGATTCTGCAAAAATATGGGGCTCATTGTGGAGCTGACAGGTCCGCTGGAGGGAAGAAATTGTGCTCTGCTCATCCTTCCTGGTGCTGGGACATCTGTATCATCCTTTCCTCTTGACAAGAAGATTAAAAACAAAATCTTTAGATTCAGAGCTCACAGCCCTGTCGGAGAAGCTGTGGTTTGCAACACGCAATGATTCATTATTTTCTGGACAGTTTCCATTATGAACAGAGTTTGCAGTTACCTCAGTACTTTGATCAGGCTGGATTGTGCTTCATGCATCGCTCCCGATTCGCAGTAAAAGGTTTGTCTCCAGTCAACAAGGATATTGCTGACACGAGGAGGACCCACGCAGGCAGCTCGCACCATGCTCAGGATTTCATGCATCCTGCAGTCTACGTGATTTCAGTGGGATCTTCTCTGCGGTGTTATTATTACTAATTCTATTATTATGAAAGATGTTTCCTGAGGACACAAAAATACTAGCTCAGCTATTCATCTAAGCAGTTCTTTAATTCCTCTGCTCTCTGAAAATCAGCTCCCAGAGCGTGTCTGGAATAGATCCAAATTTTCTGCTCAGTACATCCTCCCAAGGCAAAAGTGCTGAGGGATGCAGTGGGCCTTCCTGTGGCAAAGGATTGCTTGGGTTTCCCTCCCCTGTGCTTTGCTCTGTCA